CCCCCCCCCCCCCCCCCCCCTTAATCAGTTGATACGTGATGGAATCGTAAAATGGAAAAAATATGCTCGAGTATTTATAAATTTGAAAAATCAGAAAATTACTAAGGAAAAACCAACTAACTGTATCTTTCTTTGAGAAAATTGAGCTTTAAAACTATCAGATAAGTGGAAAATCGCCCTGGATCTCACCTTTGACGTCCAAAACAGTGGGAATAGGGGTCAGCATAACATTTGAAATCATTCAAGAATATTACTGGTACTATGTAAAACCATTTTCTACAATAAAAATGGGGGTCAAAACATTTCAGTCAAACTTGACAGAGAACTGTGCCACCTTATACACTGAAAATGTTAAAACTTGCTCTCACGGTCTTGCAAAATATATGTTGTACGTAAAGCATATCCTTATAGTACAGAGCAGCATCTTGGAAAAAAAGTTCAATGTCTGTTCACCACGCTCTCAAACTTTTGAACTAACCTATAACATGCTAGAAAAAGAGGAAATACTATTTCTCGTTGGATGTACAAAAAAATGGCTTAACGCTTATGTGAAACTGGAGCTTTCTCGAAGCATTGCCATAATGAAAAAATTCCCCCTTTAAAATTTTCATCTTTTTTGGAAAAACAAAGCTAGATGGAATATTGATGTAGCTTTTTTCATTGAGAGTCATGATACTTCTGCGAACGAAGAAATGTTCGAACGATGGAAAGAATTTGATTAATTGAACGCTGTAATTAAAACTTTTTTCTTTTTTTGCGCGGGTATTCAAAAATATCTGGACATGTCTAAGCGAAACTATTTTTCATTTCACGCGTATATCAATCTCAATAATGACAACTTCACGTTCAGCGCGCTCGACGCCTTGTCAAAAAGTCAATTATCACTGATCAAATTTCAGCTTGTGCGGAATTTCTCATGCGCTGGCTGCAATTGCGTTCCCCGTCGCGTTGCTCGCGCCCAACAACTGGTGTGCTACAAACACATAGATCGTGTGACAATGCTTTATTACCCCACACCTACGGGTCAATCAATACGTACACATATTTTGATGCGAGTACATAATATTGTGCACAAGTGTAGTCGATTAGGCACGCAAAATGGCCTACATAATCTCCGATATAGACATGCGCCAACTGCACTCGCATAGTAGCGCTTACACTTATTCGCACGCACGCACACGGAGCCCCGATATGTACGCTGAAGCTCTATACAGACACTAGACAGACGTCGCTCCACGCGCGATATATGTTTACATTATGCTTTGGCGCGCGCGTTCGCTTCTTTTTTCGTCTCGTTACGATTGCTCGATTTTCTACATAAGTTGAAAAATGACAGTTGGGTTCGATGCTGTGCACAGCAATTTTTATCGGAGGAAAACTCAACGTTGCTTATTACTCGTGAAAAGGAATATCGATGTTTTTAACGGAAAGAGCTGAGATCAGTCGTTGTCTGGAGCCCCAAGATATGACAAATATAATCATTTCATTTCATCGGATCCTAAGCCGGATTCCATTGTTTTTTACAACTTTTCGAGCATATTTTTACATTATTCATTACGAATAAAGTTACATCTCGACGTAATTATTTTAAATAATTGATATTTATTAAGTAAAAATGCTATAGATGTCATGGGTTTCAACTGAATGTGCCTAAAATTGCGTTATTATGTATTTACTTGAGTCCATTATACAAATTATAATCCCTACAGTAACCGTGAAGAGTTGAAGTAATTACGATAATTCATTTTAAAATAGAAATGTTTTTATGTTAAAGGTAGATAGCTAGGAAAATTAAAATGTACCTCGCAATCATTCTACCACCATCTTACCTGGCCTTGATAAAATTAATTTTAAAAATACAAATGAATTTCTAGCAAAAAAAGGACGCCAGTGGTGCGCGATACAGACACAAAGTCACAAAAATAAAAGCTCAGCGACAGAATCGGGTATTTTTTATTTGTTTTATGTTATCAAAACAAAAAATTTTTGGGTAACAAAAAATGATTCTTATCATTTTTTCGTTCAATACACGAACGAATTAAAAAACTTTATAAACTCGAAAAGTAATACCTTTTGCTACGTTATAATAAACAAAAAATGTTAATAACTTTTGTTCGATTTGATATAAGTTTGTAGTGTTTGAATAATTACATTGTTAATAACTAATTCCGACCCGCACTGATCAATTTCTCCCATCGATATTCCTAATCAGCAACCAAAAATACATAAAAAACACGTCAAGAGAACCAGGCTGTATCAAAAAGCAACGAGAATTTTCGTGGTGCCTAAACGACTTGGACTGGATTTTCTACTTATACCTTGAAATTAAAGGAAAAATTTTTATATACTATTAGAAAATGAAGCAAGCTATTTTATATCATCAATTTCAATAAAAATAGTATTCAGATATAATGTCTACACCCAAAATAGCATTTATCTATTTTTCGTTCATGTTAAAAGTGTTTAAATTACCATCCAATTCGTTTCATAACTGATTTTGAAATTGTGTTTTGATTCTCGAGAATATGAGACCGTGTCACGTGTTTTAACAATTTGTGTTCAATAATATTTCAATAATTACATTAGCGAGAAAAGAAGGTCCTTAACATTTTATTGCATTTTTATTTTCTGTCAGTGAAATTCTCGAATGATTCTAATTAAGCAGAGAAACTCATACTCACACTCGTTTTATAAGATACAAAAATACTAAACTTAAATTTGTGTATCACTCGAATTTATCGTACATTTTTAAAATTGTTTTTGAAATTGTAACTTTTGAAACCCATCAATGAAGCGTCCAGATCATTTTCATCGAGCGTCCTCATCAAGCGGCCAGATTTTTTGCTAGCTATTTGCTATGATATTGATGTAAAATTTAATATCCTTTCAGAATCCCAGCTTAACATATTTAGTATCTCAACCAGCTCTAAACCTAAGGAGAACTAGTATATTACCGCGATAGATTGTAAAAACAGGAAAATCCAAGGCACGTGTGAGTAGTGGCTGAGATCAATCTGAGACTCAAATATCTTTTTTCGTGTCTTATAGATCTTTATACTATTTTCCTTACAAAAAGCATTGTAAAAATGCTTCATCAAGCGCGTGCGCAATATCAAAAAGCTGCTCTGTCTCGCCGTATTAGTCGAAAATAGTTATTAAACATTCATGTACATATTAGTAGTCTTTCACTATTAAATACAAAACTAGTTCGTTTATAAAAATTTAGAAAATTTCAATCATATTCACTTTCCTTGCTATATAACTGCGATGGCAATTTTTTCAATTTTGAATTTCACACAGTTTCACAGATTGGAGCCCATCAGAAAGCTTTCTCAAAGAAAGAGCAAAGCATTTGACCTCCTGCAAGAGAACGTGTTAAAAAAGACATTTCCTTTATACCTTGACCGAAATAGTATATTACAAAACAAGAGAGTAAAAATAAAGAATGTCTCAGATCACATGAAACCGTTCGGCTTCGCCTCAGGTCATGATTTTACGTGATCTGAGACATTCTTTACTTAAACTCCCTTATTGTGTAATATACTATTTATTTCCAATTTTTTGAGAAATCCATAGTTTTTCATTCTTCATTGGGTAGACGTAACGAAAAAGTTGCTATGCTTTATTGGGATCGCGATATTGCATGGTTGACTTAATCGAATTGTCCTTATTGGCCTAACGCTCAAAATTACAAAATGTTGTTTTCCTTTAAATTAGACTTCATTGCGCGTTCTGAGCCTTGGAAAAATGTTGTAAGCGCTACGCGTAAAATTCAATTAACACTTTAACGTCTGAAATGACCATTTTTGGACAACATTTATAGCGATGAATTACAGTAACTAGAAATTGTTTGAAAAACTTTTCAGACATCATTTCTCACGTAAAATTTAATGTACTTTTCAAATCCGGGGTCAGAATTGGAATAAAATTATTAAATAAAAAGTTATAAACAATTTTGTACAAATGAACATGAAATTTCGAGAAAAAAATCTCGTTTAACTCAAATTTCAACACGGAAAAAAGGTTCGCTCGTGCATCTCACGCATATAAATTTGGTCAATGGCTTGTATACTTTATTGTAAAACAGTTATAATTACGAAATTCAAAATGGCAATCATAAATTTGACTCCCGAAGACCTGTATGTCATAAAATGATTTTGACAATTTTTAACTCGATAACCATCAACTTTATAAGAAAAAGTTGTAGAATAAAAACTGTTTAGAATTAATCAAAGAACATGCCTGAATTTTTTCAGAATTTTTGGAGCGATTTTTGGATTTCTGGATAACACCATTTTTTCAAAAATCCAAAAATCGTTCAAAAAAATTCTGAAAAAATCAGGCGTGTTCTTTGATCAATTCTAAACCTTTTTTGTTCTATAACTTTTTCTCGTCAAGTTGATGGTTATCAAGTTAAAAATTCTTGAACGTTTTCAGCCGAAATCAAAAATCTAAAATGAAACCTATCGTTCAAGAATTTTTAACTTGATAACCATCAACTTGACGAGAAAAAGTAATAGAACAAAAAAGGTTTAGAATTGATCAAAGAACACGCCTGATTTTTTCAGAATTTTTTTGAACGATTTTTGGATTTTTGATAAAATGGTGTTATCCAGAAATCCAAAAATCGCTCCAAAAATTCTGAAAAAATTCAGGCATGTTCTTTGATTAATTCTAAACAGTTTTTATTCCACAACTTTTTCTTATAAAGTTGATGGTTATCGAGTTCAAAATTGTTAAAATCATTTTATGACATACAGGTCTTCGGGAGTCAAATTTATGATTGTCATTTTGAATTTCTTAATTATAACTGTTTTACAATAAAGTATACAAGCCATTGACCAAATTCATATGCGTGAGATGCACGAGCGAACCTTTTTTCCGTGTTGAAATTTGAGTTAAACGAGATTTTTTTCTCGAAATTTCATGTTTTTTTTTACAAAATTGTTTATAACTTTTTATACACTCGGCAACAAAATTATCGCAACAAAAAAATTCATCGAAATTTTGTCGATTTTCAAATGCTTCTATCTTGGGCTAGATTTATCGTATCGACACGCTTTTTTTTAATTTCTTGGAAATTTTGTCCTCTTTAAATCCATATAAATTAAGATAAGATTTGAGTTAATGTTGAGTTACCAGTAGTATTTGAGCGTGACCCTAAAAATTACTGAAAAAAAAATGACTGTTTGAACGTGTACCAGTACCACAGTGATTTTTTTATCAAAATCTAACATACACCATCGCAAAATGCTCTTTTTAACGAGTAATTTAAAAAAAAAAGACCTCTGTACGATTTTTTTAACGCCCTGTAGGTCGATTTGAAGATACCATTTAAAGTACGTAAAATCCCCCGTTTACCTGAAATCAAGACGATTTTCTGGGCATTTTGCGTACATAAACCGTACCTTCAAATCGACCTACAGGGCGTTAAAATAATCGTAGAGAGGTCTTTTTTTTTTAAATTACTCGTTAAAAAGAGCACTTTGCGATGGTGTATGTTAGATTTCGATAAAAAAATCACTGTGGTACTGGTACACGTTCAAACAGTCATTTTTTTTCAGTAATTTTTAGGGTCACGCTCAAATACTACTGGTAACTCAATATTAACTCAAATATTATCTTAATTTATATGGATTTAAAAAGGACAAAATTTCCAAGAAATTAAAAAAAAAAGCGTGTCGATACGATAAATCTAGCCCAAGATAGAAGCATTTGAAAATCGACAAAATTTCGATGAATTTTTTTGTTGCGATAATTTTGTTGCCGAGTGTATAATAATTTTATTTAAATTCTGACCCCGGATTCGAAAAGTACATTAAATTTTACGTGAGAAATGATGTCTGAAAAAAATTGCCATAGACGATATTTTGCACAAATGTTTACATTTCTTTTTTATTTAATTAATAACCATCACCTTTTGTACTACGCACCCAATCTTAAGCTGAGCTTGGATTCCGAAAAAAGCATTCAATTTAGGTCGAATTATGTATTTTCAAAAATTGTCCAAGGCCCAGAATATGAGAGAAAAATTGCATTGAGTAGTGAGGCGAAATTTCGTCATTCAGAGCGTTTATATTATAGGGTAAATTGTAAATACTTAAAATGATGAGCTATAAAATTAAAAATATCACCTGTTGTCATTTTTTCTGATCAATGACTCGATTAATCTCTTTGCAAACAATTGAATCTGTTGAATAGAGTTTCAATAGAAACTCTAGAAAAATAGAATTTTATCATACGAATTGATTGAAGGAATGAATGAACAAACATTTTGAATTGATTACACAGCTAAACTATTTTCGAGGGGAAGTAATTTGTTTTCTTTGTATATTTGTAGATTAATTGCATTTCGATGGACATTAAATTACTTGTCATGATGCTTGAATAATAATTTATAAAAATATGAATAATGAAACCAAACTCTAGAGCTTACTTTAGTGAGCGAACAGGAGCCAAAGAAAATCAACAAAAACAAATATTACAAATAAAAACGAACAAAAGGGAAAACATAAAGCTCAATACAGAAATTAGCCTTTTGAATTAACTATGAGTACATAGATGATTTCACATGGTTGTAGTTTCATTTTATACGTCGATGAACGATCAGTGCCGCGAGCGCACAATTAGCTGAAAATTGCAGTTTGTGTTTTTGAGCTTGCGCGCCTCGCGAGCTTTTTCTCTCCGTGCATAGCAACTCCCCTCTCGGCGGCAATACCTTTGCAGAGTGCGCAAGTACACACACACACACACACACTTGGGCGCGAGCACGCACATACATACTGTTTCTCTCTCCCTCTCTCTGTTGCTAGTCTCGAGTCTTGGTAGCAGCAATATAGCTATACACGACGTTCGTGCCGTGTCCTCTCTGTCTCACTCCCGGGGCAGCGTAATAAGGGTTGGCCTCTCCTCTTCAAGTTCGCACACACGCGCGCGCGACACAGCTGCACACGAGCGGAGCTGAGCAGTAGCAGCAGCAGAGTAGTGGTCTCTCGGCGGCGCAAGCTTTCGCCCAGCTCCCAGTATCGTCTGCTATACCTCAGTTTGCATCGTGACGCGTGCTCCGCAGCTTATATCGCTAGCAATCAGCTGCTCCTGCTGTAAAAGCAGTCTGTTGTGTTTGCTTTAATAACACGCGAGCTTGTGTAGCTCTGTTCTCATACGATGTGCGTGTGCGACGTTTCGACATTCCTCGTCATATCTGGCGATCGATATTGAAAAAAAATTATTCTACAACCACTGCTTTGTGTTGTGCGTGCGTATTTATTGCGTGTGTATGTGTGCGTGTGTCAAGATTGTGCCGTTGAGTTGTACTATTCAGAACATGCAGAGCTAACTGACCAAAACGTTTTATGTGTTGGTCTATATAATATGCATACACGTATGTGCATATATGTCTAGGTAAGCTCAAATATAGTATATATGACAACAAAGCTTAGAAAAGGGGAGGGAACAAAAGAGAAAGAAGCAAAGGCGATTCGTTTAATTCAATTGTCAGCGCGCGAAGCTGTGCGAAGGCTGCAGCTAGCGTAGGTAAAAGAGACAGAGAGCGAGAGAGAAGGAGATAGCTCGGTGCGATTATTAAGCGTAGCACAGGTCTTCTTTCCGCGTTGCGAAGTTACTAAACCTTTAACTTTTTTATCAACCCAACCGGTGCTTAAATTGGGCGACAATAAATGGCGTAACAGCTATTTTAATCGTTGACTTTTTATTTCTCTTTTGAGTAATTGTGAATAATATATATTTTGTCTATTTGAGTGTTACAATAGTGCGCACAAATATAATACCCACATGTATAAAGAGACGTAGTAAAAATAAAAGAACAGGAGAGACTCGTAGAAGCGAAAGCATGCAATGCTCTTGAAAAAGAGGGACCTTGTGCTGTTGGATTGGTAAGCTCTAAACTTCGCTTGTACATTTATGATTTTTTTTTATTTTCTCTCTCAGTCTGTATCTATCGTCCAGTAAAGCTCAGCTGTGCATTATATACGTGTAGTTTCGCCACGTAGCTTCCGCGCGTACTGACGGTCGTGATGTCACTATCATTTATTTGCTCGAGCATTGTACTTTCTTTCTCTTTCACTCTTAGTTTCGCCAAGCGCCTATCGTTATTTTTCTTCTTTACGCGTTTCAGCACACGACTGTATAATATATGTAGTATATACATACATACCACGAAAGATACATGATTTTTCCCGCTTTGAAGTATCAAATCGAGGGTTGATGTTGAATTATTGTCCGCGTTTCGTACTCGAGAGAGATCTGTTTATATCTCGGTATTCGTCTGAAAATTTACGACCCTTTTTGCTCATCTAATTTTTTATTTCTCTGAGACAGAATTTTTTAGAATTTTCGTTTAATTCTAAAAGTTTTTTTCACAATAGATAAAATTTTAAATGTCTACAAAACTGAAACGTTCTTTCGTTCTTAATTAACTAGATGTTTGATCAATATCTGATACACACGTTTCATTCGTACAAAAATTCCATCACCCTAACGATAGGAAAGACGATAACTTAACGATAATTAATTTTGAATATCAATCGGCGTCGATTATAATTCAATTATTTTCTATTAACTGTTAAAATATATAACTTAAATTTTATGAAGTAAATTCCAGTAAAACAGTTTGTTTATTGTAATATTTTCCAGTGGTACGCGTATAAAAATTTATCTTATTGTAAAAATACTTGGGATTGAGCTGTGCACCTTATGTTATTTTTATGTCGGTTTTTAATGAAGTCGAATGCGCAAAAAAAAATTCTAACAACATGAAGAAAATTGTTATTCCTGATGTCAGAAAGGCCCCCAAATTTTATCCGAATTTTTTAGATCGTCTACCACCCTTTTTCAGAGGCCTCAAACGGACATTTTTTCAAAATTCATGCTTATTATTTATTTTTAAAATAGAGTGACTTGAACAAAAAAGTGCAAGAGAGCTTTTTTGATGAAAATTGTTCAAACTTTCAGAAAACAAATATTCCAAAATGATCTGAGTACTTTAGATGCTCTTTACCAAAAAAAACACAACATTCAAAATCGAAACGAATTCGATACTTACATTCATCGCCAAAAAATTCACAAAGCTTCATTTAGAAAAAAAGACTCAGAAATCGCGGAAAATTCTCATTTTTCGCAATTCAGAACTTTGTAATATGAACTTTTAAACGAATTTTGAAAACTATTAGTTCTAAGATAGTTGCTAGAATTTTTTACAACTCGATCGACATAGGCCATAGTCGTGAAGTCAAAATATTTTTTAACCATTTTTCTTACAACTTTCGACGTTTGGTCAAGAAAATAGAATTTATACTGAAGATAGCATAACTAAAAGATAAAACTTATTGACACAATCTATTCCAGAAAAAATTCTCACCAAAATTACGCAGCTGACACATTATGCGAGTCGATCGTTAAGCTGAAACCCTCATCGATACATTGAATTTACATTCGATGCATACCACAAGAAATTCAAGAGTTGCATTTGCACATGCGGTTATGTATATGCGCATACATATAGAATAAAATTATCAATCTAATTTATTCATGGCCTCTGCTATAGACGAACGCCGCAAATATAATGAATACATCCATCTCGCCATATACATACACAAACAAATATGTAGAGGTTTTTGTACTATGCACACCTTTAGTAACCGACGACGATCAGAGTCTATCGGATCTTCGATTAATCATTCCCCCCGCTGACTCATAATGAATACTTCAAATGACCGTTCGCTGAATCTTGAAAAATATTCTAACCATATACATATTTTATCGGTTATGATGCTTATCCGAGTATTTAATCAAATAAAAAATACACGAACACAAAAATTCGATTTTTTAACTCAAAAGAGAAAAAAACGTCTTTACATTGCCTATAACTTTTGCTCAGAGAAAAAACGAAATCGCTCATGTTTAATTTATGCATGTATGTGTTCGTCTCCATTAAAATTCAATTAAAACTCAGGAGTAAGTACAAGCAATTCATCTCGTGCCTTCTGAAATATACGTATATATACAGGAAAAGTCTCAAGTATCTAGTATAAATTCACGAAACTTCGCGGGAAAAGCACATTAATACTCATTTTATTCTTTTGCTTTGTTTGCCCAGGTCTTGAAGAAAAATTTTTTAATGTATAGGTCAGGTTCTGATTTTTTAAAACAAACTTGCACACAAGGTCATACGATTTTTCCATATTTTTAGAATGTTTTAAAAACATTAAAAAAAGGCTCGATAGTCGCGGTTACAGATTTTTAAACGACAACGACTCCAGAATCCGGGTGGATATTTCATTCCTATCTGTGTCAATTCTGAACGTAATATATGTATTGATTTGATATATTACAAATTCCAACAATCTGATCAAAGTTGAATTTTTTTAGATTTTTCGGACTATCACTGGATTTTAAAACCGCTGAAAATTCAGTGGCCAAGAGCGTTATCATAATTTGTATTAACTTTAGAAAGCTAAATTTCAAACTAACTTTCTAACATGGCTGTTTTTAGTGATTTAAGGCATTTGGGACTATTTTCTACCTTTTTTGCTCGTTTTTCGCCACACATTGTTTTCTACATTGCGTTAAACTTTAAGACCCATTACAAAACTTTATCAGGCAGTAGTTGACATCTTTGGGAAGCTTTCTACATAGTTTAGGAAATGAAAGTCCGGTTCGAACTCGATTAGATTTCTTGTTTTTTTGTTTTTTTCAAGTTTTTTACGTTCTGTAACCCCACAGGTTGCTCTAATCACTTTGGAATGAATTTTTTCTGAAAATTGGAACAATTTACAACAAAAAAGCTCATGGGCACTTTTACTTTTGAATCATTCTACTTTAATGTAGGAATTATTTGAATATTAGTGATTTTTCATGAATTTCAAAAAAACCCTAAAATGGCCAACTTTGGGCCTCTGAAAAAGTGTCATAGAAGGGATCAATTTTTCTAAAATTTGTTTGGGACAAATCTGCCATCAAAAACAACAAGTTTTTCATATTTGCAGAAAAAAAATTTTTTTGGCCATTCGACTTCACAGAGAATCGGCCATATGTTTATTCAATAGATTTAATTCTTGTTGATTTGGATACTTTAAAAAAACATAGAAAAAGTGTGCGAGTAAAGGTTAAAGAACGTACATCGTCGCGGCGTACATGCGAAAGCAACAGTACAGCGCGTATATATAGGCAGTGATGCGGTAGCCGCCACCACACGTCTTTTCGTTACAAAAAGCGAAAAATCTCCTCAATTTTGTATCTCAGGGTTATGCTGTTATCCACAATTTTTCTGCTGCTTCCATGATCAAGATATTTTTACAATTTTTTAATTTGTGACGTATGCTTTCTTTAGCTTAGAAATCACATTACCTGGGCGCGGTTGTTCTTAGCGGTTACTTTAGTATCATCCCTCGAATTTTATAATCATTCCATTATACTGAATTTAGGTTAAATCTTGCGTTTTGATTTTTTTAAAGAGGCTATTAAAATATAATGTTTGAATTGTATAGTGGAAACTTACCAGCATTTTTTTTCAAGTGATAGTACTTATAGTCGGTTTATATTTTTAAGATTTTTATAAAATCATTTGATCTGTAAGGATTTTCACGAATTTACAGGCCTTTCGTCGAAGTGCAGCTCGCCAGCGTTACAAATAAACGTAACCAGAGTAGTATGCAGTTATTTTTTGTTAGCAAAATCCGGTCAAAAATTACAATTCTTATGTGATGTGTGTGTAGTCGGATTGCTATATCAGCAAAATCCTTCATTTGCATCTGGTATTCCAAAATATGTCTCGAATGTTTTTTCGCGGCAAGATTTAATGAAAAAAAGGGAGTTGGAGGATTGAAAAGAAAGAAATATGTGATCGCGTATGGTTTTAAAAAAAAACAAGGTGAAAGCTTACGTCAAAAGTAACAGCAAAAATCGAATGATCCAGTGACGCGGAAAAGACAAGGCCTCCCTTTTTGTTACGCGCTCGCATGCATGACACGCATAGATAGGGGCACAACATTATCATCGAGCCTATAAGAATTTCTTGTATTTTTTTGTCAGGTCGCCAAAATGTTTGTTTTCGCATCTATGTGGATGCAGATGCAAAGTAATGCAACAGTGCTAAGGTTCTAGAGTCATGCTTTAAACATATGTTCAATGATTTGAAGGAGAAATGCTCAGCTAAGTAGATCATCTCTTTCTTTTTCTTTTCCTTTTTCTCTCTTCACCCAGTGGCGGGTACTACACACAATGCAGATCTGAAAATGTATATTTGAAGCAAATCGCATTGTAGGCTATATAGTACGAGCTCAAGCCAACTACTCAATATTGAACGTTCGATTTTTGCAAAAACGAACGAAAAAGAAACTAGTAAAAAAATGTGGCAAGTAGTGAATAAAAAAGTAGGCCGGCATCATCGAGCAGACGGGCGTCTCGCACTTGTGGGGCAAGGTTTAGCGTATGCGCTGCTGCAAAGGCTGTTGCGCTAGCGGAATTAACGCGCCAACGCGTAGTTTACGTTCAAGGGAAAGAAAAGGACCAGTTTAGCTTGTCCAAGTTATTTTTATCCATACGTCGCTTCTATGTATGTTTGGTGCGTATTTGGATGTAATGTAAACAAAAAATGAGGTAGCAACATATCCAATATGGTTGGCTTAATCAAATGTTTAGCAAAGGAGCAAATATGAACAAAGTTTATCATTAATAATAAAAATTATTATTTATAGAGTTGACAAAATTATCTACAGGCAATATTATAGGCCGCAATAACAATGGACAATACGATTTTAAGAATGTGCAAGACTTCTCAATACAAATTATGTTGGAACTGTTGATTAAAGTTGTTGTCGAAGTTAAAGTCTTTAGTTTTTTACATTTTTTCGAGTTGAATGAAGAATATAAATAACAGTAGTACATGGTTTTCTCTTTTATTTGATTATATCTGCAGTGAGAAAAATTAGATTAATGCAATTCTCATGTAAAAATCAGAAATAAAATTGAAATTTTACTTAACTTACCTTCGACAGCCTTACTCTTGACTTTTTCACTTTTACTACAGTTTTCGTTTTTGATTCTGTAACCGATAAAGCATGTGAATAATTTTAATAATTTTAGGATTATTTAATTTACATGTATGATTCCATGCTAATCTGTTCTACAACGCCAGTCATATTGGATGTTCTGTCCCCTCCAACTGTTCACATTACATCCCAATAAGCGAAAAAAAAACAGTTAGAGACGCTGGCTGAGTGGCACTTGAAGAGCTTCCGCGTTATTTCTATACATGTACATGAGTGTGTGTACATATGTGTGTGTGTGTGTGTGTGTGTGCGCGCGCGAGCGTCGGCCGTCGACGATGTGGCGCGATCGAAAGGCCGCAAGCTCTCGTCAAGCTCCAACCGATTATCCCATTGTGGACGACAGTTTCTGCGGAATAATGCCAACCATATGCACGGATTGCGCAAGAGCTCCTACCTAATGTCTGGATTTATACGGTCGTTGATACTCCAGCTGCAAATATCCAACTTATACAAATATTTAAAAATTATTGAACAGCCTGAGAGAGCTACGAAGCAAATTTTTAATAGCCTCAAGGCGAAAGAGATAGTTGATCGATCAATTTGAGTGCTCCCAGGCAAAACTTCAATTACTTTCGAGTGTCCATAAAACCTTAAGCGTCTCTCTCTCTCTCTTTCGCTTGGTAAATAATATGTATGCGATATGTGTAACGAGTAACTTTGCTGCATGCGCAACGAGAGTTCAATACGACAACGACGTCAAGCCGTACTAAGCTTAAAATGTTGTTGCTGAAACAAGCCGAGCTTGGGGTTCACTGATATAATACATTATATACTGCACGGCACGCTCATTTGAACTTATTGCAGTCAACGACTGACTTCGGTAACTTTATTCTGTAAATTCCTTCGACAACGCGCCATTTTAATACCTTAACGCGTATGAAACAGCAATTCGCACATCTGCAAATCGGCTTCCCCTTTTTTTGTAAAAAAATTTCCCTATCATTTTATTTACACAAAAAAGACTTGCAGCTTTGATTTGTGATGCTACTTGGCATCTACTCGAAGATGAATTTACTCAGCCTGGAGCTTTATTTATACGAACTTTATTTTTTTTCAAGAAGTACCAGAGCAACCTTTAACCCATTAAGTCACAAGAGGACGTTTTTTCAACACTTTATTCGGCCACTGTACTTATGGTGAAAGTGGGGTCAAAAAAATATGCGAGTAAACAATTCTGATGTAAAATTTAATGCCTCTTCAGACTCTGATCTCAGATTTTCAATAAAATGATCAGGTCAACATTTAAACTTGATTTCATTCGAAAAACATTTCGAGTGTTTAAACGTTAATTTTTCCAATCGAAACCCCTCTAACTTTTATCGAGGACACCATATTTGCACGAATTTCATGAGATTTAAAATGGTTTCCACTTGGAAAATCAAAAATAAAAAATTTTTGTTTTTCAAAATTACGTTTTTTTCGGATAAAATCAAGTTTAACTTTTGACCTGATCATTTTTTGAAAATTTGGGATCAGATTCTGAAAGAGAATTAAATTTTTAATTAGAAGGGGGTACTTGCATCTTTTTTTTACCTCATTTTCACCAAAAATACAGTGGCCGAATATAGTGTCGAAAAAATGTCCTCTTGGGACTTATAATGAGTTAACTTTCATGAAGAAATATTGTCATTTTAAGTTTTCGCGATCGTTGATCGATTCTATCTAAAATTAAAAGACAACTATTTGTTCAAGTTTCACATAAATTCCCTTGCTTGATAACAAACTATCACAATTGACTGAAAAAAAATAGGATCATTAAATATTTGTACTTTTTAAAAGAATACTAACTTAATTTTTTTGCGTCATGTTTCAGATATGCGCTGATATATAGACCAAAAAAATAAAGTATCAAGATGTTGATAAAGGAGTATCGCATACCTCTTCCGCTGACAGTGGAAGAATATAGAATCGCCCAGCTGTATATGATAGCTGTAAGTATCACGGATTATTATTTTTTATTCATGCACTAAGTCGGGCAGACAATCGACGGCTATATCGACAACGGTGGTACACTTTTACAGAAAAAATCGAGAGAGGAAAGCAAGGGTGCCGGTAGCGGCGTGGAGATAATTGTCAACGAGCCCTACACGAACGGGCCCGGCGGCAATGGACAGTACACACACAAGATCTACCACGTGGGCAGCCACTTGCCTGGTTGGTTCAAGAGTCTGCTGCCCAAGTCGGCCCTCATCGCCAAAGAGGAGGCCTGGAATGCCTACCCGTACACCAAGACTCGATATACCTGCCCTTTCGTCGAGAAATTTTCCGTAGAAATCGAGACGTATTACTTCCCCGATAATGGCCATCAGGACAACGTTTTTCAGCTTGGTGGCAGTGACTTGCGAAATCGCATCGTTGGTACGTAATATATATACACAATACTCGCCTACTCGCGCTCATCAACGACCTAATTTTTCAACTTGCGTTACATACTTTTACAGATCGGTGTAGTTTGCTCATGTGCGTGATTATGAGCCTCTTTTTCGTATCGATCGCTTGATTCATATTTTTTCAAGGTTTTCAAAAGCAATTTATATATTCTACAAAAAACCAAATCTCTTACTTTTTTTTAAGTATGCTGTATCTTTTTGTTCTGTTGGGAAAAAATATTTCAATTATTTCTAGCCATTCCAAGCTGCTTTGATAAAATTTTATTAAAATCTTTATCCATTAATAAAAAAAAGATATTTGATTGAAATGAAATTAATTCAGGTTTTTCTATATCAACTTTTTCTTTAGATGTAATCGATATCGTAAAGGATCAGCTGTTCGGAGGCGATTACGTACAGGAGGAGGATCCAACATTATATGTTTCCGAAAAAACGGGTCGAGGTCCACTGACAGAGTCATGGTTGGAAGAGTATTGGAACGACGTCAAAGTAAGTTGTACCATATACTTTTTAAGCAAAAACTATATCTATGGAGCATGAATAATTTATAGAATAAAATAGAATAGTTTTGATTTTATTCAGAAATATATTAGTAGAATATCAAAAACAATTTTTGAAACTTATTAATTATTTTAATTAATTATTGCCCAATTCACTACACGCCGAAACATTGGCTTCGAGGCCAAAACGGATAAGTTCATTTCTACTATGGAGTCATGAAAAATAGTCTGCATCACGCTTGGAAATAAAACTGTGATAAAAGTATAGGAAAAAAAGTATGGCAAAATTATGGATTCAGCTCGTTTCCCATAGTTTTTCCATAAATTAAAAATCACGTTTCAAAAAAATTATGGAAAAACTATGGGAAACGAGCTAAATCCATAATTTTGCCACAGTTCTATTTCTACACACTTATGAAACACACAACCTTATCACATGGTCTGATACTCTCTAGTTTTTCGCTCCCCAGGCATGTAATAAATATCATAACGAAAATTAATAAAAAGCATAACTATCATGTGCCAATATTTATGTCAACATTTTGAAATTTCACATATACCATTCAATATCTATAATCAATCGAAACACCAAATTAATGTGAATAAAACCCCATAACACCAAATTAATGTTAACCCCATTCTGTTAAAAAAATGTTATAACTTCGAAGGTAAATTTCGATGAATATCTGTTCTCTACTCTTTTTTTCAATAAAAAAATTTTTTTCAAACATGCTTATACTAAATGGAGTTTATCAAGAAATTCAGTTGCTATGGGGGTGTGGCCCAAGATCGAATGAGTTTTAGAATGCAGCTTTCTGAAACTTCTACTAAATATTTTCTTAAGATGCTCTATAGAAATTTCAAAAAAAAAGAATTGCAAATACGACTATGCACTCAATTGACACTTTTACAAAATTATTTTTGAATTGAACGTTTAAGAATTTAAATTGATACAATTTCATCAAACGTGTATGTTTATCATGCGTTTAACGTCAATCTTTCAATTCATAACGAATATTAATACAGAATTAAACTTTTTAATTTTGATGTGATTCGAATGACCGTGATTTATGTAATGATATATCTGCATTGGTCAAAATGAAAGTAACATAAACTATTCAAGATTTTAAAAGCTACTTTTTTAACTCTTCAGGGAAAGAAGCAACCTACCCCCTCTGGAAAATCGCTGATGTGCGCATACAAATTGTGCAGAGTCGAGTTTCGGTATTGGGGCATGCAAACCAAATTGGAAAAATTCATTCAAGACATAGGTAAGTCTCGGATTATCAAAATATCATATATGAAAAAAGTCGATACAAACGAAATTTCAAAATAAATATTTAAGGGGACGTCGAAGTGAATCCTTCGAATTTTCATTCTGTAAAGTTTAATAATGTTCAATGATTTTTTCTGAAGCCCTGAAGCATTTGAAAAATCTGAAAAAATTCAAGGTGTTTGCATTGTTGAAATGTGCCTTCATGAATTTTTTCAGATTATTTTTAAAGACGTCTATACGGAGTGTGAAGGGAACGAGCGACCTTGGGATCTAGGATCTCGGTTACAGGGCTTTTTTACTATAACATACCAAAGGGTATCGAAATCCGAAGACGCTCAGCGTACAATTATTTTAAAAATTCTGAGCCCTACCCGTAGATATTGGAATCTGTAGTTAAATAATTGTTAAATTTACTTCAAAATATTTCTAAAAATCAAAGAAAAAAACGCTTGCTGACGCTAGATAATGATAAAATTATGCACTTAGCCTTAAGGAAAACGATGGTCCGCGCGCATCGTCAGGCATGGGCATGGCAAGACGAGTGGAATGGCTTGACGATGGAAGATATCCGAGAAATCGAACGGCAGACACAACTGGCGCTTCAAGAAAAAATGGGCCTCACCGAGGGCGGCGACGGCGAGCAGGTGGACAGCGAAGATCACGAAGCGTCAGGCAGTGCCAACGCGACAATCACGCCCCAGGACTCGGATAAAGTGGCTAAAACGTTAGCCGCGACGCTCGGTAGCATCGAGAAAACCGAGGATCCCCAGAGTCCAGCTTCCTTGAGAAAACCGTCCGAAATTCCCGTTATCAACACAGCCGTCAGCTCTGAAGCCGATAACACTCCCGAAGACTCGCCTACCGACATCGTACCTCCAAGGTAACTTTTCTGTGTTATTACATTAATTCGACATCGAATCTCATGAGTTACGATGTAAAATTTCCCGAAAACAATTAACGTTGCAGGAGAGAAAAATCTGCTAAAACGGATAAAGACAGGGTATGGAAGAAGAGCAGTTCGTCGTTGCACTCTCCAAAGTCGACAAAAAGTTTATCCAATCAAATAGCCAATTGGCGAATGGAAAGTATCGTAAGAGAATCTGAATCCGGAAGCGAAGATGAATTTTTCGATTGTCAAGGTACTTTGAACCTCTAATTCTAGTGATTACTATACAAGCACACGATCGTTTCACCAATTTTCGAGTAGCATTAAAACTTTGATGCATGTGTCTCGGGTGATAGTTTGCACATCACATATTTACTAATCTTTTCGATTGCATAAAAATTAAATGTTCTGTTATAAACATAAAGCATGGCAGATTAACTGACACCATTAAAATGTAGAAACAAACTCGAGAAAACATATTTTTTGTTCTTTAAATGTTCTTGTTTAAAAATTTTCGATACGCAATGAGTATATCAATATTTATTAAAAATATGTAAATTAAATGGATTATTTATATAATTCAATTTCGAAAGAAATATATAAATAAGGAGTTAGTTTTTTGTTCGTATAAAAAATCGTATCAATATTTACTTGGCCGATTAAGTCTTTTTCATGTTAGTATATTATACACGAGTTATGGTGTAACTATGAAATGATATTTCATTTGAATGTTTGCTTTATTTACATCTTTGCATGAGTAAAATTATATATGCAACACGTGCCCAGCTTTTTGCGCACAGTGTGCGGAAAAAACCCCACTCGTGCCGACATGGCCGACACTCGTGCCCAAAAACGGCTTTTGGGCACTTGTTGCATAAATAACTATTTATAAATATTATCTGTCGACTATCTCATATAGTATTTCGAATATCTTCTACACGTATAATTTTTTTCATAAATAACGTTTAATACTTGCAAATAAAAATCTGATAAGCAATAGTATTGATCAAATTAATATCATAATCGTTATTCAATCAGCATAGATCACTGAAAATAACCAGCTCCTTTTGCAATGAGGTTCTATTATTTTCATGGTAATAATAATGATAGGCACCTTTAAATCAAAAAATTTTTATTAAATTTTTGGAATGAATTTTTCATCTCGTCTCCATTGCATTTTTTTGAATTAATGAAAAGTTGATTTTTCACTGAAACACGTCCCTTAACGTGAACCTTTTACGTATACTTTGCATGGCATCTTCTTTTGTGTTGTCTGAAAAATTAACGTTTTAGAGTTATAAAAAATGCAACGGGAAAGAGAAGATAAATCTTTTCTAAAAATTGAAAAAAAATTTTTGATTTAAATTTGCCTATAAACCCTTATGACACAACAATTCACACTCATAAAGCAAAAGAATATACATACGATCACTTTCTTGGCATGAAATCATTAATTCGTTTTTATGTGCAACTGTCTTTTGTTTGTCTTTGCACGAGCTACAATTTTTACAACAGCTATATCTGGGTTCCTAATACCTACTATTAAACGAGGTACGAACAGTAGTAGTTGGTGGTATTTACTTCGCTTACGCCAATCCATCGTAGCTCTGTTTTACCCTGCTCACCTCTCATACCCATACGAATCTTTCATTTACTCTTTTTTAATTTAAAAGTTAATGGATTTTATGCAGTGTTAATGAAATTTCTGTACTTGCTTTTATACAACTGTATACTTTTTCTATACGCGAGATAATTGGAGGTAAAATTTTACACAACAGACATGACTAACTACTCTATGACATGCACTCTTCATGAAAATGCTGACTAAGTGAGATGTATTCTACCTTGCTGTACGAGAATTCAAAATTCAAATCAATTTATGCATACCTTTTGCTCTTTATTCTATAGCGTTTTAGTTATATTATTTATGAATTTGGGACTGAACCAACCATTATGTCGCGGAGACGCATCCAAAAATAATACGAATATACACATTTGTGTTTTGACAAATTTCGCAAGATACTTGAACGAAACACACTCCACGCAGTCGTGACTTGACTCAAACACACACACATGACACACACACACACACACTTTCACAATTATTATTTACTAAATTTTGATCTAGCTGAACTATCGAAGTTTAATTTAACTTTAACACGACTTTGGCAATTGGCTTGATTCTCTCTGGCTGTGCTGCAATATATAGCATATATCTCTCTTTTTATATACTTTTTCGATATATGCACTAATTATATAAAGTGAAAATGTATATCACGACGTGTGCGCTAAATTACAAACGATAAAAGCAAGGCTGAAATTTCTTATCACCACAGAAAATTTTGAACTCGAGGATAACTCGTCATTAGCTAAATGGAGTTCTTTGGATCTTCTAGCAGAAGAGGAGGATTTGACCTCACCGACTGCTCTGGATACGGAAAAGCAGGGTAAGTTCTTTTTATTCAATTCTGTGTACTCGTTCATTCATCGACATGCAACGTTCTCATCGGCCTTAACATTAAATTCTCATCTTTATTACTGACAACATTACGTAATAGAACATTTATATTTACATGCTACTTTTCTGTAGGCGTAGATATGAAAAAAAAAACGTATAATAGATTTCGAAAATGCTTCCTTGGAGTTTAAAAAGAAAATTTGATAATGAATATTATATTTGAAAAATTTATTTTATCTCCATGATTTTTTTAAAACAAATAAAACGCGAACTTTGTTACAGAATAGTCAAAGCGAAAATATGTAGGAAGATATTTATGCACACAACAAATGCAAAAGTAACAGGCGAATGTTTCTTTCGAAAATATTTACATCATAATGTCTTTAATATGGTTGCGTGGAGATTACCTGTGCATATAAAGACGATAAGTTTCATCTATTGACCAATAAATCTTTTGCATTATAATGAACCAAGTCTTTTTATTCGTTTTCTCGGTATCTTGAATTTCACTAAATTTATGTTGAAATGTAGTTTTTTCATGTGACTAACATTATCATAGACGTGTGAATTTTGATGACTTTCAACGATGTAAAGTATATTTCAGATGAAAAAAGTCATTCTGGTGCCTTTTAAAAAGCACGTACACATAAATTGGAAAAGTTGGAGCACCGATCCGTCTGTAATAAGCACACACTTTCATGTTCCAATCCCCTAAAATTAATAGATTATTGATTATTGTAGACGTAACATACAAACATTTTATTCGTGTTTAATTTTGCATTTTCACTACCATTAATCATTGTAATTTTGGTAAGGTATCGAATGATATGTAATGAACATTTGATTATCAAGGATGATTAATTAATGAACTCACAAATAAAAGCCAGTGATTTTCAAGCGATATAATTGCAGTGTTACCTTAATTTTCCTCTCAATGCTAATCACTTAATTGCAATTACAACGAGCATGATTGTATACTTACTTCGTTATTGTGATTATTTTTTTATTATTGGCACCACTATATGACGCAATGAAGCATATTGAACTATTAAAAAATGTTGCTCAATTGAAAGAGACGAGGGGACGAAATAATAGTTCAAACTGCGTCGGCGCCACCACTGATACGTTTGAAAGTAAAATGAAAATGAATTTTACAGATGACACGATATTCTCGCACGCCTACCTTCAACGTGTAGCAAGTGAGCGTAGCGGAAAACGGCTGGGGATCCGGGCTTCGGCAAGCATCGACGTCTCTTGCCCAGCATCGCCCCAGCATTCGCCCACCCATCAGCCTTGCAACACCACAGTACTTCTCATTGTCATGCACGCAGGCAGTGTTTTAGGTATGCTCTAACGTATACGTATTTATATGCGTATATATTTCGTATTGATGTTACTCGAGTGGCAATCGATGCATTGCGTAGCATGATGGATTTTCAACTCTCTTATACATAAACGCAAACGATACTCGACGCTGCAATATTATGTAGCATGTTCATTTTAAGTTGATGACTCGGTTGATTTTGTAGCGATTGTTGTTATCGCGTAGCAGTGTTTGCATTGTTTCATCATCGAACCTCCAGCAGTGTTTGATTTTCTTCATTTATGAAAAAATGGTGTACCCATTCACTAATAAAGGGTCTCAAACAAAAAATGAAGGATATCCGTATTCCGAAGTAATATTGACGTTTGAGCAAATTATTCAAACTTTATTATTCCTGTTATTTTCAGATGCCAATGTAGACTTGACTGCGAAAAAATCCGACATAACGACTTTCAAAGGAGCTTTTGAGTCGGTAATAAGACAACACTACCCAACGATGGTTGGTCACATAAGCATAAAGTTCGTCTCCTGCCCATCGATCTGTACCGAAGGTCTCGGAATATTATCTAGGTAATTAAATCACGATAATGTGTTAATTTTTATGAAATTAATCGATCAAGTTGGAAAACCCCCATTTTAAATATGGAAAAAGCTCTCAGAGGCGTGTGCGAAAAAGAATCCAGCAACCAACTCTTTTAATCAGCTGCCACGATATAAATTCCACGAACTTTACATATTTATTTCAAAAATTCTAAAAAGCCTATTGAAAAAAAAGCCATTCATCGGTGAACGATGTTGAATTGTAAAAGAAACTATCGTCGGTTGTAGCAGGGTATTGGTGTAAAAATGCATAGCTGCGTCTATTCATTCATTCCGATTTGAAAATGAACAAAGCACCGGCTGCTGTTTCCCGATAAAAGTAGCGTCAGCCTAAAATAAGAGCGTACGTTATTGCTGGCGGCCGAGCGTCTCGATTGTCCGGAAAACGTAGGCCGCGCCGCGCACAAGTAGTAAAGCTCGACGGGTGGTCAGGCCATTTACCGCAGGAGAAAGGTCAATCGAATAATTGGCTGTCGGTGGATTTTTTCAGCCTCAGCCCGTACAGCTTCGACGTGTCGCCGTCGTGCATGGACACGCCGCAGATCACGCACGACACGATACCGATCGGCGCGATACCGCTGCTGGCCACCTCGACGCCCGAGTACCATGACTCGGTTTCCAAAGTCGTCACGGCGGCCAACCAGGTCTACCTGGAATTCTGCCGCAGCGAGGAGGGCCGCGGCTTCAACGGCCAGGTCTGCTTCATCGGTGACTCGGTCGGCTCCATATTGGCCTACGACGCTTTATGCAGAACGTCGCAGTACCAGTCGCGCCACGACAGCGAGAACAGCATACTCGAGCCGACGCAGCACGACAATCACGAGTCCGCGACGACGGTCGACGACGGCAGACACCTGTCGGCTCCCTCGCCAAGAAGAAGGTCCTCGTCTACGAGGTGAGTGTAGCAGCAGCAGCAGCAGTGCCGTCTCTCGAGCTGCGACTAATCGGCGATCGTGCCCTTTTTTTTTCAGCGACCACTCGCATCAGTGCAAACTCGATTTCGAAGTAAACGAACTATTCATGTTCGGCAGTCCCCTATCTCTCGTTTTAGCCTACAGAAGAATATCGTCGAACAGCGGGGAGAAAAGCAGCAACATCAACAGGCCGTGCGTCAATCAAGTGTACAATTTGTTTCACCCGTCGGATCCCGTGGCCGCGCGTCTAGAGCCCCTGATCTCGGCTCGTTTCTCCCTCCTGCCACCCGTCAACGTCGCTCGCTATCAAAAGTATCCTCTCGGCAACGGTCATCCCTATCATTTACGTGAGTCCATCTTAAACTTTTTATTTTTTATTAATATCATGTGCTTAATAGCATGCTCTCTTTTTTCTCTCTGTTGCAGTGGAGACCATTCAAACGAATCCTCAAATTTTTGCCGACGGACTAAACGTGCCTAATGTGACCATGTCCCACATACGAAGACTGTCGGATATATCAATTCATAGTACCATGTCTGGTATAGATACCGTACCTCTTCAAGCTGTATCTTCTCGTATATATCGCTATTCTTGCTTCAGTAGTTGCTTTAGACAAACTCATCCTCTGACTGTTTTTCATTCACGGCCACTTTGTATTACCCTTGCAGTCACTCAGAAATGGTGGGGCACCAAGAGAATAGACTACGCCTTGTACTGTCCGGAGGGCCTGGCCAACTTCCCGACCAATGCGCTACCCCATCTGTTTCACGCGAGCTACTGGGAGTCGTCGGACGTGATCGCCTTCATCGTGCGCCAGCTGGGCAGGTTCGACCTGCAGCTCCTCGGCAACGACGACAAGGAGCTCACCAACTTCCGTCCAGGCCAGCCGAGAGAGAAGTGGAACAAGAAGCGCACCTCGGTCAAGCTAAAGGTAGCGCGCTCGATCAATTATCTACCTCGATCGTCACCGTGATTCGCGCTACTTTTTTCAGAATGTCTCGGCTAATCACCGAGCGAACGACGTCATCGTTCGAGACGGCACGCCCCAGGTACTGGTGGCGAGATTCGTCTACGGTCCCATAGGGGTAATCGCTTTGACCGGCGAAAAAGTTGACATTCACATAATGAAGGACGTACGGGCGGGCGAGTGGGTGCTCTTCTCTACCGAAGTCACGGATAAAACCGGCAGAATCAATTACCAGATTCCCGAGGACAAAACTCTAGGCTATGGACTCTATCCCGTGAAAATGATCGTGAGGTAAAAATCCTTCTTTAGCATTTTTAACCAATTCGAGGTAAAGAACATTTTCGCGCAATTATGCGTATGCAACACGTATGCGCAGAGGGGACCACACATCCGTGGACTTCTTCATGGCGGTGATCCCACCGAAAACCGAGTGCGTGGTCTTCAGTATCGACGGCTCGTTCACCGCCAGCGTATCCGTCACGGGAAGGGATCCCAAAGTCCGTGCTGGCGCCGTCGACATCGTCAGGCACTGGCAGGAGCTCGGCTATCTTATAATCTACATAACCGGCCGACCGGATATGCAGCAACACAAAGTCGTTTCGTGGCTATCGCAGCACAACTTCCCGCACGGTCTCGTATCCTTCGCCGACGGTCTGACGACCGACCCGTTGGCCCATAAAGCTGCTTATCTGAAAAATCTAGTTCAGGTATGCAAAGTTCTGTAGGGTCGCTCGCTGCACTCGAGTCGCTGAAAGTCTGGAAATCGAGTTCGATGAATTTATCGGCTAATTACTCTTGTTCCCTCTGCAGGAGCATGGAGTAGTGATCCATCACGCGTACGGCAGCAACAAGGACATAAGCGTCTACCAGATGGTAAATTTGCTGCCCCAGCAGATCTTCATCGTCGGAAAAGTGCCACGAAAAAATCACGCTTTAGCCACGGTGCTGCACGAGGGTTATGCGGCTCACCTCGCTACCCTACAGGCCCACGGAGGCTCGCGACCGGCCCAGGGCAATGCACGCATGGTTTTACCTAGAGGACAGTTTGGTCTTCCAGGACAGAACGCGTCGCTTCGACGCCGAAGGTGAGCAACAGTTCACTCGACTCACTTACAATTTTCTCTTTCATCTCTTCATCCATAACTTCTTTTAGTTATTGTTATATTTTCCTCGATTATTAACTCTTTATATAATATATATTTTCATCGATCGCCTCTTTTCTATTTATAATAATTCATTTTTATTACTCTATATTACATTTTTCTTTTTCTTGAAGCTTTCTCTGTTCGTAACAATCCATTTTTTATTTTTATTAGCAATAGCTCATAATTAGCGGGCATCATCTGTTTGATTTTTTTTTCTTATTTTTAGAAACGCATTTTACGGCGAGCATATGAATTAAATATAATATAAATCATACAAAAATTTCAATGTGGTGCATTTAAATGTAATGTCTTGAGAAATGTACTTTGTGTACATTATCGATGTCAATTTTCATATAATCGGCGTGTATATTTTTATCAACTGGTCTATTTTTGTGAAAATTCCAAGTGAAAAATCGATGTTGATTGTAAAGAATCAATTCAACCAAAGTTTTTCATTTGGGACATTTAATTCCCGTGTTAAATGATTTTTATCCTTTTTTAACTGTTTAAACGAACGTGTTGTTATGAGGCAAGAATTGATGGATTTTTTCGATAGATATCTAGGCATCATTGCATAATTTCAATGTTGATCCCCCGATGGCCTATCCAAAATATGACCACGACTTGGAACCAGGAAATTATACCGAAACGTACACTGTTACGTATTACTGGTCCTGTGGTCGATTAGTTGAGAATTCACATTATATTTTTAGATTTAAAACATAAATAGTGAATATAAGAGAATTTAATATATGAAAGTGTCGGACACGGACGCTAAGGTTACATAAGGACTGATAAACGGGGAAACTGCGGTCCACAGATGTATAATCACTTTTATATAATACATGCATAGTTTATTTAACATACACCAATGACTAGAGGACATTTGCCTCAATTTTGAATATATTGTGTGAGTGAGTGTGCGATGAGATAGAGAATACGAGCCTGAATTCGGCTCTGTTCCAGCAACGACACGGCGCCAGTCAGCTCGTCCTCGGCGCGCAGCAGTGTGTACTTAAAAGGAAAGTCTACCTTAGTCACATCTAATACACGACTATTATCTACGTACAATTAACTTACTCATATTGGTAACTATTTCTCTCGTCTCTATTCTTCATTACAAATCTTATAATTTTGTTTGATTGGTCAATATTTTAGCTATGGCCTTGTGATGATTCTTTATTACTGTATTGTAAAAAAACGAATCCCTTGTTATTTGAAATGGTCTAATTTGTTTAATATAAGCACAGGTAGACTGACTGTCTCACAAGATATTATTTTATGAATCAACGTTTTAATCCATCGAGACATGAGTAAAGATGAATGATATAAAGTAATAAAGAACAACAGTAAAAATTCTGGCTGTCCTTCTGAACATTTAATTGACGTGAATTTATAAAGAAAAAGTAAAATCGGATTGGTATTCACGCGATTGAAGTAAAAGCATGCGCAACGTTAAAGTGAGACAGTCTCTATCTCCCCAAAAAAGCTTTGGAATGCCCTTTAGATATTTATATCGCACCCTCGCTATGGCGCCACTTTTCCACTTATAAACGCCTACAAAATATTATTCAGCTAAATTTTGATACGTGCAGCTTACGTTCATTTAAAAAGATCATCGTCACGGTTCATTTATTTTCTTATCACTATCTGTTAAAAGTCTATATAATAAAATAAATAGTATATTTTGCACCTAGGGAGTGAAAAACTGGAAAGTCTCAGAGCATGTGTAATTGTGCTCGGCTTCGCCTCGGCTGATAATCACGTGCTCTGAGACTTTCTTTTTTCGCTACATAGGTGCAAATACATTTTTTTGTGAATCCCCTGGCCTAAAGTTACATTTTCATTTCGCTTAGCGGGAGTAAAATGAAAATATTACTTTAAGCTGGGGGATTTACAAAAAAGTTCATTTGCACCTATGTAGTTAAAAAAGGAAGTGGAATTCATCAGCCGGAGCGAAGCCTCCACGTGCCCTGAGGCTTTTCAGTTTTTCACTCCCTAGGGGCAAAATATACTAATAATTTTCGGCTAATGTTTTGTACCTTGGCACTATTGAAATGAATATGGAAATAATGTATTTGAAAATGAGACCAATTTGTGTGCATTAGCCTTGTGATCATGATAAATTACAGGTGCCGAGAGTGAAGATGCATGCGTTCGGCCAGCGTTCAATTGAATGAAATTTATCCGAAAAAAACCGAGACTACAACGATTTAATCAAAATAAACTGACGAAACAAAGTCAAATAGACTTCATTGTTAATGTAAAACTGTACGGCCTACTTTCACTCTCGCCATCATCATCAACATTCTACATACCAGCGTCGTATCACGGCGAGACTATTTGGATTTGTGCGGGCCTTGACATGTCTACTTTATTCGCTGAAAAAATACACGTAAATACGCATACGTTCCGGCAAGTGCTGAAAATTTTTCGTATTGGACGGCGACGACTATGACGATTGCGACCACGAGACGATATATTTGTCCACACGTATTACGCATAAAAAGCTTTCGGGGGGTCACGCACGTGACCGAGGTAATTAAAACGCAATTATTCAATTCACTTCAACGCTGCACTTCAAGCTCTAATCATATGTTTCAGTCTTTTCTGTTCTGTCAATCTGTCAACGTATCAACAACGATGATCGAACAATTTTTTCACTGATGGACACGATTAATACCGACGTCTCTATTACAACAAAAATATTCACGAGCTTCTACTGTCTAGAAAAGCTTCGCTTTAAATACTCACGAGACTTCGATATAATCCGTGCGTTGATGTTTTTATTTTTATACATGCTTTGATGGAGAACGATAGGAATGTAACAAATAACACGTGTTAGTCATCCGTGCATATTTTGTGTCTTGTAATTTTTCAAAACGACTCTAAAGAAATTTCTTTTTCCAATATGATTTTGAATTGTGTCGTGATTTATATAGCATTTTATTACAAAAATTGCGACACCCATTGACATCACAATCTTCATTGTTGTCACGTAATTGCACGACACATTGAGATTGATCTTTTCTTTTCGAGACGTTTGGGTGACTTTATCTTGAATCTAAAATATCAGGCATGCATTTTAAAGACTAACATATTACGTAGGATTATGTATACAAGAATAGAGTTATTACAATACTATTTAAAGTGAATAATTGAATGAATACTTAATTCATTGAAACATAATATAAATATATACACTCCGCAACAAAAGTTTTCATTGAAATGTTACCCATTTTCAATTGCTTCTATATCCGTTAATTTTTATCGTACTGAGACGATTTTTTTTAGTTTTCTTAGAAATGTTTTCTAGTTTGAAGCCATATATATTTTGAATAGGTTTGAGTCAATTTTGAGTTGCTAAACGCTCTTAAATGTAACACCTAAAATGACAGAAAAAAAGAATTTTTTATACCATCTACATATACACCATCGCAAAGTACTCTTTTCGACGAATAATTTAAAAAAAAAAGAGTTCTCTAACTTTTTTTGCGCCCTGTATGTCGTTTTAAAAGTACCATTTAAAGTACGTAAAATGACTCTTTCAGCTAAAATCGACTCGATCCCTTTTTATTTTTTTTTAATTATTTGTCAAAAAGAGTATTTTACGATGATTTTTAGATTGTATGAAAAATTACTGTAGTCCAGAGATTGAAGTTTAATCGATCAATTTTTTGGGCATTTTTTGTGTTACGTTTAAGTGCAACCGTTTCTTAATTTATATATGATTTAAACTAGAAAAAGTGTCCATAAAAACAAAAAAACTTGTCTCGGTACAGTCACAGTTAATGCGAATAAAAGCAATTAAAAATTTAATATATTTTAATCAAAATTTTTGTTGCGATAATTTTGTTACGGAGTGTATCTAGATTAATTAGTAACACAAAAGAATTAATTAGATTATTGTGATGTAGCTGTACATTGTTGATTAGTTCAAATAGAATTAATTAATCACTAAGAGTTAGAATTTTCATATTCAGATCGATAACACCAAACAAACACCTTTTCACACACGTGGGCTTAGTATCAAATCTACTTCTCACTGGACTAGGAGAAGTCAATGTTGCGCGTTTAAAATTTAAAATCTAAGTTCAAATTTCATTTATTGTCGCGTGATATTACGAACAGACATTTAATTATAGGGACCATTGAATACTCAGCCACTGCTAATGCCGTGATATGCCTTTGAAAACTTTTTCGTTTGATTATGCTCGTTTTTAAATTGTGGTTAAACTTTGTCCACTTTTTTTGTTAAATTAATTTTCACTATTCACAACAATTTTTTGTCATTATACATTTATATTCTAATACATTGGTGTGCTTCAAGCAACATAACTTGTATTACAGCATTCGACATTGCTTATTATATTTATATACGCACCTGCTGATACTTTTGATGTGCTCAAATTAGTGTAATAGAAATCCTTGCACACTGCTCGATGTCAAAGTCTGTGTGAACGATTTCTCAGGTATAATACTTCATCGTGTTTTTTTTATACACGCATATACGCAATCGGTACACTGATACAGTTTTTAATACTCTCTACACTCAAAGTTATTTCAATAATATATCGAAGCGTCCGCTTTGAGATATTACAAAACAAACGAGAAAAAAAAGATTTCGCATAACGTAATTTTCTTTAGTTTTGGCACTTACTGAAAGTGATGCGTAGCAAAATTTATTTCACAGACTCTAGCAAGACCGTACTGTTAGGGTTAATTTTTCTCCAAAGACAGACTCGTCTGCCTTTGAGAAAAGTTCGCAGGGTTCGTTAAACAGACTGGCAAAGATTTGTTTTCTACCTTGAAAAGCGAAATAACTGAAAAAGAGTTTTATAGCACCGCTGCTTTTAAATATTGCACGAATACTTATCAACGTTGTAGGCGTTCAATTTTTTTAATGTGAATCTATTTGTCGTTAAGCGGTGATTGATTGTTTTTTCATATTTTGAAATAGTCTATATTGAAAGAAATGAAGTATTTTACGAGAAAATATAAAGCACATACGACGATGTGTTCAGCTGTTTTTTCACGAGAGCAGCTCGAACATTTCTCGTAAAAGTGGTTTATTGTATTATATTTTATATTAATTATCTTAGCAAAACATCTCTCAGGGCACTGAGCGATGTTACTTAGGACTGAGCCGCGTGATCCGCAGCCCCCAGGCCTGCGAGAGTTGTATAGGAGCAATGCTTGGAAAAGTCGTGAAAAAAAGCGACGAAGAATTATTCCGAGGATGTTATTCTGCTATCTTAACGAAGAATACATAAATACATCTAGTCACTGTATATTAGAAGCTTAGTTGAAAATGTCGCTATAGAAACAGAGACGTTTATATGTTTTACTATACAGCGAATGTCTGTCTCTTTACATATATATTTGTAGATTCTCAAGGTAGTCCCAAAGCTCATTATACAGGCCAGACATTTCTCCCTAGTCTCCGTTTCTATAGAGACGGAAAATCAGATTTCATCTCTATTTCAAAGGAAGCAGAATAAACCTCGATATAATACATATACGATCAATAATAATAATGTTAATTCGTAATCGCGCATCACATTTTGCACGATTGGCTATGCAATCCGCTGCATACGCATTATGTACATTGAAAAATTTCTGTTTAGTGTTTTTATCTATTTTTTTGTTAATTTATTTGTTATATTTATTTTTTTTAATTGTCTGACTTAAAGCTGAGCAAAAATAAATATGTTATAATTTTAATCTTTTCTAAAAAAAATTTGATTTTGAGTTTTGCCTCGATATAGCGCGTGCGAAACGAGGTGCATGAAAAAGAGAACAAAGAAAATTGATTGCACTTTTCGTGTTGTAGATCAACCAAGAGAGCCACGTCACAACCTGTGGGCGCAGCAGTGGGCTTCGAGGACAAATGTGGTGTAGGCGCAGCAACTGGTGCTGGCGCCGCTGCAGCTGCTGCTGCTGCTCAACAGCAATCCGTGCCACTGGAGAGGAGCACTAGCGTCGGGCCGCCGATGTCGCCGACGGCTCATCAGCAGCAGCATCATCTGTCGGGTACCTTAGCCGGTCTCACCGGACGCTTCGCCGGTGCTCCCGACAAATTATGACGGTTTGCTCGCTGTCGCTCGTTACTCGAGCCACGGCGATAATTCCAGCGTATTTATGATCTCGATTAAAAAATTATTCAATGAATACGCGACGATGGGGTCTCGAACTCCTATATGTATATGTAAGAGACGATTGCGAACTATTCTCCTATCGCTTTTATTCTTACTTTTCATATCCAGACTCGTTATCATTGCCTCAAGCTCTCTTTAAAATGGCATCGAACATTTTTCCCCAATGATTTCAGTCCAGTGCTAATAAATATTCAAAAAAAGTACTGTATAATTAATAGACGTAACAGGAGTGGTTGAGCGTACCCTTGCCCATGTACAAATATTTACCACTGTGGTCGAGTACATTGAAATGCTTATTCATTGAAATATTTTCATAGTAAACATTCAATGTTTTACGAGGAATTCGCATTTTTACGAAACTTATAATTTCATTATTATTACTGTAATTATTATTCGACCTGATTTTACGTAATGTCAAGTTGAATATATCTGTAATTATAAAAAGTCTTTCATTTGACGGGATCAAATATGCAATTGAAAGCCACTCAGGCATGGGCAGTTTTTTGTGGACACGTACATTGTATGTTGTCTCCTACGCTCGGCAGTGTATAATCGAAAGATGATATATACACACGTAATAAGATATTCGATAAGGGAGTTTGGGTTAAAACAATTTGTCGTGATAATCAAATTACTGTTCATAATTGACGTTAATATATTTATCAGAAGACAAGCGCGCCGAGACGGAACTCACTGTTGTCGTCGAGCGCTCTCGAGTAAAATATTCTAAATGATGCATTTACGACGTGTCTACGGCAACGGATGTATAGATATTACATGGTTCATACTTATAAATATAGCTATATTAGATTTTATGATCGACTTACGTACGTGTGTTGTATAAATTTAACACTTTGCTCCTATCTCACCCGGACAAAATGATTTGATTTGAAACAATGGAAGCTTGGTCGGTTTTTTTAAAAAAAAAAAGAAAAGAAAAAGAAAAAATTCCCGCTCACTGTTACTACCATAAGTATAGCTTGAATATGATTCTGTGAGGAAAACTAGTTTATAAACTTTTTTGAAGGCTTTTTTGAAGACCTCGGAAAATCTTTTCTCGTGCGCGGCACAGAGTAAGAACGGCGAGCGGGAAAGCTGCGATGAGCATAGAAAAAAATTATAGCGCATGTAAAGAGATAAGCAGCTGCTGTAGTACCTTGATCAAAAGAATCAAGAAAATGTTTAAAACTTTTTTTAACGAATGTAAGTAATAGAATTTATAATATTCGTGAGAAGATAAAAACCTAGGCTCGTTACGAGGCAATATATACATGTGTAATACATAAGTACACGTACAATATTCATAATGGAGAAACGTCGCATGTGCGCTGTAGCTTGTAGAGTGACCATTACATCATTTCTAACAAGGCATATGGCGTAGTAGATGTTGAGTATGTAAGTTGTTGGTTGTAGCGTTCACGAATTATAAAATAATGTGAAAGCCCCTACAGCAAGTAAACTATACCATAAACTTGAATCAACGTTTCTTTTTATACTCAGGAGGCGAAAAAAACAGTATTTCGATATTATTACAATATCACTCTCGTGCACGCAATCGTAGGCAGTTTTTAATTAATTATTATTATTATTATTATTATTATTATTATTATTATTATTATTATTATAATTATTATTATTATTATTATATTTTATAACGATCAATCGTGAAATTTTTAATGATAAATGTTATTTGTGCACACGTGTGAGCATGTAATTAAATTCAAATGTTATAAAAAAAGCAATGTGCCAAAAAAGCTTACGTGTATGTGGTCTTGGTAAAAATGAATTGATCGTTGAACATCAGCTTCGGCTGACTGCAAGCTATGCGCATGTGTAACTAGATGTATCTCCCGATGTCACACCTAAATACCATTAAATTATCTTATATCGAGGGAATAAATGTCTAATAGTTAGTAAAGCTAAAACGTTTCCATACGAAGTCAAGTGCTGATCTCAAGCATTCTAGTGACCACAATATTATAGATAAACGCTTGTTAAGTTTTTTTGATCTCTTTTATTCTTTAATACAGTCTCCACCGTTATTAATATAAATAATTATCTAGATGTGTCGAGTATAACACTGCTCTATGTATGCTATATGGCATGTACGTGATTTCAGCGGTGCTATATCTATATTTTTGTCAAAAAAGGCAAAGAAGAAGAAAAAAACTTGGCCCCACCTCGAGAATTATATCGTTCATCACGTAATAAAATTAAAATTAAACTTTCTATGTCTCTCTTGACGAAAATCGGGAACGAGTTGCGGGCGCGCAAATAACGACAACAATTGAGCAATATATATGTAAGGCGAATTCTCTGTGAAATAGAATGTCCAAAAAACTTTTATTGATAGCATAAAAAATTTGTTGTTTTTGATGCCATGCATGCCCCCGACTGTTATTCGAATTTTCCATCAATCACTTTCGAAGGCTTGATAATGATATTTTTGCCGAAATTCATGATTGTTACTAACTAATATTGAAGCAATTTCTAGCTCAGCCCAGTAAAGGAAAAATATCGAAAAAGGGGTACTTCTATCTTTTTGTGCTGTATTGGTCTTTTATTTATGTTTTTTGTTTTTCAATACTCTAGGATTTCTCGTGATGTTAGTTGAAATTGTACAGAAGCTCCATACGTTTTTTATACATATATTGACTTATATATAGTAGCAAGCTCATAAGGTGCTGAGGCTCTCTCTTTGAGTTCATTTTTTCTGGACAGATTGGCTAATTATCAGTAAAAAATATCTCTAGAATTTTTTTCCTACCGTCACTCAGAACTGAGCTAGGTATTTTTTGCATATTAGTAATAAGCATATAATTCGTATATACTTCGGGCCTCTGAAAAAGGGTAATACGGAGTCCCAAAAATTCTCATCAAATTTTATTACATATAGGGTACGTATAGGGTACATGAACTTGTTAGTATACAACCACCCGTTAATAACTGACTTCCGTGAGCTATTATTTAAAGAAATAGCAATTAAAATAAAGTGTAATGAATATTTTTTTAACTTCTTTAAAGGTTACTAGATAATTCGGTAAAATAGGCCACCTAATATTCAACCAAACATTAATAATTTTCAGTTCAACGTTTCAATTCAATTTTTAAGAACGAAAACAGATTTATTATGCACTTCAAGACACACTTATTCATTTATAAAAATTTTAGTCTTTGAAAATAAAAATACACTACACAACAAAATTATCGCAGCGCAAAATGTCATCGAAATTTTGTCAATTTTTAAATGCTTCTATCTTGGTCTATATTCCTTGTATCGAGACGAATTTTTTTTTGATTTCTTGGAAATTTTGTCTTCTTTAAAAATATATTATGTATGGGTTCAAGTCAACATCGAGTTACCAGTAGTATTTGAGCGCAACACTAGAAATTACTGAAAAAATCAATTGTTTAAACGTTTTTATGGACTACAATAATTTGTTTATCACCTTACCGTACCTTCAAAACGGCCTACAGTGCGCAAAAATAATCGCAGAGAGCTCTATTTTTTAATTACTCGTTGAAAAGAATACTTTGCGATGGTGTACGTTAGATTTTGATAAACTAATTACTGTAGTCCATGGATACGTTTAAACAATACATTTTTTTTCAGTAATTTTTAGTGTTGCGCTCAAATACTACTGGCAACTCGATATTAAGTTGAACCAATACATAATATATATGGATTTACAGAAGACAAAATTTCCAATAAATCGAAAAAAAATTCGTCTCGATACGATGATCAGACCAAGATAGAAGCATTTAAAATTTGACAAAATTTCGATGAAATTTTGTGTTGCGATAATTTTGTTGAGTAGTATATAAGCAAGTTCTAAGTTTATGTCATTGATGGTTCAGTAGGGTGATCGAAAACTGGAAGATTTGCATTTTTTACCTTCAAAACCTTTTTTAGAAATATTATATGATTTTTTTGTTCAAGTGTAATTATAGAAGGTTACATTTTTTCTTTTATAAAGCATTTTTAGAAAAAAAGTGTTTATCTAATCCATTTCACAGAGAACTGGCCACAACATACATATATACCTATATATATAAATATATTATTTTCTTATATCACTATTGAGATCGGCAAGAAAAGAAATGATAATAATTGGCCAGACTTATGGATACGATACGCCACGAGTCAATTTGTAAAAATATAATTATAACTTGACTTATATAAACAATGTATTATGAAAAGTTGTGCAATAAAATATGAGCGTGTACATGAGTATGTATAAGATAAGAGTATGAGTGTACGAATATATCAATGTATCGTAATTTAAACAAAACGAAAATTTTTTTAAGGAGATAAACCCCATGGGAAAACTGTCTACAATCATAGGCTATATCAACGAGTTCAAATGTAATGAGTGCATTTAATGTTGCCCTCGATAGATATTTTACGCGTGTATATTTATCGATCAAAAAGTTTTATTTATGTATAATTCTGTTCTTTTACTCAATTACTATCATAAACTATACACTAGAGTAGACACTGATGGTAGCCCATCGATTTCTAATGGATTTTTTATTCCATTTAGCATAGTAAACCACTGTTCGATTTAATCCTGATAAGGTGCGAAAAACCGAGATGGGTTGAGGAAGACGAGCAAATTTGTTGGCTAGTTGTTAATTTTTCACTAGAGAGAGAGCGTTTGATCAAGAATTTGAATAATAACGATTATAATATCCTTAAACTGAATTTAGAATCACTCGGGACTGAAGAGTTGCAAACGCAATTGGAATATACATGCTTTTAAAGTATAACTGGTGTAGTCCACTATTTTTAGACATTAAATTTTACTTTTAACTGTTATTAAATAAAATGAAGCCGTATATTGAATAAATGTATGTATAGGTAAAACTATACCTTTGAATAACGATATAGTCTATTATGTATATTATAAATATACGTTTACAACAAACCTGTAAGAAATTTCTCGATTTTTAAGTGAAAGGCTATTTTTATAGCTAAAGCCATATGACAGAAAAATATTTTAATCAGAGGTATATTTTTCAAATCGATCGAGTATAATTCAATTGTTGTATTTTCACATTCGAAATCTGTATGATCATGCATGATCGAATTGTTCGTTCAATCATTAATCAAATAACTGTATATGCAGATAGTTACTTTAATTGTAAGTCAATATAATTTGTTTAACGTTTCATGTGTGAGCGGTGTAAGTGTATCTAGAGTAATTATCATTCTTTGAAAATAAAGTTGAATAACTCAATTTTTCGTCGTAATGATTTTTTACTCACCAACTACATAAATCGATATTCGACTAAACACTCTTCGCCTACTTTTTACACCCGAATCGTCAATTCCTTTTCTTTTTTTTATGTTCCAAAAAATCACTCCTGATTTGCTTAAAAACAACAAGCATGTTTGTGAACGTTTTAAGTATAGTTCAAAGGGAATTGGCGCTCACTTCGGGGCTGTTTCTAAACTCGAACTATTTTTATAATTTTAAATCACGATCCACGACTGACTTCGATATATCTCGAAGTCTCTAACCGTCACCTGCCACGGCATTGTTTGTGTATGTACAAAACAGAGTTCGTGTAACTGTTGCAATTCGCACGAATACCATGTTGTCGGCGTAAACCTATGTATTTACCTTCGGCAAAAACAATAATCGCATTAGAGCGTCATCATAATACTTCGGAGTCGAGACTTTTTCTTCCGAGTTTGTTCAAATTTTAATAAAAAGTATTATATATAAGTATTATAATGTCAAACTTCGTAACTAATAACGATCGTCCTAGATTAAGTATTAAAAGGAATAATTTCGATTTACCAAAATTGCAAGAAATATTACGACAGGTTAAGTGGAACGTTATTAAGACTAACAAAATCAAGTTTCGATGATATCTTTCATACATCTGATTAAAAATTTCCTTTTTATTAAAGCCAATAAAACTTTAATTTAAATTTTAAATTGTTATAGAAATGCCAGCAACAGATCCGTGAACGAAGATACCAGTTGCTCAATAAAAGGAGGTTTGAGTTGTTGTCTCCTAATGATGTGCAGGAAACCTTGACGGAAATAGTTCGCCAGGAGTTTAGTAATTTAGGAACCACTGAAAAGTCTGACATTGACACTAGTACAAAAACAATAATAAACAGTCCATTGGATTTCGAAGAAGCTTTAAATGAGGAAAATTATTTAATTGCTGAGCAAGGTCTTTATATTTCTTATTAAGTTTTTGCTGCATTTGATAATTTTGTAAATTTAAAAGTAATTGTAATGACACAAGTAATTTTAATTCCATAAATTTTGGAGAAATAACATCAACAGTTTTCTTTGTAATATTTTCAGAGCAATGGATCTTGCAAGAGTATGAAAGACTGTTACAAAGCGAGGAACAAATGTTTGATATGCTAGAAGATGAAGTTCTCTGTCCCATGTGCCAAAAATCGTTTCTGGAAGAAATTCCTGACTTCATATCTTGTGATATGTGTGGTTTAAAAATAAGGACTGAAATAAGCCTCAATAAATTTAAGTATTATTTAGAACTGTATGTGAATATGCATTCAAATAATTGTCTACAGGTTCCTCAATTTTCTCTTGTATTGAATAACAATAATACATCACTTCAAATATCTTGCTTAGCATGTTCAAAGTTTTTTGTAATAAGTACTATAGAAACGTAAAGAAAAAATTCTAAATTTAATTTTAAGGATTAGAAAATGTTACAATAAATAATCAAGTACAAATATTAAGCGGAAATCCGTTTGAGGATACTATTATTTAAAATCTCAGATTTTGTAACATTTTTAACATTCACAGATTGTGTAATGAAATCAAATAACTTTTGTAGTTTCAGTTTTAAAGTTTTATATTATTTTACATATCAAGTTACTCTTGAAAAACGTGTGACAAAACATTTTTAATCTGTAATAAAAATTTTAAGCGACTAAAACTTAACCAACGACATACAATTTCTGAGAATGTACTTTTGATCAATGAGATGAACTTAATTATATTATAAAATTGTATATATTTGATTACAGTCAGCTGTGTTTTTATTTTTTTTTTTTTTGTTATAATAGAATTAAATTAAAATTTGATATTTAGTTTAAAGTGAAAATCATGTTCAAAATATTTCAAAAATATATGTAAATGTACATTGTAACTATGTTTTCATAATAATATATGTTGCTGAAATTGTAAATCCTATTTTTATCTAAACTTGTTTTCACATTTATTTTCAAAACTTACCTTACTATTATTTTTTATCATATTTTTAATCTTGAATCTATAGAAATTAATTACAACAACAATGGTCAAATGATTTTTCCAACTCCTCATTATATTAACTATTAATATAGTTGAAACTCGACCGGAAAAAATTTTATTTCGCGCGCCGCGCATGAGCGAAATGTGCCAACTTCGTTGAGTCGACTGTCGGCTGTTGTTATATCATATAATGAGGGCATAAGTAGAACATTAAAACTAGCCTAAATGATAAAAACATTCAATTTTGGCTCAATTTTTTTTATACAAATTACATAATGGCATCCCAAGTTCTTAGCCCCGATAATTCGAGACACCTCAAAAATCTACAAGCAGCCAGAAGAATAAAAAATGGTTCGCCAAAGATTCGTGAAATGCTCAGACAGGTTACATTTAGATTGTTTTGTATCATTGTTTTTTAATTTGAGTAAAAGAAAATGAAAATGATAAAAATCAATTTATTTGAACAACAGCGGTGTCGACAACGCATGCACGAGAGAAGAGACGAAATCTTTCTCAAAAGAAGACATGGATTAACTAATTATTCTGAAGAAGTGAAGGAAACTCTGACTGAAATATTACATCAAGAATTTGAGAATGTGGCTTCTATGGAGTGGGATAATCCATCAATACAACTGAAGTCCATATCTCAAGGTGGGGCATTAAAACATGATGAACCATTTGAAGAAACTTTTGATATTGATGAAGAAGCGGAAGGTATTTGAAAATTAAACTTAGCATCCATGATAATTATTCTGTATTTTTTACTCTTTCCATTTTTAACAGAGCAGTGGATCTTAGAAGACTATCAAAATATGTTGTGGGATCAACAACAAATACAATCAATGTTTGAAGACCATGTGAAGTGTCCAATATGTTTCACACATTTACTCAGAGAAATACCAGACTTTGTTGTTTGTGATTGTGGGTTGAAGTTACCTCTACAAACAAATTTGGAATGTTTAAAACATAATTTACGGGAACAAGTCAATATTCACTCTTCTTCTTGTTTAGATGTTCCAAAATTCTCAGTATTCAATGATGGTGAACATTTATCGCTTTGTCTGACATGTTTATCATGCGATGCTTTTGCTTTGTTTTGATAAAATATTTTATTATGTTAACTTCTTTGGAATAGAGTTTGTTGAGTAAATTAAAAATGTGATATTTTTTACTTTGTGTGTGTAGCACTTAACTAATTAACATTAAATATTCCAAGTATATTAGATCTTTCATTGATTTGATGCATTGAAAAACTGCATATTGATTAAAATTGTTTTAGAAATAATAAGAAAGTATATTTTTTTGCGGAATTGGCATTTATTGTAAGTTTGTTGTCATTGAATTAAGCTCAAGAACTATTTCAATGCATGTGTAATGCTAAAGTTAATATTAACAATAAATATACTGTTTTTTATGGAATAAACATACTTTTGATAAAAAAAATGTAAATTTATTATCAATCCTTACAATTTCGAAAAAGACCATGAAAAAAATCATAAACTGAAGTAATTTGCGATCCAATATGATAATCATTGATTCTCAAATTTACGTTATTCTCGGCTCTTCGAAGTTCGGACTTGCGCATTCTTAAGGTACCTGTATATCTATAGAGTATTGATCTATATTAAGGCTTCCCCTTATATTTACCCCACCTTAATAAGACATGCTTACGGTGCTCAGTTGAAGCTGGAAAATGATGTTTGCTAGTGTATCGTAAACAATCACATTTTAGACTTGAATCAAAATTATTCCTGAAATATCAACGAACGTCGTATATTAATTAGTACGTGTATAATATTTAACTCATATATAATGGCTACTGCATCTTTGGCCAAGAAGAGCGTGAAAGATCGATTTTGTCACAAACAAAAAGACATCATCAAACTTCGGGATGATCTGAGAAAGGTAGGAATTAAAAGATAACTTTAAATTATTTGTTTAGATTGAATGAAAAATTCCTTCGCATTATAATAGATAAGTATGAACGAAATTTTTCAGCGCTGTAAATCACGAATGCAAAACCAAAGAGAGGAATTGCTTAATCTGCGCAGATTTGGAGTGCATTCTGACGACGATGTAGAGGATAAGATTAAAGAAATTTTTTACAACGAATTGGTGGACGTTACAGAAGAACACGATGTCCCTGAAGTAGCTGTGAGCGTAAAAAAAATTATTAAAAATGAAGAAGTGGTGAAAACAGAAGACGGTAATATTACAAAAAATTCTATTGATTTTTCTGTATTGAACAGCTATTATTAAACAAAGCTAATTGTCATAACTGTATCTTATATTTCTTTCTTCCAGAGCAAGTCATAATTGATGAATATCATAAATTCAAAGAAGAAGAGACATCGACCATCCTGAATGATATTAGCTGAGTTAGAATGCATCTTCTATAGTTGTTATCATTGGGGGATAAATTTCAAATCTGTCATTTCTTTTTTTTATTGTTATAAAATAAAAATATTTTATCAATATGTTATTTAGAAAACCTCAAATCAAGTTGTACTCAAAACACTTGTTATACTTTTCTAAAAACTGTTATTTCTAACGTTGTTATTTCAAATAAAAAATACTGCATTTGTTAAAATATCAAATTTATTAGTGCTGTAATAAAATTAAACTTAACTATTCACGAAAAATTGTAATTTATAAGAAATTAATTAATATTGATAATAATTGTATCCCAAATCAATAAAAAATTTTTTCATTAACATTTTATTCTTATCAATATTGACACATTTTGCGGTTTACAAAAGTTTTTTTACAACTAATCTCTATCATGTAATTGAACTTTAATAAGTATTTTTACATTATCACATGAATATTGTAATAAACATTTTGTTTTGCATATTGTTATCAAGTAACAGTATTAATAAGATATTTATTCAATAATCTGTTTAGAAGTCATTATCTTTTTACCACAGGCACACTTAATGTTCTTACAGAATATGCATATAATCTCAAATCAAATCATAATTGAAATTAAAACATAATTATTTTACACAATATATCTATAAAATAATATTCATATATATATATATATATATATATATATATCGTATCGTATATATATCATATATATATATATATCGTATATATATACAACATATGATATAATATTTATAATAAATATAAAATAACATTTTTATATATAGTTTATAATTTTTGACGTTGCGTTAAACATATCAAAAATAATTTTTTGCAGGCCGCATTAGATTTTTAAATAGAATTGTATCTAAGTAACATTTGCAAATAATACTCCTTCACCTATTTAAATCTTTATCATAAATTTTTTACATGAAAATGCAAAATTTATCATTTTTATCTTTTAAAACTCATTATTTATGCGAATCTTCGGACATTCATTGCAATATTACAATCCTACCATGTTGAATTTATTAAAAAATTGTTGTCATTTATACTTTTAATAATAAAATATTTCTGGGATATCATAATTTCATAAAACAATAATATTGATCACTTCATTTCGTTATGTGCATTGAAATTAAAATTTATTTTTGTAAATTTATTTTCAAACATATAGCAGCGTGGTAATCAAATAGAAAATTAACAAATTTGCAATGCTTATAAAAAGTTGTCAAGCTTCTCATTGGAATGTCAAAATATTTTTATCTTTTCAAATGTTGTAGTCAGTTGCAATTTACAGTAAAATTTAGCAAATATTATTATACAAAATCAATGATCATTCTCATTCAACATTTGCTCAATTAATTTTGAGAATTAACAAATGACACAAAAATTGAGATAGATTATTAATTATACGCTTTCAAGAAATGTCTTTACATTTGTACTTTTATAATTCTAATACGATTGACACTTATAAGTAAGTGAACGTCGATACATAAGAAATTGCATGTTTTGCATCCAGCATTTAACGAAACCACAAAAATGTATCAATTTGACACATACTGTAACGCACATGCAGTCTCCAAAGTTTTCCATCAAAATTTTCTGAAATAATAAATAATCTGCGGTAACTGTTTTTTTCAGCTTCATATCAGGCTGAGAGAATGACTTTTTGAAGTTACAAAAATATAACGTACAATTCAACCTTGCATTGAATCGTTTCGAGGATTCGGATTATCAAGTTTGCCGACTGCTGCAATAGCTGCTTCAGCAAGACTTGTTGCATCATAAACAACGTTAGTTCTTTTTGACAAATCCCTCAATTCCATTAGGAGAGCTAAAGTATGAAAAAAAGTTGTAATATTTACAAATGCATGGACGGAGCTATATAAAAAAACGAACAATCCTTATCTCACCTGGTCTAAGCATCGCTAATGAACATTTATCACCGGCCCATTTTTTGGTAGTTTCGCATAAGTCATCCATACTAGTCGTTGAAACCGATGCATTGAAAGAATCAAATAACGGCTGAATACATACACTGAACTATATAAAAAGCTTAGGAAAATAGTTACATTGAATTTTTTTTTACATTTTCAAATTTTAATGAAGTATCAAAATGATAAAATTTTAAATTATTAAGAGCAAAGGATACAATCCAAAACTTCCAATTATCGTGCGTCTTGAGTTTGACATATTCATCGAACATTTCTTTCATTTTAATAGACCTTTGACTCGTAACTGGAGCTCCTTCAGCAGGTAACTTGTTGTGAACACATCTAAATGAAATTATGAAGAAAATATTTAAAAATCAATGTTGACATTATAGTAAAACATTTTAGAATTCTATTACGACGTACGCAATTTCTTGATTCAAAGATTCCAGCTTTAATTTCATATCATTCACTTCCGTCCTAATAATATGTCGCTCACTCCGAAGCGTCCTGATATAATCAGCACCTTTCTGCAACATAGCTGCCTTGCTCATTTTAGTATTTGGATTACTATTGAGCTGTGGTATTAGATTATAAAGAGTATCGAAGCCATTTTTAATATTGCATCGTCTTTTTTGCTCGGCATGAATGTGTCCAACACGTCGTTGTTCCCTGTACTGACCACGCTCCGACTCCCCTCTAACATAATTTCGACTCGGTGATAGAGGGCTTCCCACGTTCATAGGGCTATGCAATGGACTTAAACTCAGACTTTGCGGACTATGCACAGCTCCAGGTGCATTGGAACTACTATCATTAGGCGAATTCGGGTTGCTACCGCTTTGGCTTGGACTTTGAAGGTTGGTTGTAACGAGCATAGCTTGGTTTGAATTAGTCTGTAGCAATGTTTGGAAATTATCGAACGTTTTTTACTAGTGATTCAAAACAGAATTCAAACAAGATTTCAATTATTATTTAGTTAATTACCTGCTGTTGCGTCTGGTCATGAACACTGGTAATTGTGTGTATTGGTTGTAGAGTAGTCGATGTGTTGATATGATGGGGTGCATTGATAATGTTCTGGGTTCTAGCAGTTACGTTTGTCGTCGATACTGGCAGTATATGTTTTGCACCAATTACGGACTGATTTTGGCTGGTAGGACGTTGATCGGGACTGGGATGAGCAGATGTTACTGCATATAAATTTCCTGGATCTGAATTCAATTGTAATAAAAAAATTAGTTTGAAACAATTTATAAAATAATAAATATAACTTACGTATCTTTTAGTGATAAAGTGAATATATTTTTAAATATTAGTTACTTACTTTTACTCAGTAACTGTGTGAGTAGGGTGTTGCTGTTAACATTCAAAGTCGGGTCACTTACTGTTGCTATCAAGGGTCCTGGTTGAACTATGGCCACGTTTTTCGGAGCATTTTTTATCACATTTAACGAACTGCTTCGAGATCGATTCTTTGATATTTTTTGATACTGTGAAAATATTATATAGGATTTCAAAAATAAATTCTCGTATTTAAATAAAGCGATTAAACTAGTTGAGGTGAATATAATTACCCTTACTTTTGGCACGGCAAACACCTCTTCTGGAGCCTCGACAACTTGGCTATTCGGAGGTCTGGGTAACAATTTTGGCGATTGAAAAGTTGACACTCTGTAATCCATTGCGTTGTTTGGTTGTATGAGAATGTGCGACTGCGGCGTTTGTTGACTCGTACGCGTGACCACTGACTGCTGCTGCTGCATTTGTGTTGCTGGCATTGTTGGCTGCAATAAACAATTCATTTATAATATTATTTTACAAACACGCACTTTTCTTGGCTAACATCATTAAAGATTAATTAAAGTACGGTATAAAATGTAGAGTGTTAGGTTTTTAAAGTTACAAATTTTAATTAAAAAAGTCTATCTGTGGTTCAAATGACCCATAATACCCTTGTCCGCGTGTACATGAACCCATTGCATAGATATATACAGTAGGGGCACAATGATTCGGTAACGAATGTACATTTAAGACCGTATACATTCGTTACCGAATCATTGTGCCCCTACTGTACATATATGTGAGTTATTTTGACCATCATTTAGAGACTTTTATAATTAGTTAGTTACAGGCAACGTCCATTTATCGATATACAACAAGTAAATTCAAAAATGGTTCTATCATTTCAAAATTAATAACATTTTCAAGTATTTGATAATTCAAAAAGTGAAAAACAGTTTACATCCTTACCCTCAAATTACTAGTAAACTTGCATTGTTGAGCATCGAACGAACCGGTAGGCGGGGAAAATTTGTATCCAGGAGGATTTCTTTTTGTATAAGGTTTATGAGAAATATCTTGCTTCATCTGTTTGACTTGTGGTGGCTCAGTGTACGAAGAACCTAGATCGTGTGCCTGTGCAGTCGAAAAAATCGGTTCTGACGAATTCATTAGCGTTTGAGAGTTTGCCTCAGTCATGACTAATTGCAGCTGATTAGAATCAAGCCCAAGACTCGTGCTCTGAAGATCCAGAGATCTGAAATCTCTTTGGTACGCCAATTGTTGTGGTTGGGGTTGTGAAATTAATTGATAGGTCGACTGTTGCGACTGTTGTCGGGTCTGCTGATGTGCATTTAATTTCGAAGCACGCATATGTCCTCTACTTTGTCGCTGTGATTTTTCCCTTATCATGGGTAGTGCCTGCTGTTTCTGTACTTGTTGATGTTCAAAATTTTGGGAAGTTATGTTGAAGTTTTGATTTAGATTTCTGAAATAATCATTTGTTAAGTTTCTATATAACAAAAATTGTGGTCAAGTTCATGAACAAAGGTTCGATAAAAACTTACGAATTATTACTGAAAAGTGAACTATTTTGCTGTTGCATTTGTTGTAACTGTTGTTGTTGTTGTTGTTGTTGTTGTTGTTGTTGTTGTTGTTGTTGTTGTTGTTGTTGTTGTTGTTGTTGTTGGTGTTGTTGTTGTTGGTGTTGTTGTTGTTGTTGTTGTTGTTGTTGTTGTTGTTGTTGTTGTTGTTGTTGTTGTTGTTGTAGTTGTTGCTGAAGTTGCTGTTGTTGATGAGCTTGTGTGTACATCTTGGCGGTGTACTGTAGATTTTGCAAGGCAACGCTTTCGTCGGTTTGCATGGACGGTGGCTGATGCTGATTAGTCGTAGCTATAGACAAGATTGGCGAAACGGCACTCGACGAAACTGTCCCGCCGCTCAGACTAACAGATGGGACTTGGTTCATCGAAGACAGGAGGTCGATCTCAGGGTAAGAGGTTGCAGTGAGTGAGGCGGCACCTTGACCATAGACGTCATCTTCGGGTTGCATAGGTATTTTTGAAGTCAAGTATTCTGTAAAAACGCTCGTTTCTTGACTATCACCGACTACGAGTGTGTTTATCATTAGTGTTGTTCATGCATTTTTTCATTCTCAGAGTAAATTTACGCGAGTTTCCGATTTTTTTTTTATACGCAAATGTTAATTTATGCTCGATGTATCGAAAAATAATAGATTGAACTAGGTATTATCGTGCTATTATGTAGTATAAAGTAACAAAAATAAACCTTCTGGATGCTGTATCCAGATCACAGCCTGAGTATAGACTGCTGCTTGAAATAAAGTTTGAACCCGCTTGTCTTAAATTGAGAATTCAGTGAAACAATCAAAATGGTTCACAAAGAAATATTTATCGTACAATTTTAGATAAATTTTAGCAGAACATATGTATTGGATACAGCTCGGGGAATCCATTGAAGCCTTTACCGACTATTCATGAAATTGACTTCTAATAATTAACATGGATTTTGGTACCAAATAATTGGTAACGCTTTTAGGTAGCGTACAAACAAATTGTGAAAAAACAAATATAACGAGTTTATATCAAAAGTACATAGGAAAAAAGGGTGGGCTAATTTAAAATTTTTTCTTAATTGATCATAGCTGGTCGATACATATTTAATTTTGCAACGCCCTTCAATCATGTATTTCTTAAATTGTAAACACTATAATAAATTTCCTCTAAAAATCTCCTAGTTTTCACTACTTCGGGTAAAAAACTAGTTAACCTGATTGAACCATCAAAATACAATGCACTGAATTTTGGCTCCATTACACGCTTTAGATGCTCTGTTATTAATAATTTTTATGAAAGATTTGTATATTCATTTCAGACATTCAATTTCAAATAATTGACATTTAATAGAATAAAATGGATAAGAACAATGCAAATATCCAGACCACAACATAAATTTCGAAATTGAATAAGGAAAAAAAAACATTTAAAATCTAAACCTATATAACTCACAACAATATTATATGAATTTTAAAATTTTAGTATGTTTTAAAGTTTATTGACATTTGCAAATTTTTGTTTTTATTTATCAGTTTTATATTTTATTTACTTGTCTGCTATTGCAAAGAATATATTTTTAAACTTGCAAATGCTAGAAAATCCATACAAAATGTTGTTAAATTAAAAACAATTGATTGAAAAGTGAGAGTTTTTTTTTACTTAGAAGTGGGTTTAACTCTTATTATTTGTAAATTAGTTTATAAAAAGTAATTAATTGATAGTTGAGTTGAGTTTAGTTGATTTTAATTTTTAATTACCTTGAAGAGGTTCCAATACGTTAATGAAGTCGTCGAGAGTTGGCTGCAGTGGACCCAAACTTGGTTGAATGAGATCGGCTAAACCCACGCCGCGGGCTATAATGCACAAAGAATAGAGAAATCGATGAGATAAAAGTTAAACGACGAAGGTGTAAAATATGCATAAAACATTTACCGATTTCACGGGTATCGGGAAAATATATCGGCTGACCAATTGTTGTGAACAATGTATCGGTCATGAGCTGCATATAGTCTTCGTCAACCATCATGTTCATACTGTCATCCGAAATCATATTCGGACCTCCTCCGAAATTGTTGACTTGCAAGCTGTTCTCCCAGCCACTGTCGCCCCAATCCATCGTGTCCATGGCTTCCTGCTTTGAAAGTAAATGATACTTAGATACGAAAAGTAAATGAACTAATGTTTTTAGGTGCAGAGTAACGACGATATACGTACCAAGACTCCATCTCGGTTTGGCCAACCAAAAATTCGATTTCGATAAAACATGCGCCATTTTTTGTACTCTGCGGTGACTGCGGCCAATTTTCGCTTCCAGTATTTACCCTCTAATACTACAGCCTGCATCGTGGATTCAAAATAAAATTTTTATGGACATTCAGAAATTGTATTTTGATCAATTTAATGAGTCATATTTCTCACCTCGGGCTTGTCATGCGTATTTACGTCGAGAGGTGAAGCAAACTGACAAGCTAGACTACTCTTCTTTATAATAACTGTAAATAAAAAGTTAAAATCTATAATATTGAAATAAAAATGTCTCTTCAATAGATGTTTTTATGGCCAAACTTTAATGCTCCAACCAGCTTCGAAGTTTTACAAATAATTTTTGCTTGCCGTAAGTCAATAAAAATAGTGACTTAATAGATTAACTAGCAACTAAATTAATAGCAAATTAATAGAAAAAGATTAATAGCATAGCAACTTCGAAGTCGCTGATCAGGTGCAATGTGAATTATTAACAATATATTCGCTGAAAAACGAGGTGCGTGTAAATCTTTTTTTATTTAATCAACGATTCAAAAAAAGCTTTTTTAAATTATATCAAAGTAAACTTGTTCGATTTTCATATAGCAACTCGATAAACAGTCATCTGTAATAATAAATGCAAAAACTTATTCGAACTAAAATGAAACTGTTCCTAGGGTAATTATGTAGTTGTTAAAACACTGCTAAAAGTAATAAGCTGATAAGTATAAATCCAGAGAAATAAGCATGAAAAAATAGTTTTGAAAAACATAATTGACATTGGCAAAGTTCACTCAGTTGATGGCTTGAGGGCAAATCGACGCTAACGTTTACTCTCATGACGCAATTCAAACGCACATCCGTCTGTAGTCTATACACGCGTACAATGTAGAATCGAGTTTTCATGCGCTAATTCAATGCACAAAGCAACTAGCAATGACCGAACAATAACAAAACAACGTGGTTCAGCCGAAGTATACATACACGCACATATTTGTATCAGATCGATGCGATGAAAATTTGAATAAAGACTCACACTGCATGTGCCAGCATCGCCAGATGCAGTTGTTCAGGCGAATTTTGTCTTTCCATCGTAGACGTATGCCTTTGAATCGATTCCATTTCGGTGACGTCAACTTCTGTCTGAAACAAATTTAAATGTCCCACGGCATTAATAAGCTACTCTTTTTGCTTCATTTATATGTCTATGAGGGATTTTCTGTCAACCCACCCGAAAAATTTTTCGCACGCCTAATATGATTTACAATATGATTATTGTACATGCACTAATTGCATGAACTAATATAATACATATCGTTTGATACGTCAGAATTTTCCCAGAATTTTAATAGATATTTTTGGGGACCGTTTATCGCATTTTGAGTCCCGAAAAAGGCATTTTTTACGATTATCAAGAATATCTCAACAATTTTTAACTTAGAATAGAGTGTCTAGAACAAAAAAGTGCAAGAGAGTTTTCTTTACGGAATTCGCTAATTCTGAAATTAAATAATCGCAATAAGTATGAATTTCGAAAAAATGTCAAAAGTAGGCTTCGGAAAAGGGTATAAGCGGTCCAAAAAATCTTAAAAAATTTTTGAGACATTTCAACAATTTTTTAATCAGTTGAATTGACAGACATATTTATTAGGGTGTACCCCTTTTTTAAATATTTCGAATAAAAAGAATAAAATAAAAGATATCGCAGGAGCCGAGTGAAAAACTGTTAGATAGTATCTTTTTGCAGATCTGTGCAAAAGATGGGTGCTGAAATAAAAAATTTTCAGCTCGGAGTAGATCCCTGAACTCTTCCGGTGGGAGAAAAAAAACTTTTCATCTGCTTCATGCTTAATTCTTCAGCTTTAAATAGCAGACCCCTAGACTCGTAGCTTGTATCTCTTTATTCAGCAAATTTCATTGTAAAGGCTCACGTAACAAAATATGTTTAACCTTTCAAAAGATAATTTACTAGCGCAAAAAAAATAACGCAAAAAAAGCCTTCAGGGATCTACTCTGAGCTGAAAATTTTCGATTTCAGCACCCATCTTTTGCCCAGATCTGCAAAAAGACACTATTTAACAGTTTTTCACTCGGCTCCTGCGATATCTTTTATTCTATTCTTTTTATTCGAAATATTTAGAAAAGGGGTATACCCTAATATTTATGTGCTTTGATAATAGTGTGTGGGTGAGTAAATACTTTACGATTTCCACATTACTTAGCGCCTCGTGAAATATTTTTTAATACATTTTAAGCTATCTCGTAACAATATTTTGTATAGAAAATGACTTCGAAATTTTGTTGAAACTATGAATTACGTACAGTTCAGCAAATGTTTATTGAAACTTGTGCACGGGCATTTCTGTACACAAATAAAATGTGTACAAATATTGGACACATTTTACTTGTGTACAGAAATGCCCGTGTACAAGTTTCATGTGTACGAATGATACCTTGCCAGCATATACATTAAACATCATATTGATAATTAATTTTAATAAGTTCATTCAAAGATATCGTTATGGTCACGATAGTTTGTCTCTAAATAATTGAAAGAAAAATTATTCATGATAAATAGAGTACATGCAGATAAGCAATTCCAAAGTTATAGGTACGTCTATTGTAAATAAAAACATACGACTCATCTCGATGTATATTTTTAAAAAACTTACACTGCAATTTTTTCAATATTCGCATAAATATTTTCATGAAAATAAAAATAGTTTCGTTATCTGAAAATAATATATATTTGCATGCAGAGCATAATCTCGATCGCAGTTTACGCGTTTTTTTAGCGAACGATAATCGCGTGGAATTTCTTGTCCTCGGTGCAATAAAATTTAAATGCGACTTTCATAATAAACGATGAGCAACTGGCACTAGGACTGATAAAATATGCGTTTTAATCAAACAGGAAGTGAGTACTGAGTCTTTAACGGCTTATACGTTAACAAGCGCTAATCTCAATTATATTGCATTGATTATTGAGTGAATTACAGCGTGCTTACTTCGCATCCAATACATTAATTATATTCTGTATTGAAAGGACTCTCAAACTTATTTACTAAAATCATTACGTAAATTTTTCCGGCTCTAGGATTCGTATTGAAAATCGCCTCCTATAATTATAATGTATGGAAAAATACAATTACAAATATCATTTAAAATGAAATAGAATTAAGTTCCAAAGATAGATCGAAAACAACGAGTTGAGTAAACGTAAATTTAAACTTGTTTACAAAACAAAAACGATTATCTCCAAAACTTTTAATATCACATTTGACAAAAGAAGCACGCTTCTCAAAATTGTCTTACTTATATTTGAAAGTCTGTCCCATGAAGCTTGAAAAAAAATCTTTTTTAGAATCAAATTCAAGACAAAATTAATTTTTTACAAAATAAATAAAAGGCTACAAATTTTTTATTAAAAAAATGATTAAAAATACGTTATTATTTCATTGATTTAGTTCGACTATTAATGCTTGAGAAAAAAATCGTTGAAATGGGCTAATTTACAACAAATTCAACTGAAAAATAACAAAATCCCTTTTAGAAGTCATAGCAACCAAAACTGCTTTCGCTGCAAAACAACTTATTTATGCAAATCGTTTAGAACCCCTTATGAATAAACTTTCAAGTTCCAAGTTAAGCTTAAAAATTAAATTTTTTATTGCGGTAAGTGTAATATATATACGAGCATGTAATATATATGCGTGTTATATATATATAGCACGGTTAAGATTCATACGAATATATTGCACCAAATTTTTTTACATAATTGCGATAATTTATGTAAGATGCGAAATTCACGGTGTTCAAACATGTAGAAAAAAAGCCACAGCAAAAGTAGTAGCGGGATAGCGATACTTTTTTTGTTCAATGACAGTCGATTGGCAACATTCTCGATTCTCAAAACACTCTAAGAACAAGACGTGCAAAAAAATCGCTCACTTATCACTAACTTGATTTAGATTTATGTATCGTGCTAAATTAGGCAGCGTATTTAGGTTGTGCACAAGTTCGTTTTTCGTGTCAATTGAAGGCAATGGAAGAGCGCGAGTTTGTGGATTGCCGAGCGAGCATGGCTCCAGCACGTAAATGAAAGAAATATTTATTAACGAACCTCAATGTACAAGTTCCAGTTGTATAATAGCTTGCACTCGTTTATGAGCGGTCATAAATCGAATTTTTCTTTTTCATTGGCCGCGTGTAAATTAGATTGTGCAATAGCCAGTGCACACGGAATGTAAAGGCGCGCGAGCGTGCGTAGCGCGTACATGCTTGTGCGTATAATATATTTACATAGAAGGCAACATTGTTCAACAGCAGTATTTGCGAGAGCCTTTCCAAATGAGACGCGTAGTGGATATATATTTTTTCCTCCAAAGTAGAGCTGGAATAGACAGCATGAAAAAGCACAGCAAGAGCTCAAGTTTTATAAAACGATAAGTCGTCGCTCGAACGAATACATGTGAATCGAGTGTGTGTATATGTACATACGCAAAGATTTCCAATGAAAAGAAAATTAAGATAGGCAATATCTGGCGTCACTGCGAGCAAGATAACTACTTATATGTGTGTCTGGCTATCAGATAAGAATGTTATTTGCTTTACACCTTCGATGCTAGTTGCGCACGCTCTCTTTCTCTCTTACGTCTGGCTTCTCTCGTTCTATTCACTGTACTCCCAACTGCAAGTTTTCAACGAGCGAGCCTCTCCGTTTCTCGTGCCTCTCTCTCTTTCTCTCTCTTTCTGAAACCTCTTTCTAAGTGTCAGTATTGTATGTGCGTATGCATGTATTGACTGCAAGTGTATAATATATACTTGCACGCGCATGATACAGCAATTGCTAATCATTTTGATATGTACTCATGAATGTTGTTGAAATCGTTCGCTCGATATGAGAGCAATTAGGCATATACGCGGGCGCAGAGCGAGACACGTATATGAACGTACGGTAAATTTCACTGGCATTGCCGGTTGTCATTTAGTTTTATACAGCTATACGATGCTGCTCCGTTTACTCATGGGTTTCTTCATTTTTTTTCCATTTTGCAACGAAAATATTGAAGGATAAAAATAATAAAAAGTTATGTCTCCATTGAGAAAAATATTTACACAAAAAAAATTTATCTGCTACATCACCAAAAACATTATCGTGTGCGGGATGAAAATTTGTCCTGCTTCGTATACCAACTTTATTTTATATAATCACAAATACATTTTTTGTGCCACCCCAACCTAAAGTAACATTTTACTCCCGCTGAGCAAAACCAAAATGTTACTTTAGGCTGGGGGATTTACAAAAAATTGTATTTGCACCTAGGGAGTGAAAAACTGGAAAGTCTCAGAGTACGTGTAATCTATCATCCGAGGCGAAGCCGAGCAAAATATACTAATTTAGTCCTCATGACACGCTGAACGAATTTTCCGTGTGTCGATTTTTTTCAGATGTATTCATATGAAAGTGTCGCATATATACCATATTGATAAATTTTTTATATTAAATCAGCGTAAAATAACACGATTCGTTACATGTTTCTTAAAACGATTAGCTAGCATAATATACACATGCACGTGATGTGTGTGTATATGTACGTGCTCGCATTCCTCAGAGTAACTTATCTCTTGTATTCATGATATTAAAATACAAGTTCAAGCGTCATTTTCGTTGTGTGCGATATTTAGGTACAGTTCAAAAATCCAACCCAAGTCCTTTAATTTTTAATTTTTTCTGAGCAAGCGTTTAATCAACTAATATTTTCTCGTTTTTAAGAAGAGGATGCACTATATCGATGTTGCAAGCAAAGCGTGTTGCGAGATCGGTTCTTCAATCATCAGCTCATAGCGCTCAAACCTTTGGAAGGCCTCACTTTCATTAATTGATTTTTATCAAGCTGTGCAAAGACCGAGGGTTTATATGACACGAGATCAAAAAGCATCATGTTTTTTTCTCGTGTTTCAAATTCAATATTTTATTTGCGTTCAACGGGAAAATTAAAACATTTCAGTTGTGTTTTTCGACGATTTCGATAATTTGTAAAATTAGCCAAAGTTAATTTACGACGTCTATAGCACAACTTATAATCTGGCAATGATCGTTACGCAGTAAGTACAATTGATGCCTACCCAGCTTTAGCGTGATCTCGACGAGCTACGTACGAATTAAAAAAAAAGAGGAAAATTGTCTCTCACCTATAAGCCAAAGACATGCACTGGAAAAGTTTGTTGAGCGACGTCTCGATCGTCACGGCATTGTTCTCACTGTCGACAGAAGCAACGCCGACAACCAGGTGACCGTCAATTATGGACGAACGCTGGGCCCCGTTGGTCGCGACGATCGCAAGCCGAGTCTCTGGTTGCTCCTCCGGCACCGGCACCGCCAATTCGTCCTCGTCGTCCTGGGCCTCAGCCTCGAAATCCGAGACCATGAAGTGGCCCGAGTGGATGGTCTCGCGCGTGTCCCGGCCGTTTTTTTTGTCACCATCGCGCCTAGCGATACCGCGGGCCTGGTGCTGCGGCGTACTGCTCGTGCTTGACGGTGCAGAGCTCGACGCCATCAGGGCCAGATTCTGCTGTTGCAGCTGTTGAGACGTCAAAGATTCCGTTTTACGATACATTAGCTCCGTCTGCATCGTAATATCTTCTCACAATTGCGTCTGAAAATGGTAAAACATTTGACTTTTTACTTATAAAAATATGTGGTTCGCGTAATGATTAAATATTTTGTTAAATCTATTGTAAGATTATACAAGAGAACAATTATTAAAGTTTAAAGTTTGTTCGTATACCAAATTTCTAAGTTAGTGGCCGAGAAAATGTCTAAATATGTTCAAATTTACAGAATGGAGTGTTGTTCGAGCACGAAAACGGGACTAAGCTTGGTGATAAAGCATTAGATGCGCTTGCGCACGACGAGCCTGAAACAGTGAGTAGCGTTTGAATAGCCTCTTCTATCAACTTTATTATCAGTTCAGTCATTATTTAATCTAAATTCCTGAAAAAGCAACTCGAGACAAGAGGCGATTCATTTAATCAGCCTCTCAATGCATTATTAAGGTTCTTATAATTTATACCGAGCTAACGATCGCTTCGAGAGAGGTTCCGTTAGATTAAAGCATGAAAAAAATAAAGAGAATCGATGGGTTAGATGTCTAGCGCGCAGCAAGCATCTTGATATATTAAGAAGAAAACAAGTCTTTGAGCGCAATTGAGACGCGCGCGTTTCGATTAAGGCAAGACATAAAGGCTGTGCAAACTGCAAAAGAACAAGGCTGTTTTTCAACCTCACTTAGGGGCATATCAACTATAAAACTATGTTTTTTTCTCGATCCTTATTGCGATTAAAAAGCTAAGAATGCATAGATACATTTTTCTCAGCGAATCTCCTCAATGCATTTTAAAACTTGTATAGAAGGGCCCGGTAACGTGGCTAGCTATAAACATATTATGTAGACTTAACTAGGAAAGATAATCACTGGCTTCATTATTGAGTTGCACAATATTTAAAAATGCTTATTTAGAAAAGAAAAAAGAATTACTTTGAAATTTGATTAATGAAAACAAGGCGATCGAGTAATAGACTATCTAATGGATGGTTAATTCTTGATATCTGTCTGCCTTATCATTTGGAATTATATCCGAGCACTAGGTTTAAAGTCGGGTTCCACCGATCCAGATCTCCTCCACGCCTGTATAAATTTCTCGCGCAATTAAGAACTCTTTATCTCGAATGCACGCATATAATGCAGCGGTGCTCATCGCTGGGCTCGGATCTCATTACCGGCTGTGCCTCAATAGAGCTTGTGCAACTTGCATTATTTATAAAGAGAGAAGTTTAGTGAGTTAGCCATTCTGTAAAGAGCCTGCATGAGAGAGGTTGGTCGAGCGCTAGCCCAGCTCGACTATTTCAAGCGCTATCTATAAAAGTGCAACGTTTCCAGGAATCATCATTGGTTTTTAATGACATTTGACAAGGGCCGCGAAAGCTGGTAATGTTTGTAGGTCAGAGAAAAAACCTTTTACGACTCGCGGGTTATTTGATGTCGCATTTGGTGCTCCTCCTCTCAAGAGCACGCAATTTTGGCCCGCACTTTTCTATATACTATCGTGCGGGGGTTTGATCAGCAGGTTTATTCTTGGACCGTATGTGACGAATCGTTTATAATATATTATATTATCGACTCATTTTCGGCTCGATGATTCAGTTATTGAAATTTCTCTCATCTCATTAAAATCCCAGTATCGGCAAGAATTTAATGGTTATAACCGTAGTGAAAGTTACATTAGAAATTTAATCATTTTTCAGAAAAAAGTATTTTGGTATAAATTCAATTTATTGGGTGATTCAAGAAAAATGGGCAGAAGTAATGTTTGTTTCTTTTTGTTCGATCGAAGATGAAAATCTTTCAATTTTATAATTTAAGCATCACAAGGCACGGTGAAAGGTCTTATGAATCAAAAAATCAACTGTTAAAATTTAATTGAGGCGACTGGAATTCAAACGATACATCCACGAGGTTATGTTAATCTAAAAAAAAAACATAAACAAAGCGTTGACGAGGAATTCCTCGCACTTACTTTACGCCCGTGTAGACAGAAAAAAAACGGAGTGACCAAGGATAAAAACTGTTTGAGCTTTTGAGAAAAATGAAGTAAATATGCAAGCAGAAAACTCGATTTCGAACAATCGAGATCGTTATCTTTTCAGAAAATTCTCACGTTACGCACAGCGAAATTTCTCATGCCATACACATTCTCGGGGTTCTTCTCTTCGCAAATCGTTTATGAGTAAAGTTTTCATTTTTTTCAGTTTTCCCGCAAAACATCGAGCTCATTTTTTATTTTAAACGTGGGTACATTATCGAATGCGCAAATATAACTACGAATTGCTTTACATCAAGCACAAGAAACGCACGTATAAATTCGATCGTGGCTTTCTCTCTTTTATTAACATGATGAGTATATGTAGCGGTAGCAATGTTTCTGTACGCTTCGAGTGTATTGTGCCATGTACATTATATCTCACATTTACACACACACACACACACACACACACACACACACACACACACACACACACACACACACACGAGTTTTGCGTCTACAAGTTTTGCATGAAATATAAATGCATTAAACGCTACACGAGAGGCTGTACACTAAGCGGACAACAAAAAACTCTCGTTTTCCATGAGCGAACTTATTTCTCTACATTCATCTCGCTTGCATGGTATACGACGAAATTCGATAAGTAACTTTGGCCCGTCTCTCAGTCGCGCGCCGATAAACTGAACAAACTGTACGCGATCAAAAATTCCGTATGGACTTGGAGTTTTTTATCGTGGAGGCTATTTCACAATTTCGTGTACACATATATACCTATGATAATATTGTAATGTAACTGATGAACAGCACATAATAAGTAACGTGGTTACAATCTCTAGCAGACGTAAGTTTACAGTATGTGTTACATACATATTGTCGCATAATTTGTTGGCTGCACGATCAGCTTCTAACAAAGCGCCAGCAGCCGAATAGAGAGAAAAGGAGAAGAAGAAGAAGAAGAAAAGAGAAGAAAGAGCAGTGCATGCTATATAGGCATTGGCCTCTCAACTCACCAAAAGCGTATTTGATCGCATCAAAATTAACTCTCAGATTCGTTTATTAGCCTCCTCTATGTTGGCACTTGGTGTGGCGTGCACATATACACGAATAAATATTCACGACAGAACAACACACAGCAACTTACGATCACATTAAACTCGCTACGACAACGACGACGTCGACATGTCGATAACAATCTCTGTAGCGAGAAACAAACACACTAATAACAAAAACACTCGCGCGCGCGATGCACTGTGCGGAATGGCAGCACAACAGTAGTAGACTTATAGCAGCAGCACTGCGACAAGCTCCCAAGTTCAGTTTTTGTTATTTTTTTATTTGTAGGTTATTTGCACGATAGAGTCGAAGCCATGCGCGCACTGCCACTCGACGACTCGAAAGAAACTCGCGCGACATTCGCTGTACATACACACTCAACACACTAGACTTAGCAAAACAGCCAGCCGTAGTCTGCCGCAATCGAGCAGCAGCCCGCTGAATCGTCGAAGCGGGCGGACGACGAGTCAGTTAGGCAGGCCGCGCTCGCGAGGCGAGTGGAGTGAGCCAAGCAGATCGAGCAGCGCTCCGAATGTAGGAGGGAGCGAGACAGACGATTAATATATATATACATTATTGTATTACACGCAAACACAGTATCGTACTGATACAGACGCGTTGCCGAGTGGAGTTGGACGTCGTCGCGCGCGCGGCGCGAAAGAGACGGCGCAACTTAACGACGATCGTCAGGCCGCGTCACAGGTCGCAAGTGCCTCTATATAGTCGGTTCGTTTCGCTTACATATAAGCTCTCCGTATCATTTCTCTATGTATATAAATGCGACGAGCGACGATCGAGAGCAGCACGCGATTCGCATTGCTTGCTCATGACATGCCTGCGCACGAGTTTTAGTTTTCAAACGCTCGGGAGCAGCTTATTAAATAGAGAGCCTAGGCGCAAAAAGTCAACTGCCACTCAAAAGTCGCAGTGCGTGTACATACAGCTATTTGAGCGTCAGCCTGGCCAATTCGACACAGCATGAGACTTTCAATCTATGCGCGACGAATGGCACTTGATCGCCATTAGAATTGGTTTGACCCGCAGCAGCGATGATGATCGTTTGCCAATGCCGCTCGTTCGCATCGGCATGCACGTTGCACCACTTGCACCGCGGCTATTATTTTTATCTTGTATGCTCCTTTGCAGTTCGCAATGGCCAATCCAATCGTTACTTACGCGCAGTCCGTACAGAACCAATCAGCTGCGCACTTGCACAAGTGCATACATGCCGAGAATTCGTAATTCATGAAGTAGCACCACTACACGCTGCATCAGCGCAACCAACTACGTCATTGGCTCTCGAGTTCTTAGTATACTAATATATTACAGCTGTATAATTCATGCTGCCGTATACCGAACCGACTGTAAACAAGTGACTGCTCGAGAAATGAAACTTTTGCGCTTACATTTTGTACTGTCATTAAGATATTTGAACAGCATAAAAAGAAACTTGAAGTGATTATCTAACATGCAGTTGCATAATTCTTGTAAATGTCGTACGCGTTCTCTTCAAAATAAAATTTGCTTCGTTTTCGACCCAATAAATTACAAATCTACAATTTGCGTCAGTAAAAGTAATTGCGCGTGATTTTTGAGGCAATAGAGAGAATGGTGCGGGGATATTATACTTGTTTTGATAAGAATACGATATTAAAAAATTGGCGCGCAGAGAACTTGCTAATCGATTGTCGTTGCAGTAAATATACTTCATACCAACAATGCAGCTGACGCAAAAAGCTCTGTTAGTTGGTAGGCTTGCAAGTCGCCAGAGGACGTTACCACTCCACCCATCGCGCTATTCTGTTAATTGCCCATATGTCAAATGTCCAATGCCCATTGTAACATTCAATCATTGATCAATAAGTTGCATTAAATACTTTAGGGCTTTTATCACAAATCTTTAATTTAAAATCAATCTATACATTATTTATTATTGCACAATAAACTTGTAACTTATTTTCTACACTAATATCAACAGAAAGTGATGTCTAGATAAAAATGTACTTATGTCAATTTGATACACATAAAAATAAATATTTTCAATAATACTATTAAATCCAAAACTCCTTTGAAAAAAATTATTTACAATCCAGGCATTATATAAGCTATATTCTCTAATGTTTTTGTAAAAGAGAGACTATTTTCACGTCGAGTCGCAGGGACTTGCTGAGTTAAACATACTAAACTACCCAAAGCACATAATAAAGAATCTAGCAAAACTGAAAGACTGCCTGATACAGTTATTTGACCATTATGTTCTTTTAATCTTTCTCCTATCACAGTTAAGCTTTCCCCTAGTAACTTTAAATATGCTGCAACATCAATTGGTTCAAGTTCAATTGCTCTGAAGATTTTCACATCTCTCATAGGATCTTTGATTACATCTCTAGATTTAATAATATCATTGATAGGTATTTGTTTTAATGGAGAGATCTGAGTATGTTCACTTTTTCTTTTTGAAGAATTTGATAAGGGTGACTTTACAGGAGCTGAAAATACACAAGAAAAATATTGAATAGTTGACAAAGTATATGACTTTTTGTATTCATTATATTTTTACTTGTTTTGGAAATAAATTTTTTTGTTGGTAGGATTTGATTTTTTTCTGATAGGCGTTTTGCTCGATTGCTCCAATTATATTTTTCACTATTAGGTACAGTAGCCCAAAGTTCTCCAAGACGTTTAGAAATTGCAGTGAAATCTTTAATGACAAAGAAAGTTGTTTAATTTGTTTGGCATAAATTAATGAGTGAATTAGAATGCAGTGAAAAAATTTAGATTCTTACCCATACTAGGATATTCTTGTAATAATTTTTGCCTTGTTTCTTTTGACCATAACATGTAAGCAGTATATCTAGTTTTCTAAAATTAATTTTGGGAAGTTATAAGTAAATTCAAAAAAAAAAATATATATATATATATTAATAGTAATCTTTAACTGAATAAATTACTTGTTTAGGTGGTGACACTGGTTTGCATTTAATTTTAGTGATAGTTTTGATAGGCGCAGGAGTCTTCACAAGTTTTTTAGGCGGTTGCGTTTTTTTAGGAACGCTTACAATAGCATCAATATCCAAATCTAAAGAATCTATTTTGATGGTACTGCTAACAGATTTTTTAGATTGTATACTTTTATCATTTTCATCTTCAGATCCTGACAAAGTTGATTGCGATTGAGTTTCATAATCCGAGCTTGATTCAATTTTCTTTTTTTTTTGTGCTGATGAAGAAATTTGAGGACTTCTATTTGGAGAAGCTATTGTTAATTTGTAAGATGGTGGTTGATGAATTTCAGCCACATGAATAGTTTGAGTTACTTCAGGAGTGTCAGGGCGAACTTTAGTTTGTAGATCAATTTTTTTTTTTCTGTTTTGATCAGTTTGAGATCGTGGCCTCTTAACTTTTGTTTCAATTATATTACTTGAAGATTCAAAGTCCATAAGCTTAGATGATTTTTTACAAACCCTGCCACTTCGGGAGACACCAGTAACTTCCAATTCTGTAATTTGAAAAACAAGGTTTTCTCTTTGCAACATGAAATATAACAAAACTATGCAGAATTAATTCATCATTTATCAATTGATGCTAGACCAAAGGAATTTATTCATAAAATATAGGTAAAAATATTTTATATTGTTATTTAGCAATATCTACTCTTATTAAATTAATTATCATATTGAATTTACCATTTCCTTCGCGTTTAGACGTTATATAAACTTCCATTTTATCGTAAATGATCGTAGTTGTCGGTGTAAATAGCTATGATTATAATTACTTTTGAACGAAAATTGAGTTGTAAAATTAAAACGCAGTAATTTGAACTGCGTAGGTTAGTCAAGAATTATAAACATTTTTATTTCAAAGTGCAAAATGTTTACTTGTTTTTAAAGACTTTTGTAACATTGAGTAATTATCGATAACTAGAAAAAATCTATCAATCAATCATTATGCATATAAAAACTTAATTAAAAGTACAGGCGAATTATAACCGGCGCGCTGCGCTCAAAGTTGAGCTTCCGTGTACATAATAGGTACATAATATGGCGGAAAAAATTGAATTTTTCAATCGAGCACAATGTGATATTTAGTTTGCGGCATCGACGTATCGTGTAACTGTTTAACATAAAACACTGTTAACAAACTCTAAATGCAATCAAATTCTTATGTTGACGAAATTGTGCTATCGACGCCAAGTTACTAGTCTCACCCGTGATACGAGGCGGGAAACCAAGACGCGCAAAATTTTTGCATAGGCATAAAAGTCATGAATAGCGCCGCCCTTGCGGATACTGATAAAATTAAATTGAGAGCCGATATTTAATTGCAAATATTGTAATAAGTCGTACATTTTCAATAAAATTCCATGGAAAATTATGAAGTGAGAAAAGGTACTTATAAAATTTTAATCATGAGTTTCATGCATATCAATACAAAAAATTCCACTTAATAAATTTAAAAAATATTCATTTATACCGCAAGGATTACCTTGATAATCTTTTTCATATTACTAAAAAATTTTGTTAGAGAGTTGATTTAAAAAAACATTAAATAAATGTCTGCAATTGTTTAGTAAAAATATAGTCTTATTGAAGTTATTTACATAATCTTGATTGTAAAATTTGATTATTATCCAATCATTTATATTATGAACTAGTCATTGCAGGAGACTTGTTGGCTAATCTTTCAGCTTTTCTAGCAAAGTATCGTTGACAGGCAGCTTCAAAAGCGGGTCCTACACATCTTTTTTTCCATATATCAATCTTTATCTTTTTTTCTATTATTTTAGGCTTCTCAACAATTGCTTCTGGATTGTCTTCCAATTTGTTTGAAATAGTTTCTGATTTTTCATTCTCTTTATTTTTGGAGCTATCTTTTGGTTTTTCATCACTTTGTGTAGTGTCCCTTTCAGTTTGTTTATCTTCATTCGCATTTGATATGCTATCATCGTTTAGTTTTGGTTTTTTATAGTGAATTTCTGAACTATCAGTTTCATTTGATTCATTTACTGCTTTTGTACTATCAGTTTCATGGTCATCTTCTGATTCTGATTTTGATGCTCCTCTTTTTCTATATTGTCTTTTTTGTTTCAACTGTGAAGTAGTTGATTTTTTAACATTTACTTTGCTATTTTTATCATTAAAATCACTATCATCCTCAGAATTTGAGTCAGAAGGTATTGGATCATCTTTGTCAATTTCAAATTGAAGTTTTGTTTTGTTTAGCTGTTTTTTGCTATCTTCCTTAATTTTTGGAAGAATTCCCAAATCTGCTTCATTTCTAACTACAGTTTGTCTATATAAATGTCTATAAAATCCTGTCATATCTTTTTGTTTACTTACATCAGCTATAGCTTCTAACTTGTCTTTATAGTCCAAATCTTCTTGAAATTTTTTGCTTTCTTCCAATTTAGCTTTGTAACTAGATGTTACAAATCTTTCTTTGTCTGGGAACATATTATCTTCTGCTTCAATTTCTTTTTGAATTATCCTATCTTTTCTCAGCTCCTGTTCTTTTTTCCTCAGTTCTGCACTTTTAAGTAAGTTTTGTATATACTTAGGTTTGTTGTCAACTTTATAATGTGCTTTTTCTTCTTCTTTTGCTTTTTCTATTTCATCATAAACTTCATCATATTGAAAAATTGTTGGATCAACTTGTAAAGCCTTTTGTAACTGTATATGATGTTTTGTCTTCATCTTATTTTTTTCATTTTCACCTCTCAGTGCTTTTTTAACCGATTGAGATCCATCTTCTGCGTCTGAATCATCATCATTTCCAAAAACATTTCCTACTTTGGGAGCTGATAAAGCAGCTTTTGCTTTAGGCAAAATTAAACCATATCTGAAAAATTAAAATTAATTTAAATAACAGCTGGAAAATGATTATTTTCAATAAAAAAGATGGAATTTACTTCTATTAATGCATTGAAAGTTTCTAGGTTATAGTAAATTTTCAAATCTTCAGAAATCAAAATGAGTTACACTCTGATGTAAACTTTTTAAATTTTTATATATAAAGGTCATAATTTAAAGTGAAAAATTTTAAGTACAGCTTTACTTACTTTTTACCAGCCATGTTGATAATTTTTGTGCTTATTTATTGCTACGACTAATGCTGTCAGTGTCAGCAAGAAAAAGTATCGACAGTAAACATTAAGCAGACGAAGCCGTAGCTAAAATTGGGCAAGGTGTATAAACAGTAAACACGTATTATAATGAAGCCTGCATTGGTAATTGATATGCGCATATCTGTCTGATTTTGGTGGAACTGCGTGCACAGTGCGCAACAATTGTACCAATTTTAAGATTAAAAATTATTATCCGAGTGCATCTCTACTGGCGTTAGGCGTAGTGCGGCTAGCGTCATCTCAACTTTTCAAGGTTGGCGATATGTCAGATGGATCAGGCAAATAGAACGCACGCAGGTATTGGAAAGTATAGGATACCGCAGCGCCTCTATGAATTCAATGTTAATTTCCATAAGAACTAGAGAAATACTGGCTGATTTTACCCTATCCGACCCTCTAGTTCTTATGGATCACTTACATTGAATACTGAGAGGCGCTGCGGTATCATACACTTCCCAATAGTCAGGGCAAAATGTTTGGGTTTTGCATTTAATTTTGAGTTTTAGTGCTCATATTATAGGGGTACATTATTTTATTCAATATAACAAAATTGATAAAAAAAAATTAGTTTTTTAAATTTGCATATGTCAAGCAACATTTTTTATCAACTATTTTCTAAAACTGTTACCGATAACAGAGCTAACGTTCAACATAAATATTTTTTTATTATTATGCTGCACCCCTTAATTAATACTTTTTGATTTAAAACATTTATTTTTAAAAATTATCAGCTATGCTCAATGAGAATATCGAAAAATGTTTATTACAAACCCGTGCAAATTACTAAATCAAAAGTCTTCTAAAAATCAACATTTGCCAGAGTAGTGTTGTATATATTGAGTAAATACCAACGAATAAAACAAATTCTTAAGACTGTTATTCATTACTTTAATTTTTATTAAATAAGTTTCAATGGGAATTGAAATAAATAGTAGATTACGCAATGAGTTGGAACACCTACTCCATACGAGTTGAGTATACTATTTACCCTAGGTGCAAAATATATTAATACGCACCTACGAAACGGAAAAAAGCCTCAGTTATCGGACACCATGATAATAGTGTTTATTTCCATTCTTGCCGTATAAACATGGCTCCCTAAATCATCAGCTTAACATTCGAAAACTTTGGTGAAACATTCTAGGGATATTTCCCACTGTTTTAGTATACTCTATCCTATGACATTTTCTAATGTAATAAAAACCGCTACGTTAATAACATGTTAACTGTTATAAAAATGATTGATACACATAACATTTTGAAAAGTATCAAAATTACCAATTAATAGTATCTGACGAAACAAGAGTTTCGACCCGTTTTATACAAAAAACCACTCTTTAATAGTAATATATAGCCGCTTACGCGCTAGTCTATTAAAGCTTACCTGGCGATACCTTAACACTTGCTTACTAGCTAAACCTTGAAAATGGCGCTACAAATTTTTTATTGTATTTAACATAATACATTATTTTAGTTTTTATATTTACATTTTCATTGCACGCAAAATTCCAATTGATTTTAAAGTTTGTTTTAAGAGTGTCCAAAAACTAAACTTTTCGGTTTTTTTTATAGAAATTGCTCTTAAAATAATAATTAAAATCAATTTTCGACAAAATAAATATATGCATTAGAAAAGCAGAAAATTTGCTAAACCATTTTGTATTACAAAATTTTTAAATTTGCTGAGTAAACTTCCCTAATCGATTATAATAGGAACTTTTTTTAAGTGTCCGAAAACTAACAGGTTTACCCTAGTACTCTATATAACGAGTGTGGATATGCTTTTTCTGCAAAACGAGGGGTCAGCACGAGCCAAAGACCAGTCACGACACACTCCTCGCCCGTTGCTTAAATTATTATTATAACACTAGATTCTAAAAGTAGTGGCGAAATTGAGATTTTTAAATTAGAGTCCTATAAAGGAAGTTGAAAATTTAGTTGCAGAAGTACTCATTTTTGACTTGCAATCGAAATAATCTTCAGTCATCAACCAATCAATTTGACTTGATTTGACTTTTATTAATTCCCGGTTTTAATCTTACTTACGATTCTTTAGCTACCCTCAAACAAAAAACTTCACAGTACGAACATCTTTGGTTGGTAAAATCGGGAACAAATTAGACATTTGTTAATAACACTAATTCTGATAATAATACATATAACATCCAACAGCCGCTTGAGTGAATGTTTTAATTGCAACACGTTTTATGTTTATTTGAGTGTAAATAATAAAGGATTACAATATTTTTCCAGCTTTTTGGGTGTGAACTAATTCTTATGACGTCTTTAGATGCACAGTGAATAAATCGTGAATACTATATATGTAAAATTAATTTTATCGTCGATCTTTCAATGTTGATACTAGCATATAATTTAACTTGCAACTTTTTTAAAATTATAGTTTAAGAAACGATTATTCCAGCATAGAACTTTTATTTTTCAAAAACCATATTATGCGCTAATTATTGAAAAATGATCAAAAATTGTATAATTCAGGGATCTGCGTATTATTCGTTGTTGTTAAGGGAGTTAGTCCATTAATAAATATAATAATAATAAGTGATTTTCAATTTTTAATTTTGTAAGATTCAAAAAGTATAATATTATTTATTTCATTTAAAATTTGTTAAAAAGGTAAATTAAGTAATAAATGACGTTTTCTATTATAACAAAAGTACAACGATTTTCCCTTGTTATCAAATACATTGGTATAAAATGTGTCCCGCAACTTGCTTGTCGATATCATTAGTGAACAATAACACGTTTATTGGTATAAAGAAGTTGAGCGATTTGTGGTTTGGAAACGTTTGCCTCTTGTTCATAAAGAAGTAATTTTTGACTTATTCTGCTGGATTGTTAAAAGAAGGTGCAAAATTATTTTAAGATATTCATTATATGATAAATTTAAGTGTTGATATAAAATAAATATCACAAATCGAACTATATTATTAATACATATAGTGAATTTGTTTGTTCGACAAACAAAACGTTATTTGGACACTTGTCTTTCGCATATGCTCGAACGAGAAGCGAGAGAAATTGAGTAACTAAAACGCAGAGCTGACAATGTATTATATTCGAAAAAGCAACAAATTGATAATATGGTACTGTCAGAATAAAATACGCATGTCAAGTCAATATTGACGCAGATTTTCATCTCTAATTTGATTCCTGTATCATTGTAGGAGTATAATATAACGTTTTATTAGGTTTATGCGTCGCTCGGATTGTCATGTCGAAAAAGATGCAATAATAAGTATTCCATCGTCGTTTGTATGTACAGTGTCATATGGCAAAAAAATAAAAAATACAGAGTCAACAGAACTTCATGCGATACGTGATTGTAACAGTTAATGCCGGGAAAGACATGCGATGTTAAGATAAACGCTTTCTTCGATTTTTTTTCTCGAAGCGATCGAATGTCAATTAACTGACACGGCAGAGTATAATCTTCGCCATAATCTATTTCGGTATAAATTTTTGCTTTTTCCCATGTATCTACAATTTGGAGTCCCCATTATATGAATTTGTGACATATTTCATGTATACAAACCCAGAGCAATCAAACTAATTTTCAATTCCTTAGAACTATGCTATATAATATTTCAAATAACAAAAATTTAATTATTTTGAAAGTTGTACTAAACAAAATTGATTCTGGTTTGATTTTTTGATCATAAAAATGACCCGATTTTAGTTATATTTATTTTTGTTTAGAATTATACATTTTCAAGTCTGATGAAAATAGAAAAAATATTAAAACTTCAAAAAAGAAATTCAACTTTTTCGATTGCAACATCGCAGTTGGTGCTCGTCAGATAATAATAAAAAATGGAACGTCTTTATTCCAAACTTGGTTATTTTATGAAAATGAAAAAATAGAGAAAAGTTTTACTTATTAAAAATGGTCAGGTTCTCAAGAGATTTAACGAAACGGAGGAGGAAATATCAGAAAGCTAAGAATGATCATATGAGCTCAATAGAATGGAGATGAAACGAACGGAAGTATAAATAAAAATTGTCTGAAAGCAGCGTAAAGTTGGCAGCTCTATTATTACCGACCACCACACACGTTTATAAAATTTGAGTTCGATAATACAATGAAAAAAAAAACGCGATCTATTAATGAGGCCTGGGCTATACATAATCGGTGGTGCTCGCACACCTGTTTCGTATATTACAAGTAAGCCGCGACATCAGCGTCGTTGCGCGCTCTTGAGTGCCAAAAGTGGGAGATATCTCTCAAGAGTGCAAGAGGCAGCAACAGCTGGGACTGTGCTCTCTTATACGAATTTGTTATTATCTTTGTGATAATCATTGCTGCGGCAAGTGATCGAGAGAGCCTGAAACATTTGATTAGTGGGACTTGGACCGCTGCTCAAGGCAGTGCACATGCACAAGGCGAGCGCGCGAGTGGATTGTTCAGTGCACAAAGTATAACAGTGTTGTTCTTATATCGGCGTCACGCTTGATCAACGAGCTTATCTGCGCGGAGCCTGCAAATAGCCTTGTTTCGGAGATCGAGAATGAGGTTGTGCTTTGAGTCGACTCATTTTTGTGCTACTCTCATCCTTATTTTGGGACTTGTCGGGCTATCATGGCAGTGAGTGTTTTTGATCATATCAACGATAATTACCCTTTCCATTGGCGCGAGCTTGTAAGACTGCGAAAAATCGGTATGCTTGGCCACGGCTCTGATCAAGTGATCACGGATTGTCATCGAAGCGACGCTGTTCCGGGGTCATGCTTTGAAAATGTCCGCGCGCCATGCTAACTGGTCATAGTTGATCGAGCATCGTTTCAGATATAAATGATATTTGCAATAAATTTTAATATGTTCTACGAAATCGCACGAATAAAAATGTTCTTACCGAATCGTAAAACTCGAAGCCTTCCTCAACGCGTATTTCTCTACCGCAAACTTACAATTTGTACACGTTTTATTGTATTGATAGTCTTCTAGCCTGAAACCAAGTTAAATTGGGTGGTCAGAAAAACGATTTGTACTAATAATAATATATTTTATTTCAATAATTTACTGAAAAAACATCGATTGGTGGATTCAAAAATATAATTTTATATTTTTTTTAATAAAGCAATAATGGAAATGTTTATAGTATTTAAGTGGCGTTCTGTTTTTAATTGAAATTAAATTGAAACCGAAAGGTGGTCTTGAAAGCTCAAGAGTGAAAAAGTATTTTCTATTGTAGAGTACAAAAAATTCTAATTTCATGCATGTCTTGGCAATAAAATTGAGCTTTTCAATTGAAAATGTCAATTGTTAAGTATTATAATGCTGATAAATTTTCAGCACGCCCAACGTAACGTTTAGGAGATAACACTTCGCTAACTCTACTTCAAACTAAGATATGACTCTTTTACATAATTTTAAATACATATTGTTAATTGTGCTCATTTTAGTATATTTTTTAATTGTCTCGTTAAATGTTGTGCAAAAATGAATAAATTAGTGAACTCAATTTTTATTACAATTATACTTGAGCTGTAGTTGGGAAAAATACAACAAACGTGTTTATTAGTAAATCAAAAAACAATATTTTCTGCAAGGGTTAAGACTCATTATTTAAGTGCAAGTTGAATTCGATAAAAAAAAAATAAAATGAGTGTTTCCCATCGTTAAGTTTTTTAAATCTTTAGATTTAAAATATAGCCATCAGATTTTTGGCTCTTTAAAGATTTTTTTTCTTTTTCTTTCAAAGAATTTTTAATTGCAAGATTGATAATATGCAGTACTTGAAATGTTCATGATATATAAAAAAGAAATTTTAAGAGTATCAAAAAAACGAGCTTAATTTCAAAGAATTGACTTCCTTAGAGTATTAATGATTACCACGTATAATTTTTATGAACAAAAATCACTTTGAACTATGGGTTTATATAATATTATTTAACAAGTAGTTAAGAATATTATTTGGAATATAAAGCAAATTTTTTGAAACAGACAAAGATTCTGAACTCTAATTTCATTTTTATTATTGTGACTGCTAAAAACTAAATTAAGATTGATCGAAATCGAGGATTATTTATACAGAAAATCGATAAATTATTGATGAAAGTCCAAAAAAATTTAAAGATGTGTGACAATACATTGATACTTATCTTCTGACTTCCAAAATAAACACATTCAAGCTTATCGAAATTAATCTAAAATTATGTAAATGATTACGTCATGACAATACAAGTCATTGAAATTGAAGAAGAAGATTCACGAACTATTTAAAAATGAAAAAGTAAACACGAAAATGAAGCAGGTGTGTGCCGATGAGCTCGTTACTTTTTGCACGAACAATTAGGTTGTGAGTTTAGGAAACTCGCATAAACATCGTTGCTCACCATAAATTAGGCTCTATAGAGCTTTTTCCCGTCAAGTTGTGAATAAAACCCTATGCTACCTCAATACGAATTGTCACGGCTTCATTGAATACTAGCAAGATCAATGAATTATGAACAAGGAATTACAGTTAATTTTTCAGGGTCATAATACATGCCAATCGAAGAATTTTCTTGATATTAAACTGTACATTACACTGGTATCTTTAATATGTGTCTTACAGTCGAAATAAGAATTTTCGAGAATCAGATGTGAACTCAAACAATCCGATTTAAGACAGTAAATTCAATTACTTTACCCACTCGTGAATATTAATGTGAAATATATGGGTCTAGATTACATTGTCTAAATAAATTTAATTATTTAATGTCAATATCAATTGATTTTTGGTTGCATAACTAAATTTACAGTAGCCATAAAGAGCAAATATACTTTTCTTTCCCCGTGCGAATGTCGATTCACTTGTTTTTTTTTTTTCAAACCGCACTCTATAACAGTTGTTAATAAGATTGCAATTTTATTTTCCGGATTGGAGAATTCAATCCAGAAATTTTTTCCATTGAAAATCAAGGAGAGGAAAATCAAGAATTATTGTATTTATTTTTTATTGCATAAATAACAGGACGGAATATTGCCGAAACCTCAGTGCGATAGAGTCAATGACGCAAACGGAGCTGATACAAGAGCTTACGAACGAGTGCCGTTACGATAAAATGATCCGGCCGCCAGGCGAGATCAACGTGAATGACCCAGTCAAGGTCTGGGCAAGGGCCTACATCTACACAATCAAATCGAATATGGCCAAGACTTTGGTACTTATTTATTATTTTGGCGATTGATTTATGAGAAAAAACTTGGCCGTGAATTATCAAGGCAAACTTGGTCTTATTGTTACATAATTCGATGATGCACACAGCAATTTGCCGTACAACTGATGCTGCAGTTTCGCTACGTGGACACGCGCTTAAGATACAAAGATATCGCGCCGAATCGGGACAAAATCATCGGTGGCAAGAAGATACACGATTGGATCTGGACGCCTTCGGTTTACGTGGCCAACGAGCACAATTCGGTTACCATGGGGGAGAGCGTAAAAGATCTGCTTTTGTCGATCGATTCCTCTGGTATGGTCATCTTAAACACTAGGTTAGCCAATTTATAGAGACAAATTTCACTTAAGATTAACAAAACTTCATGTAGATTGTCATGTACATTAACTCCCAAAATTACTTAACTGTTGGTACAGGCTTGAAGCTAATTTGAACTGCGCCCTTCATTTGGAAAAATTTCCTTTTGATGTACAAGAATGTCCTCTTGTCTTCGAGAGCTGTGAGTAAAGATCGTATATTACCTTTATATATTTATATGAATGTTAATGTGCATTAAGGATTAACAAGATAAATGCACCATCTGTATCAGGGACTTATAATCTCAAAGACATGGTTTTGGAGTGGGATGAAGCGCCGATTATATTGGCCGATGAGCTTCATTTGACCGAGTACAAGCTCATGGGTCAGTGGGTAAATACTACCAATGTTACCTACACATCAGCCGAGCAGCACTATGGACATTTCGGTAAGGTCAGAAACATCATTCATACATTGTAATATTATTAAAAACTTGAAATTATATCAAAATGACTGGAATCATTTGCAACCAAATCATACGACTAGTTTTTCCCGTACTACTTATTGCTTGTGAAAGCAATATTGATTGAATAAATAAAAATTCCCTATTTGATATTCATTATGTTATTTTTAAATTTTCAGCTGGAAACTTCAGCTCTATTAAGATAACGTTCAAACTTGCTCGAGAAATGGGATTTTTCATCATGGACTATTACATACCGTCGATACTAATCGTGGTGTTATCATGGGTTTCTTTTTGGCTTCACATGGACGCCAGTCCTCCGAGGATCGTCTTAGGTACATACCATGAGTTCATAAATGAAGAGCAAATAAGATTTATGACAAAACGTGCATTGAAAAAGCTCAAATCACCCTGTCACAATGGTTCCAAATATCATTTCATTTTTTATTCATGAATCGTCACGTGTTTGTTTGATCTTACACAGCGACGAACTCATTGTGGAGACGTATCTTACGCGAGAATAAAGCAACTTCTCCGTATTAGTCACTTTAATATTCGCTGCTATCACTTAAATCAAAACTGACGTATTCGACGCCGGTTGGTTAGCCTTAAATAATAATTTGCTATATATTATCTGTGTGGCGAAGCTGCATATATAGTAATCCGTTATAATGCCAAGTAAATTTCATTGTTTGATCCATCAAGGAAACATTTTGAAATAAAGATTTTTTGTCATTCGGTAAATAATCACGCATAAACTCGAATATGATACAAAAAATTCGTAACGTTGCGACTGTTAATTATTACAATAAAGATGCATCTTTCTCACTGTCGTCGTTTTAATTCCCTAATAGTTTTTTGTCACGTGGTGAAAGTGTCTTTTTACTGTTATTTTCAGGTACTAACACGGTACTAGCCTTCATGACACTAGCTTCCAAAGTGGAAAATTCATTACCAAAAGTGTCTTATATAAAAGCCAGCGAAGTTTGGTTTTTGGGATGCACCATATTTTTGTTTGCAGCTATAATCGAATTTGCATTCGTCAACACAATTTACCGACGAAAGTAAGTCAATTCTTTTTTGACGTTTAAACAGAATGAAATTATTCATTTGTTCGTAAAAAAATTAATTTTCTTGCTAAGACAGAAATATAAAATTGTAAATAAACCTAATAATAAGACTAATAGTGCCATATCTTACGCGTTAGCAACAAACAAACAAACGCACGTTTATCCGCAAGTAGCTAGTTATATAGGCGAAGATTTAAGTGTTGGCTCGTGCACTTTTATTGCTGTTTTATGTTTAGATTATGAGCTGCCTTGCTTACTGTTTTATTGCACAACAAACACATTTTTACACTGTAACAGTAAATTAAGTGGAGTAACCAAACTAATCGTCAAACAATATTTATAAATTCATGCAAATCAACAAGTTAAAAAAAAATATTTTTGTGTTCTCCCAACAGAAAAAATGTACCGCTGAAAAAAGTTAATAGTAAATATATTCTTAAATCTACTCTCACGCCCAAACTTGCCAGGAAACAATTCCAGAAAAATACTGGAATCGAAAGATCAAGATCATGGTCGTCTTTGGATAATGTGAACGAAAAAGTTTACACAAGCCAAAACTACTTGACCATACACGTAAGTTTCCCCATACGGGTAACACCTCATACCCGCATTTATCTAATCGATTACATTGTTAATGAAGTAAGAGACTAATTTCCAACTTGTTTTAGAGCTTCCCTAGCACCATCAATGTACCAACTCTGAAGGTGGAGGATGAAAAAGACTATTCGGTCGGTAGCGCTGTAACGATAGACAGTAATCCGTCGCCGCCGCCTGCACCGGAGCCCATTTTACGTCGTCGAGGGACTCTTGCGCAGCTCAATACCTTTACGACCATGACGCCGCAGGAAATAGCTCAATGGATCGACAGACGAAGTCGTATTCTTTTTCCAGTCGCTTTTCTTCTTTTTAACATTCTTTATTGGTCTTTTATTTGGATATGAGCAACGTGACAATATCTCTCAATGTCATCATGTCGTTTGCTCTCAAAAGTTTCATCCCAAATATCATCAACTTCGTTTGAACTTGGGTAAAAGCTGAATTTATAACTGTGCCACAATTAAATAGAACACATTAAAAAGAGATTTTTACAATGATCAACTTATTTTCCTGTTTTATTTTTACGAAAGCTTTTTTTATCATCTGAAAGAGAAATTAATAAAATACCGTTACATTCTATTTCAATAAGCTCGTTGACTTGGAAATTTCCCCCTATAAGGTGTGAGATAGACACGTACACTATGTTATAACGCTAGTTGTTTAAACAAAATAGTTTTTAGACAATTAACTTAGTGCACATCACTAACACGTTCGATACTTTTAATTCAGAGAACAATGTCACACCTGTTTCATGAAAAGTCAATATCTGCTTGTACAGTCTTGTATTAGTGGTTTAATTAGTTAGCGAGTATAATTGAACATGTGTGAAATGTATTGATAATCGTTTTTAGCAAGTATAGTATATAGATTAGATCATGTATAATTATATGAAATAATTTTTGAATCACGTTGTATTATGTATATTAATAATATATTTTTTATTTATAAGTAAAAGATCACAAGTTTGGAAACATATACACGTTACTATAATTTTAAGGTTTTTTCTGAAGTAAAAAAATTTTATTGAAAAAGTAACTCACTAGAAAAAAAAACACGTGAACAAACCATAAAATTAACTCAAAAAGAGGTTGAAAAAAAGAATTGTTAATTACTTTTGTAATAAAGTTACTTTATTTAAATAGAATAAATAAACTTTTTATACTTAAATTCTTGACTTTCATTTATTTAAAATCGTGTATTTATCAATTGATTATTTCTCGTTTTACATTATAATCAAATGCTGAAGCTATTCCTTTTATTGTTACCTTGAGTATTACTCAAATATAATTTTTAATATTACCGTAAAAAATCCAGCGTTATTAATGCAAGGAATTAAATTTAAGGAATACAAATTGCCACACATGTAAATATATGATGTATTTAAAAAACTAAGACCTTACATCAATATAGAAGTTGAATCTATAGAGCAAACAATACAGAATTTAATTGATAGCAATTAAATAATCGAGTACCCCTTTCAACGAAACCTGACTGAATATTTTATAATGCGAGAGTCAGTTTCGTATCATTTGTAATGTAACACGTTTGCGCAAATAATAACAGTGTACAGCACGCGATCATATGCGATGACTCAATTGATGAAAAATTGAATGAAATTTTAAGAAATCGGCTTCGTGACTTTTAAAATGTTTCAAGACAAAGGATACTCTTCTTACTACATATTCAATCGATTTTTTCTAACAGGATGCGGAATATGGCCTTACGGAAGTACATGTCTTTTAAAATTTTTCCGATATTTTTGGATTACACAACAGATATTTTTAATGTCTGCTAAGGTACTATCATTCGTAAAAATTTAATTTGCATGTCTCGATTTATTGTACCTACTATAATTTTTTGTAGATTATAAAAATATTCGAAATTAGATACGACATTGATACAGTTATTGAAGCTGTTGCAACTCTATTTTACAATATTGCAGCTACTGTAAAATATTGTAATGGTGTTATTAACGAAAAAAAAGTAATTTTTTCGTCCAAATGTTTTTTGACTATTTTTAATATAGAAATCACATTTAATGTAAATTCAATAATTCCAGATGAAATTTTTAGTGGATAAAATACATACCGATTGGAAAAATGTATCTGATCCTATGGAAATAGATATTTTATCACGTCATTCAAGTAGGGGAAAATTATTGAACATTCTCTACATTGGTGAGTTCAACGCACAGCTTTGAACACTTACAATAAAATTCTTTACTTATGATAAAATCAAAAAACAATTGTTATTTATTTTTAAAAGTGTTAATTTTCTTAATTGATCATGACTTTCTAAAAAAAGAATACATTTTTGCTACACAGCCTCAGTTTATAATGCTTTGCTATCCTATTTATTACTGCCTCTCTCACCTATAATCATGGACATTTTTATGCCACTGAATGAATCAAGACCAAGGCAGCCTCTTTTAATTGCCGAATTTTTTATAGATGAAAATAAATACTTCTATTCAATGACAACATATGCTTATATGACTTGTTTATATGGCATTATTCCTCTTCTCGGTACTGACACTTTCTATATGAATTGTGTACATCATATTTGTGGAATGACCGTTATTTTGAGGTTTGAACCATTAGTTTTTATTATCTTAGATTCATAAAGTGGAAATTGTTATTTTAATTTTATTCGGTACTTTCACGTATTAATGATCACTATTCACGTTTATAATTACTAATAAATATAATTAAATAAGAAAATAAAAAATTGAATTAAACCATCAATATTCAGAGGTGTCGATTTTAAATTCAATTTTGAGCTATTACCACGTCTCAATCGAAATTTAAAATTTTAAAAGCTGCTGTATCGTAGGCTTTTAAGGGTGATCTTTCCAATGGTGGTGTATGAAAGAAATTGTCTAAATTAATAAATACTAACATCAAAAATTGAAAATTTACTTCAAAAACGTATTTTTTTACGGTAACTTTTTTTGAATTCAATTTTAAACCAGTTAGCATTTTTTTGTTTGAGTGAAATGTAAATAGATTGCAGCCTCACGGTTTGTTCTTTATAAAAACACGATTAAAAAAAAATTTCTGGCATTTTTAAAGTCAATTTTTATTGAATTTTTAAAAACAGACTTCTAAAATTGGTTACAAAATTTCAATTGTAGTTTGGAAATAGACGAGGAAATAATGTCCAATAAATAATAATGCGCGCAAATGTTGTTGAAATAAGATTTCTAGAGCTATGATGATTTTTGTCAGTGTGTCAGGAGATGGGAGGAGACTGTCCTTACAAATACAATCAACCATAGAAGTGCGGTTAAAAAAATCTCTTTCAATATTGCAAGCAAAAAATTCTTCTAAAAATGTGTTAAATATAAAGAGAATCACTCCAGTGATTCTAGAAAAAATCACGGAGAAAAACATATTCGCTGTTTTTTTAACAAAGTTTTTCTCTCTGCAATTCAAGAAAAAGAGATATTCTCAACCTTACGGTAAAAGCATTTTTTCTCTGCAAGTTCGAAAGAGGGGTTTTTTTGTGTTCGCGAAATGATCTTTTTTATATGAATGTCAAAAAGATTTTTAACCAGTATTTATATAAGGCCGATTCTCTGTCTAGTCGAATGTCCCAAAAAATTTTTTTTCTGCACATATGAAAAACTTGTTGTATTTGATATCAGATTTGTCCAGAAAAATTTATAGAAAAATCGGGGCCTTCTATGACACTTTTTCAGAGGCCCAAAGTTGGCCATTTTAGGGTTTTTTCGAAATTCATGAAAAATCACTAATATTCAAATAATTCCTACATTAAAGTAGAATGATTCAAAAGTAAAAGTGCCCAGCAACTTTTTTGTTGGAAATTGTCCAAATTTTCAGAAAAAAAAATGCCAAAGTGATTGAAGCCACCTAAAGACGTAATAATGGGAAAACATAAAAAAAAATACATAAAACAAGAAATCTAATCAAGTTCGAACCGGACTTTCATTTCCTAAACTATGTAAAAAGATTCCCAAAGATGTCAACTAATGCCTGATAAAGTTTTGTAATGGGTCTTAAAGTTTAACGCAATATAGACAAAAATGTATGGCGAAAAACGTGCAAAAAAGGACTGAAAATGGCTGTTTTTGGTGATTTTAGGCATTTTAGGCCTATTTTTGACCTTTTTCGCACGTTTTTCGCCACACATTGTTGTCTACACTGCGTTAAACTTTAAGACCCATTACAAAACGTTATCAGGCATTAGTTGACATCTTTGGGAATCTTTTTACATAGTTTAGGAAATGAAAGTCCGGTTCGAACTCGATTAGATTTCTTGTTTTATGTTTTTTTTGTATGTTTTCCCACTATGATCTCTTTAGGTGGCTCCAATCACGTTGGCATATTTTTTTTCTGAAAATTTGGACAATTTCCAACAAAAAAGTTGCTGGGCACTTTTACTTTTGAATCATTCTACTTTAATCCAGGAATTATTTTAATATTTGTGATTTTTCATGAATTTCAAAAAAACCCTAAAATGGCCAACTTTGGGCCTCTGAAAAAGTGTCATAGAAGGCCCCGATTTTTCTATAAATTTTTTTGGACAAATCTGACATCAAATACAAGTTTTTCATATGTGCAGAAAAAAAATTTTTGGGACATTCGACTAGACAGAGAATCGGCCATAATTATAAGGTAAACATGATTTTCAAAAATGATAATAATTGTTATAGTCGCAGAATAAAAAATAACATTAATGGAAGTAAAAAGGAACTTTTGAGAACAAAGTACCAACGAACAGTAGATTGTATCATCAATCATCAAAGTATCATAGAGTTGAGTCAAATTTTATTTTCATTTAACTGGCTCACTAGTAACGTATCATATACGTACAAAAAACATTTTTCAACAAATATGTTTTGCAAGATACCTTTTGAAACCTTTTTGAAGGGATGAATTGAAAAAAAAGCCCTTAGAATTGATTCGGTGACATAAAAAACGTCTATATACTAAATATTGTGCATTTAGGTAGAGTTATTATAGCTACCAGTTTTAACACGAAGTTTAAAAAAATCGTACCAGTGAACCGGTTAATAATGTGAGATTTAATTATGTCTTAATATTAATATTATTATCAACAGATTTGGTGATGGTATAAATGCCATGTACAACACATCTTTCTTCATAATTATATTTCTTAATACAACCTTACTAACGTTTACAGGAGTAGCGGTGAGCAAGATTACTCACTGATAAAAAATTCGATAAAAAACTCACTCGGGTTTGCGACGAGAATCGAATAGTTCTTACCACAACCCCCATGATTTCTTATTTTAATTATGTCATTATAAGATTTCGTGACACTTGAGAACATAGCTTAATGTTTAAAAATATATTAAAAGCGATATACAATTAACATTATAACCAACGTCGATGCTCCGATGCGTCACACAGATTCATTATGGTGCAGTGAAAATAAAAACACGTGGGGAGTTGGGGGAGAATTATACGATTTGTGCCGCAAACTTGAGCGAGTTATTCGTAATATGATCGTATTTTCTATCAATGCATAAGCACCAAAAACTTATTTAGCGAAATGAAAAGTTTATGTTAGTGCCGAAGTAATAGGTTAAAAGCGAAGTTGCTCAAGCCCAATTTTGAAAAATTCTATTCAATATTTTTTTAAAACAGCTCAACATTGTTTTTAAGAACATAAAATAAAAAAAGGGTTTTATGAGAGCCTAAAAAAAAGGGGGGTTAATAACATTTACCCTATAACTTCGGTATACTCTTATGCTCATGATATTATTGCGACCCTCGCAGTAATAAAAACAATATATGTATACTTTTCTAGGCGCTGATAAAATTCAACGAAGGAAATAAGTATGAAGATGTTGTAAGATTCGGAATGTTTGGTGTAGCTGAAGTATTTCACTTATTTTGTAATAATTACATGGGTCAACTTGTCGTCAACTCGGGGGATGAATTTAGGAAAAATATGTAAAAATTGTAATATCAGACGAAATTTTGTTAATGAGTATTTTGAGTGAAATCATTGTCTGTAGATTCAATTCGGAATGGTATCAAGCACCGATAAAAGTGCGAGAACTCGTACATTTCATACAACTAAGAAATTCACGACCAATTCTCATGAAAGCTGGCATTTTTCCATTATGCTTACCTAACTTTACCGTGGTAAGAAAATAGAAGTGAATGTGCTAGGTTCTGACCACTAAAGGAAATTCTAATTTTTCTCACTTGTACCACAGTTATATACGGTGTTTGAATATTCTTTCAAAACTATTGCTCAATAGCAAAAAAGGTGATCTTTCAACCTTTCGAAAAGTTGTGAACTGTAAATAAAAGCTAGTCGTGTGATCGATATTCTGAACTTAAGTATTCGGTCGCTGCATTATTTTTATTAGTATTTTAATGTCTTGAATAATTGTACAAGTTTAATATCGTGTTCTGATTCTATTCATGCATTAATATTTCGGTGATCGATAAGTTAGAGGTGGTAGACCACTAGCGTATTTACTTCATATTGATTTTTTACAACCTTATTTTTCTAATTAAATTTTTATTTCAGGTGTTGAAAAGTTCCATGTCTTATTTTGCATTTTTACAATCCACTCGGTATTGAAATTTAAATAACCAAAAAATGTTAAATTCAATATTATAAACTTTCAACCATTCAATATTTTATTATATGTCACAATTAATTTTATTAAAATATTAGCAAAGCAAAATATTTTTTTTAATCGCATATTAATTAATACTTGATTATTTAATTGTAATTAATCCAATTTAATTTGCTTTAATAAAAAGAGTGAATGAGAAGTAACTACTCCAGTTGGTAAGAAAATGACATGATTATAAATGTTTGCCGTGAAACACTGCGATGGCAAAAATGGGTATGGTATACACATATAATAAGTATACGCCTTCAATACACTCTGATTTGAAATTATATTATTAAATCAGATAGATATTTATCCAGGTTAACATAAGTGGCAATCAATGAAAAAAAAGCATCTTTTTCAATCTATTAATAGAGAAAACCCATTGTTTAAATAGATTTTACAAAAATTTTGTTTTTGTATTCAACAATCGTTCGTACACAGTACTTCTTAAATATTTTCAAAAGAAAAAAACAAGAAATATGTTTTTTAAAAAAAGTCATTTAATAGACCTGCATAATTATTTCAAGTATAACGAAGTTTTAATGAGTTTATGCAGTCAGTGGCCGTATCAATCAGTTGTCAAAGCAAAAATAATTAGGGGTTTTTTTATATTGCAGCACATAAGTATTTGTATACCAGAGGTATGTAAAAAGTATTTCAATAATTTCACTAATAAAAGTCATATTATTATATACTTATTACAAACAAATAAATCATTTTCAGTTCATTAGATTCATAGAACTTCGCAATGATTTAGATAATGTAGTGACTTGCATAATACCAATTATTTATAATATTGGTGTTTTTATTAAATTTTTGAATGCAGTGAGAAATATGAACAAGGTACGTTATGTTGATTTCGTATTAAATAATATTAACTATGAAATTTTTCAGATTAAGAACATTATTGAAACAATAAAATGTGATTATACTGAGATTATTGATAACGTAGAAGTTCAAATTTTGCATAAATATGCTTCGTTTGGCAAATTCTTAACACTCGGATATATTTGTGAGTCAAGCTCAACCAAAATAACAGAAAATAAAGAAAATGGGGAATTCGTTTTCTCCTTTACTTCACAAAATTTAAAATCGTTCTAATTATTTCAGCTATGTGTGCTTTGACACTCATCTTGTATCTGGCATTGCCTTTATCACCAGTGATTGTAGATAAATTGAATCCATTAGAAAAACCCCGCCCTAAATCGTTAATTTACATGGTCCAGTTTTACGTTGATCAAGAAAAATATTTTTACGTTCTTTTGTTACATTCTTACATCACAACAGCTGCTGGTGTGTTGCCTATTTTGGCAACAGATACTTTCTATGCCAGCATTGCTCAGCACGCGTGCGGCATGCTTGCTATTCTCGGGTAAATCCATCCATTTTTAGCGTAGAATATTACTATTGATCATTTAAAATTTCTTTTTAATTTTAGACATAGACTCGAAAAGGCAAGATATTCCGAGCTAAATCATGTCGAAAAATCCGTAAACCAATATAAGGGAGTAATTGATTGCATTGTTCAACATCAAAATATAATAAAGTAACGCAAATTGTATAAAAACAAGTAATAAACAATTTTTCTTTTTATTCATCCAAACCAATGTTACTTTGACTTTAGATTTTGTGCCGATATAAATAAAACTTATAGTGATTCATTTTTCTATATCATGGGTTTAAATATGTTTATCATAAGCTTTAGTGGATTTCTGGTACGTTTTTTCTGAATTGATTCAATCGTTATTTTCGTTTAAAATTGTGTGCTTAAATTCATGTCACATTTTATCATGAGTGATGTATAGTTATGCATTTATTATTAGCCATCGATCTTTAATGTTTTAATGTTTCTTATGCTCTCGAAAAAATAATTTCTAAGCACATTCTTGAAAATCAAGCAAGATTTTGACGAAAACATGGATAATTTTTTACAGACAATTTTAACCTGGGGTCAATTACACAATATGATAAGATATGGAATGTTTACCGCGGCACAGATGTTCCATTTATTATTTTATTGCTATCAAGGTCACAGTGTTCTGGACAAAAGTTTAACAATAAATGATAGCATGTAAGTAATCAATTGGTAAAAATGGCATTTAAAATTAGTCTACCCTATCATAACGGCAGTCCAGTGCGTTTCAAACCCGGCACTGTTGCGTGATATTTTTTTAACGAAATGTCGATCACATTATTGTTTATGATAAATTTTGCATATTCGACAAATTATTATCGATTCCATACGAAAATGTTATGATAAAAGTATGATAAAAGTATATCAAAAATTATAAATAAGTGAACAACGCTACTGTTGGTTTTCAATTTTATGGGGGATCTGCGTGGATCGTTTTTATTTAAAAATCTGCAAAAATTGTTCGGTTATCTCTTGAATACTTAATTCTACCCTCATATTCGTTTTGAAGGAATAATCGAAAAATCTACTTAATTTTTTACAAAAATGACCACGCAGATTATACATGACATCTATACACTTTTCACTTGGAATCCATGCAATTTTTTTAACTGGGAAACGAACGACAAATCACACGCAATTTCAAGTTATGCAACTCGGTAAACGCCGTTTCGTAAATTTTTTAAATTTCTCTGCAGAAATAAATCTAACTGGTATGGATCGTCCATCAGAACAAGAAAACTTTTGACTATGATGATTATGAGGAGTCAAAAGCCTTTGAAATTAACCGCTAAATTATTTCCCCTTACTTTACCTCATTTCACATCGGTAAATAATTGCATTATTTCAATGGTATATCAATTTTTCTTTATTAATTCTTTTTACCTTGCAGGTCTTGAGGACATCCATGTCTTATTTTACTCTTTTAAAATCAGTCCAATAAGATTTTATTTAAAATTGTAGAAATATTCAGTAAAAATAAATCTAGATATCAATATAAAATATCCTTACGATCATTATTTTTATTGATCATTGCCTCCAGTACGTCAAGAAGATGAAAAGCGATATTTTCATAGTGAGGAAAGTACCAAAAAATTCAATTTTATCAGTAAAAAATAAAAAAAGCTTGAATACTTAATTATAAGTTAGTTTTACTCATAGTTTCAATGAAAATTCGCAAAGTTCAGTTTTGTACATTTTTTATTGGCAGAATTTTTAATTACATTGGCATAAAGCATATGTAGGAAAATCGAAAAGTAGTAGCAGTAATAGTAGTAGTTTCTTGGCGTATAATGTGAATTACATAGCCACGAAATTCGAAAAGATTTGACGGTGATTGTCAGCGACAGCAGACGGCTCAACTGTGAATCAAAGAAAAATATTCAAGTTAATGGCTTCAATTCCCATCTTAGTAAACACTGCTTGTTTATGTGTAGCGGCTTTTCCATCTAACGTCAAACAGGTTATGTAGAATCGGCGTCTTATTGTAATGTTTACACCCTTCAACTTCAACTAATCTGCACACTTAGTCCTTGATATTTGTGTAAAAATACTAATTGTGAGTATTGTATAGTGCGGTGTTTGTTGATGAATTAACTTGTGTATAAAAATATAAACTCAATTAAAAATAATTTTTGGTCTGATGCGTTGAATCATGACAAATATCGCTTAGTATTCTATTGATAAATGTATTATAATTATTAATAGTGCAATGCTTCTATAAATAATCAAGATTTCTTGATTAGTTTCAAATAATAATCAAATAATAAATGTTGTTAAAGAGGTCTACATAGATCAATTTTTTGATACCTGTAAAATTCTTTACAGTTCTTGATATTATTCTAGTTATTTTTTTCAGATAAAATCGAATAATCATGTCTAATATGCTATATGGAGGTGACGAGATTGGAGCTTTGGTTTTTGACTTGGGTCATTATTCTTTACGAGTAGGATATGCTCAAGAAGATACCCCAAAAGCTGAAATACCTGCAGTTGTTGGTATTGGAGAAGATGGCAACTGTAATTCGGTTAGAGGAGAACCAATGGATATTGATGACAAAAGACCTGACAATAATATAACTCAATCTACTCCTAAATACTATGTTGATACAACAATTTTACATGTACCACGCAAGGGTATGGAAGTAGCAAGTTATATGAAAGATGGAATGATTGAAGATTGGGATCATTTTGAAAAAGTACTTGATAACAGATTTTTTAAATTTCCAATTGAATAAATATTTAATAATATATTATTTTATAGGTTTTAGATTATACATATTCCAAGGTGATTCAGTCAAATGCTGAATATCATCCAGTATTATTTTCAGAATGCCCATGGAATGTTCGTAATAAGCGAGAAAAACTTACAGAATTAATGTTTGAAAAATACAATGTACCAGCTTACTTTTTGGTAAAAAATGCAGTACTGGCTGCTTTTGCAAATGGCAGAGCAACTGGAATGGTTGTTGATAGTGGGGCAACTCATACTTCAGCAATACCTGTTCAAGATGGATTTGTTATCACTGGAGGTATATGTAAATCACCTCTCGGAGGTGATTACATATCCATGCAGTGCAGACAATTTTTGCAGGTACTTGATTAATTTAAGATCAATATTTGATTTTTAATGAAATTAAATGATTCACATCTGTTAAAATTAATAGGATAATGATATTGATCTCTCTCCTTCATATATGGTTGGAAGTAAAGAGGTTGTTAAGGATCATGATAAGCCTCGCTGGGTAAAAAAAAAAAACTTACCAGAAGTAACAAAATCTTGGCACAACTATATGACAAAGAAATTAGTACAAGATTTTCAAGCCACTGTCCTTCAAGTCTGTGAAACACCATATGATGAAAAGAGTGTATCCACTGCACCATCTGTTTCATATGAATTTCCCACAGGTTATCGACAAGATTTTGGTAGTGAACGATTTCGTATTCCAGAAGCTTTATTTGACCCTAGTGTTGTTCCAATGAGGGGTGGAGTCGTTGGAAACACTATTGTGGGTGTGGGTAATATAGTTACAACAAGTGTGGGAATGTGCGATGTAGATATAAGACCAGCTCTTTATGGCAGTGTTGTTGTGACTGGTGGAAACTCGTTTATACAGGTACATCTTGTTTAAATTATTTATTTATTGGAATTTTATTTTAAAATTATTATATCAATGTTATTCGCTTTACAGGGATTCCCAGAAAGATTGAACAGAGATTTATCTATGAGGATACAATCAAGCATGAGACTAAAAATAATAAGTGCAAATGGATGTGCAGAACGCCGATTTGGCTCTTGGATTGGAGGATCGATTTTAGCTTCTATTGGAACCTTCCAACAAATGTGGATTTCAAGTCAAGAATATGAAGAAAGTGGAAAGAGTCAAGTAGAGAGAAAATGTCCATAAATTGAATATAATTTTTATAAGTGTGGTGATTTATGTGTTAAATCAATAATAGATGAATGACATTCAAATTTTTTTGTAGATGATGACTGATCAATTTATAAGTATGTAATTATTTTAATATCAAATTAATTTTTAAAAGTAAATGAAAAAATTTTATAACAATTTATCTTTGAATATTTTGTACTATTTTTTTTTTTTTTTGTAAATTATACAATTATCTGTACAAACATCACGGTAATTATTTCATTTAAAAACGTATTTTGTTACGATTCATGTACTGAGACATTTTACAAGTACGCCCCCCATCCAATATACATTTGACATAAATTATCAACATTAATGGCATCGAGTATTAAATGATTTACTTGGCCTTCCACACTCAAGTACAATGTAAGAGCTTCAAGTTTTTTTGTCCTAGATCCTACCATTCCCTTCAATCGATCTTCTATATTTTTGATATTTTCAACAGCCTAAAAAATTATCATTTATGAAATAAAACTTCATAATCATTATTTTTCATGCTTACTTTTTCGTTCGTTTTTTCTCCTGTATCATTCAGTTGATTTCTATTCCAGCTAACGAGAGGATCGTAAACGAAAGGTTTTAAAACGCTGATAAGAGTATTGGTTTGTTCTCGAAGAACTTTCATGGTGGTACGACAAGATTGCCGAAAAGGTCCTTCATATTTTAATGGACCCATAGCTTCTACCATATTTTGAGTCAATCTAAATGGCACTCTCTCAGGCCATTCTAACGTTTCACCCTAAATATTTTTAATAGACTTAGTTAAATATGATTGATTAAAAATTTTCAAATTGAAAAACAATTACTCTATTGAATAGGCAGTTGAAATCGACATGAACACAATCGCCACATTTTGAGTCTATTAAAATATTCTCTCCGTGACGATCTCCCAATCCCAGTATGTATCCAACCATTGACATAACTGCAGCAGTTCGAATGTAAGCTATACGAGCTTCGTACCTGAAATGAAAATCGATTTTTTATGTGACTAATACTAGAATAAAATTTTTTTACACGTACCATCCATATGGATCAGGAAAAGCAAATTGAAACCAATCACCAAGAACGGGTGGATGTCTTGGTAAAAGTTTTTCCAAAAAGTTTTGTCTTTTTTTCGCAAGATCATCTTTGAGGGCTGTAAATAAAAAATACCGGATTCATTATATTGCTTATTTTCTAAAAAAGTTTCATGATCTTAGTTTTATAATTTACCACATGTCATAGATTTTATTTCTTTTGCAGTGGTCAGCATATTTCTTTCCTTATACATATTCATTAAAATATGTCTATATCCAATGAGATTAGGAACCCATTCTATTAAGCCACACTCTTCATTCAATGGAACAACACTCTGTTAAATTTACATAGTAAAAGTAATTGAAGTAGCTATGAAATATTCTAGCAATACATTTCAAATTGAACTTACATAAGTACGTATGTATAATCTACGTCTTCGAGATTCTGGATCTTTTTGTAAATATTTGTTGACGATATCATTAAATTCCATTAAACGAAAATCTCGACGTAAATCGTCCTTGGGTTTGCACATAAACAAATACGACCGTCCGTCAGAACCTCTGAGAGCAATACGTCTCGGACGTTGAAGTGAAGGCATTACTACAACTTGATCTTCTATTCCAATGATGCTAACCCAATTGCTGATAATATTAATTTTTAAAAGTTAATTAATCTACACGTAATGAAGCTAAATTAATGTACATATGAAAAAAAAATCATTTACTCGGCGAAAGGATTGTGTTGTTCTGGTTTAGCACCTTTCATGGGCAAATGAAGCTGACGGAATTTTGATGTAGGCATCATCACAGGACCAAAATCTTTTTCAGCCAATAATTTTGGTAGAGACCTTGAAAGAGCAGGTACCGTTGTTGTGCTCATTCCCTGTAATAAAGTTACATTTTAGTATTATTGAAGCTTGATTCACAGGTGAAAATATAATTATTTACATCAGGTATAGTTTTATTAGATAATTCAACTAGTTTTTCCCAAAGTCTATGGAAATGTTGAATTAATTTCAACATAGACGGTGTCTTTAGAGTTTCATGATTAAGTATCTCTTTACAACTCCTTTGCCTTGCTGTGTATGATGACTAAAATAGAAAATTTCGTTAGGAAAAGTTTAATTTTGAATTTGATATAGAAATTCAAAAATACCAACATTAAACACAGAAGCCATCATCCACAAACAATGCTGTGGATAAGCCTTGATCAGTCTTACTATGAGCATGAACAAAGTATTTTTTACATCTTTATTTGGATGGCATATTCTTGAAACAAGTTGACTAAAAGCAGTTAACCATACGAAAGTAGGCACTCTAACGATGTAAGTTTCTGAAACAGTATAGATTTATATGCTTTTTAGTATTTTTTGAAATCCGAATTGAATCAAAGATTTTTTTACTTACCAACAATTTTTGTCATTTGAGCTAGAGCTTTTGATACACCACTGTCGGAATGGGAATGCGTTCTAGCTCGAGATGCGTAATTCAACCAAATAGTCAACATTCTTGGTAAAGACTGATGAATATATTTACAACCGCACATTAATGACTTTCCGTAGTAATTAATAATATGAGTTTGCATATCACTGTTGGAAAATGTATTATTTTTATTATTTCTTGAATGAAATATTTTTTTAAGTATTCCAATGTTTGTTTCAACTTTGACTCACCGTCCACTTTGACCCATTCGCTCTTCATCGGACATTTTATCGAGTACAGATTCGAAATAACGAGCAACCGAAAGGCAGCTTTTTTCCCATCCTCTCCAAACTTCAAAAGCTTCTTTGTAGTTGTGCATATTATTATTGGCTTCTACGTTCAATGTTTCATCATTATATTTAGCCCATAATAGTTTTGCCTGATATGAATTTAATAACATTAGTTGAATAAATTGATATTTTAGAAGACATATAAAGAATAACAAAAACCTCAAGTTACCTTTGCACATTTCCTACGCTCAATCGTAAACTCATTTGGACGTTCTTTATACTCGGCAACTGTTTTAAAATACGTTGCAAGACATCGTTTCAGAGTTATAAGGGCATCTTCGTGTGATCCTTTTTCCCAATAGAGTTGAGCTTGTTCGATACATAAGTCTTGCGGCGGGCAAGAATCGGTTGCGGAAAGTATGTACATGTAAGCTTGTTGATGCATACCAGCTCTGTAAAAATTAAAATAAAACATTTTCATCAGTTTTTATGATTGATTATGAATAACAATTTTTTATTGAGATTTACTTTCTGGCGATTTTGGCACTCTTCAACCACAACTTTCCAATTTCTTCAGTAATCAATGTTTTTCCTGTATTGGTTTCAGATTGCAGTTGTGCGGCTAGATCGAGAATAGCCCTGCGCATTTCCAAAATGAATTCTGCTCCCCGCGATGCATTAACGAGCTTGTCTCGCAATCCCCATTCTTCGAAAATAGTAGGCAAACAATCCATGTTTTCAAGCATCATCGTGCAAGCTTTTTCAAATTCATTTACGACGTGTAATCTATCAAAAATTAATTGAGTCAAGATAGATTCATTATTTTATCTGGCAAATAACTCTTACTTCATAATGTAGGAGTAGCTTTGTTCATATGCTCTAGGCCGCGATGAAGCTGTAAGCATCGAAACCAGTTCTTTTTTGACTTCGAACAAATCAGGCTTCACGTGGTTTTTCAAATCCGTTTGTAAATCCAGTTTAACATTGTTTCCAGATTCACTTCCTATCTTACCAAAATGTGCAAGTTGCCAGAAGGGTTCGCTGTCACAGATAAGTGTTTCCAGTTCTGGCCTGCAGTGGAAGAATTTTTCTCAATTTGAACCAATTAACTATGTTTTAAAATTTTATTTAAATAATGTAATTAGCTTGCCTATCTTCTAGAACACCTTTCGTAATATTCATGGCTGTAAATGGTTGATCTAAATCAAGATAGCATTGAATCATGCCTCGCAAATATTGAACTTTAATAGTTGGATTGTGCAGTAATCTTTCAAAGCAAGTTGCTGCATCCTATTATCAAATGAAATTATGATGAATAGCAAGAAAAAATTAATTATTTATATAGATGATTGAGATCATACTTGAAATTGTCCATTAACTTGATGAGCCAAAACTAATTGCTGTAGCGTCGGGCATTTATCCTGACCAACTAAAATACCAGTAACTCCATCAGGTTCTTCCAATTGAGTATAAATTTTCTGTAATATTTCACATTAAAAACAAATTTTTAAATTTGAAATACCAAAAGATACTCACTGCTAATAAACCACCCTCCGTGATCTCTGATAATCCTTTTTTACTGGAACTCATGTGCTGCTCTAAATATATTAAAGCACGATGATACTCACCAGATTGATAACATCTTTTAGCAAGAACTAGCTTTGAAAAACTATTACAAAAATCTGCAAAATGTCTTACATTATTGTGGACTTGATAAGTTTATTAGGAATAGAAAAAAAAATTACTTTTGATTTTTTCGTAGGTCGAATCGCGAGTTTTTCGCCGCTCTCTTAACCATCGCAGCAAATAGTCGAGACACGAAAATAAAACCTATAAACAAAGCGTGAAAAGAGAAAATTTAATTCTTCTAACATTTATTACTCGAGTAAAGTATTGCTGAATTTATTTGCATTACTTGTAAACAGCGAACACGACGAGCTTCATCAGATACTCGTTTGCTGCCATTGGACGTTTGATCAACTGGTGCTCGAAGTGGTCTATGACGTGCAAGCTCTTTATCAACCTGCGTTTGTGTATTTGTTTCTATAACGGCTAACATCTCTGATTTCACTTTTTCAACATCCTCGTTTGAACCGTTCATGATAATATGAGCTATTCAATGAATGAAATAAAATTCAATGAAATAAAATTTTGATATTGTAGTGAACATTTTCGAATGTCATGAGCTTATTTACCAACTATGTAGGGAATGCAAAATGTAATGATTTTGATATTTCTTTTAAAAGCTGGTCGACAAGCCCTTAGAACTGTGTTTATGTTGCTTTCCTTGATACTCTTTAACATGCTGATGGTCCAATTGAAGATCCATAACTCAAATGTCGATCCTAAATCGGATCTAAAATTTACACCAAAAAATATTTGAAAGACAATCAGATATTTTGAATATTTTTGCAATGAATTAGATAAAACAAACCCGTATATGGGACCAGAATGTTCAATATCGGTGCTAGTCATTATTGTATAATGGGATGTCAATAAAGGAGTGACCATTCGCTGAATTTTTGGAGATAAATCTTTCCACAATTTTTTATTTCTACCTTCTGGCGATATCTCATAAGTTCTCAAAATCTCCTAAACATTTAAGTAAACTTTTTTATTTAATTTTTGAATAAGATTTTTCGTATATTTTTCATTGAATCTTTCGAATTTTGAGAGTTTGAAATTGAAATTAAATTTTTTTTTCTTTTGCATTTTCTAGCAATTAAAATTTTTCGAAAATGCTTGTCGTAATTTTCAAAGCAAACCAATAGAGCAGCATCCTTAAAGCGCTCAAATGATGTATACTTCTTCAGAACATAAATCGTTACGGTTGTAAACTCAGATGGAGATGTAAAAGAAGTAAAACAAGAATTATGCTCAAGTATTTGTACAGAGCTATCTGCAAAATCAATCGCTTCGTCCAAAGTTGCGACCGTAACCATTCATGTTCCGTAAAAAGTTCGCCCTGAAAGTTACGCCAGTTATGATGCCCATTAATGAACATAAAATGCCAGAAACCCCGATTGAAAAAAATATAATATAAGCTTTCAACGAATTTGGAAGGTTTATTTTAATAATTATTTTCAAACATTACCTGAATCGCCAATGAAAAACAGTCCATACTCTGAGTACTTTTTTGAGAATGATATAATCCTACTAACTCGAAAAATAGAGCATATGCAAAATCTTGGTTCATATCAAATATGAAATTACTATCTCCTACAAAAATAAATAAAATAAATTTATCAATATATTCTAGTGGAAATATTTGAGATGCGACGATTTACCTCGAGAAATTATTCTTCTGGGTAAAAGACTAGGTTCAATTGCACCCAATTCACCTATGCAATCGCCGCTAGCAATTCGAATGGCTTCATCCTTGTCCTGACATCGGCTCATAAGAGCATCTAACAACTATAAAGACATGAAAATTTATTCAATTTCACTACTTTAAAAAGTATATATTAGTTAATAAATAAATTACCTCTACGATAAGAGGATCAACATTAATATCGGATAGAATTAAATCGTTAATTTCATTGCGACTTTTTGATAAGTATTGTTTCAAGTATAGTAATGCTTTCAATCGAACTTCGTCAGTTTCGTGCTTAATTTTTTTAATCCAAAATTGCAAGTTTCCTTCTACAGTAGTTGGCCTGAGAAAAAAATATGATCAATAAAGTAAATTAGTTAAAAAAAAATGTTTAAAAACAACGGTAGTTACGAACTTGTTCTGTTTAATGAAATTAATTATTCGCGTTGAGATATTCGGAGATAATTTCAAATCATTAATGAAAAACAAGTCCAAAAGATGATCTTTGAGAAGTTCTTTGTTTTGAATTAACAGATAATCTAACATATCATTAGTTTGTCTTGGATATGTTTCAAGCAAGGGTACCAATGATATACAAATAGTTGCTAGCAGGGGACCTATGTCATTGATAGACGTACTGAAAAAAAGTAAGATTATAAATAAATTTACTGATCAATATAACTTTGAACAATTTTAAAATATATTACTTTCTAAGGAAAGAATCCCATGCTTCACATGCTAATTTCCTAAATCCTGGTCTAGTAAGTCCTAAAGCTGTTCTTAAAGTTGTTAGAATTTTATAATTGTATGGTGCAACATATGTTGCACCCATGAATTTGATTAATTCAGCGAGAGATGCGAGCGCGCATTTTTGCATAAACTCTTCAGAATTAGTGTTAAGATTAGCGTCAAATGTAACTAATATTCCATGCAACATCGGATTTAAATACTTTGCCTAGAATAACATTACATTCAATGAAAACAATGGAAAAATTATTGAAAATTATGTAAATCTTACAATTCCTTTTACAGAATCCATATTTATTAGATTTTGAGAATCGAATTTTGCCATAAATTGCAATTGTTGTAGAATTTTGTCTTTTTGGGCATGGAAATGTAGCATTAATTCATTAATTATTAGCTGTAATACATAAAAAATATTAATTCTTAATTGTTATCATATCTTTTGTGAATTTTCACTTTATCTTTAATGAAATTACCGTAATACATTCTCCCGTTAAAATTGATACTTTCGTATCAGTTATTTGCGATACAAATTTAAAAATTTCCATACCAGTATCTTGATCTTCAAATAAAAAAACCTGACAGCATATATGCTACAAAAGAAATCATCGACAGGTTTGAATAAATAGTGAAAAATAATGCTTTTTATAGTATTTAAATATACATACTTGAAAATACATTCTACACATATCCTTTTCTTTAATATTAACTAATTCAGCGATGTCCTGAAGCAAAAATTTTGCTTTTTCATATTTTACCATCTGTGGTAGTAACAGGCAAATCGCATGATGTCCATCTTTGCGTAGTAATTGTCGAGATCCTTGGTACCCAAGGCATTTAGCCATTCTATGTATTGAAGTTGCCATATTATAATCATAATTGATCCTATTATGAACAGCTAATGTTACCATAATCTAAAATTAAAATTTTTTAATGAAAACAAGCAATGATAATACGTATATTTATCGTATACATTTTTTAATATTTAATAAAATACCTTTAGAAAATCTTTTTTGTAACGAATATACAGTGATTTTAAGCTAGTTTTGTGATAAAAAGCTACTTCTGCATAGGCATCAGTAGCTAATGCAATTGATAGATTCGAGGATTTCACATGTAAGACAGTTACTATAAAAAGACCTGCGCAGATTTTCTCTGTTAAGTGGGATGGAATACTAAAAAACGTGTCAATTATTTAGTAAAAAAATTAAGATTATAATTATAAAATTTAAAATATCCTACCAAGCTGCATTTTTTGCTGTGAGTAAAACTGTTTCATGCAATGAGTGATTACCAGTTTCCAAAGCATTAGTTTGGGCAATAATAAGTTGATCTGTGATCATTTTTATAAAATCTTCCAGATCTTGAGGAATTAAATCAATAAGTTTTTTGTTGGGAAAAGAAGTTGAGATTCTGTTTGTTAAAATAAACTGGATTGATCTACTCAAATTCAATCGCACTTCTTCTTCATTATCTTGTATATAGGGAATCCACTTTTGTACTAATGCATTACCGTTAAAACTTGGAATATGATTGGAAAATCTGATTATATTTTTCGAGATATTTAAGCGAACTTTTTTGTTAGTTGAATTGAATATCTCAAAAAATGAACAAAAATATGTATCAAATGTAGAAGAGACTACTTTTGGACAGTGCGTATTTTCAAATTTAACTTTATCACAGTATTCACATTGTACAGTCCAGCTGCTAGGATCTGAAGAATCTCTGAAATTTAAATTCATAATGTTAATGAAAATTTTAATTTGTTGTATTCCACTTTTAAATGTTGTAATCTGATGTAATAATATTCACCTAATAATTAGTCCACTTCCAGAAGTAAAACAAGCTAGTTTTCCCAATGTAGAAGCAAGTGCTTCCAGTAGTGGGCATTTTTGAGTATTATAAGCTGGTACAAGAATATGTTGTACTATTTCATCGAATTTAATATTTTTATCTAGTAAGAGAATTGGGCAGTTCCTAAAAATTATTTTTATTAGTTTGTATTTTTATACTGTTTAAAGTTGAATTCACTTACATAATACTTGCGACTCCTAGCTCAATTTCACAGTTGGATATAGACATGTTGAAAATATCTAATCGATGCTGGCCTTTCCCATGCATACCAATTGCATTGAGGCACTTAACTTTTGTAGCAAAGTCAAGAGACTTAGCATTTGCAAGTTGAATTTTCGTAAAATTAAATACTTTAATTGAAGTTACGTCCAGCCATGGTAGCGATAATACGTTTTGAATTTCATCTTTATCAACTTCTTGAAGAGATATCAATTGAACAAAATTTTCAAATACCAATTTGTTCTGTTTATAGTTATTGGTAGATAAAGTATTTAAAAATGTGGAAAATATTCTGGGGATTTCACCATCAAGAAGTTTAATAGTTTTTTGTTGTTGCACAAGTCGAAAATCTAATACTTTAGTTAATTTGAAAAAATTAAGTAGTTCCTCATATTTTTCATGTTTTAAATATTTGTTAAATAAATCCTTCAGAGATTTCCATAGTTCACAAGATTTAGCAAAATTGTCCGTTGTTATTTCTGTTGAACAATTTTCTATCTCATGCACAATGAAGCAGACAATGATATTTGTAAAATTCTGAAAAAAATAACAATTTTTTCAGTAATGAATTATAAAAGTAGTGTAAAAAAGATATTTAGAATTTCACTTACAGGACAGTTTGCAAAGTAAAATAAACAAGTTTCTATACTGGTTGTTTCGTATAACTTAGGATGCTTATCAAGATGATGTTCTATTTTTTTACATATTTCAATTTCTAAATTATTAGATCCTAAAAATTTTTTAAAACAATCATCTATTAAGAACCATGTGAAAAAAAAGACAAAATTTATCCAATAATGATAAGTATTTACATACTTAAAATATGTTTTGCAGCTAGAGAAAAAATTTCAAAAAATAAATTGAAGTACACAGGATCATCAACTGATATAATGAGTTGTCTGAAAGTATTTGTATATTCTTGACAACTATTCAAAGGGATTAATCCTTTGTCAAGCCAGTAAGGTAAACATTTTATTACCTCTAATGCATATAAAACTATACTTTCTAAATCCTAAAATGATCCGTTATCAAAAAAACTGTCAATAATAAAAATGTGTGCGACTTACATTATGATCCATTAAATTTTTACTTATCACTTCAGTGCATACTTGTAATCCAACAAGTTTAACCATTGGTTCAGTATCTATTAAAATATTTAATAAATGTTTATGGAGTTTATCTTTGGGCCAACAAGATACATCAGAATCAGCAATAATCTTTAACATTCAATTTCATTTTTTAACATTCTGCAACTATAATTGCAACTAGCTATTTATGCACATAGTTTCCTTACCTTCAAAATTGAAATTTGAAATATTGAAACATTATCGTTAGTTACTTTTACAGTGAATGATTGTAAATCTACATTATCTATGGCTCCAGATTTGACTACAAATTTTTCTAATATCATTCTATTTACTGAGTTATTTTTACAAAAAATTATCAAATCTGAAAAGAAACCATAATTAGTAAATGAAGAATATAGTATTTTATAATTCCTTACCATCAAGAATACTAAGGTATTCAGAAGTAATAGTCTGTAATGTTCCAAGATGAAGGCGAGATAAAATTCTTAACATACAAACTTGAATATCAACAATTTGTTTTAACGATGTAGAAGTTACAGGTAAATTAACAAGATAAAACATAGCTCCAAACAGCCAAGTGGTAAAAGCTTCAAAAAGTAGAATTCATTAAAAAACGTACAAAGAGTTTTTTTTTGTATTAATATGATTTTTACCATCATACTGTTGTTCAACATCTTGAGAAATCTTTTGATTAATAGGTGGAGCAAGAATATTCAAATTATTAAAATGAGATAACAATGATACTAAAAAGTGCTGTAAGCATGCTTCATTAGAAGATATTAATTCTTCGTCTTTTTCCAGGGTTGCAAACAATTTTAATATTGTATCATTGATGGATACCCAAATTTTGGTATGTAAACTGTAATAAATTTAGAGTAGAAATTTTTGTAATTCACAATCAATTATGATTTAAATTGCTTTACCTGTTTTCATGATTCACTTGAGAATTATTTTGCTGGCTAGTATCCTGTACATCCATGTCAGTGTCCATTTTTATAACTTATAAAATCGTAAGTTGCGAAGTATCATTCATTACCTGACCTAAAAATAGTATTTATTGTCATGAGACAAATAGGTTAACTTTTGTTAATAAAATGATTCGTTATTGAATAATTGTCTTTCTTATGTATAATGAGCCTATTACTCTTTTTGAGAGAATAAACTTATTCCAATAATGAGAATTCGTTTAACAGTTAGTAATTGTATAGCAAATTAGTACTCATACACTTGGAAGACAATAGTCTCAAAAGATTCATTAATTATTGTTCTAATCAACTTGGTAAACACTTTTTTTTACAAATGCAATATTTCTTAATTCAATGCCTTATAATATATTCAAATTTCTATACTTTTTAGATAAAAGTGTATATAACAACATATTTTGTATACGTGCAGATCGTCAACACAGTCAGCTCAGCGAACTTTACCGCGCGCAAATTTCTACCGAATCATATGGTATCTTTTCTCCCCCTACCCATAGCTAGTAATTCATGTTCTTTTTCGGTTCATCGGTAATATTATAAAATTTTTCTCAAATGGTAAATAAACATCACTGATGCTTATTTTAATCCCGGTCGTTTTCGTTAAAGTAATTATTTAATGTCGTTGATTACCGAAATAGAATCAGTTTATTATGGACGCATTATTTTATTAAAAAAGTACTATTCATAACACGCGTAAATTACACGTTGTTATAGGATATTTATTTTTTATCTTTAATTACTTCAAATTTTGAATGTTTAAATTCCAAAACAATGCAGCGCGCGCACTTGTGAGTTGTGTCACGTGCCGGTGCGGCCTTAATTAAAATTTCGCTTTTACAAACCTTTAATTTCCTATGTTTCACCAGCTTCAGCTTTGCAGGCTGCAGCCACATATACATACCTAATATTTAACCGTGTGGTACTGTGTACGCATATACATCTATATACATTCAGCCGGATTCAGTTGACGTTTATAAGCGAATATCACAAGTTTGTTGACATTTGCCGGCATATGGCATTTTATATTTACTAAACACTCATCTCATCTTGATACAATCATCAGTATTTTTCACTCAAAGTCACTGGATAAGAGTGTATTCGCTTGCAGTATATAGATATTCGAATCAAATATTGATGGTCAATAAAACATAAACAGTTTGGTATTAAAGGTTAATTGAGCGAATTGCGTCTTCATTATTAAAATAAGAATCGGAAAACCTTTGGTTTACTTTTATCTGTACATTTTAAAATGTACATCGTCAGTACCATGAGTTCTAGTGTTGCTATGTACAGTTGATTAAAATAGTTCTATTATTACATAAATCAACTTCATTTCTAAGAAATTTATTAGTAAACATGAGTGAAAATAACGTGAGTGGTTCGTCTCACAGTGCAGCTGTAAATGGCATTATTGAAGATCTAATGGGTGGTAAGCAATAACTTCTGATTTTGCTATAAAATTTCCGGTTCATGAAATTATCACATTACATTTTAGGTGCTTCCAACAATGATGGATTATCGAATTCTCACAATGAAAAAATTACTCCTAAAAAGAAAACTAGTGGTTCCAAGACTAATAGTTTGTCAGGATCAGGAAAAGTAAAAAAGCGTAAAACTATTTTACGTGATAATGCTGCACCAAAACAACCTCTTACTGGATATTTCCGGTAAGTTTCCCTATTTCAATTTCTTTTTATTAAAATTGAACGAATCATTATTCAAGTATTTAAGTATATTAATATACTAAATTAATTTTATAATGAAAGAACTAATAATTTGTTCAAAATGTTAAATTTTAAAGATTTTTGAATGATCGAAGAGATAAATGTAAAACAGAAAATCCAACATTGCCATTTTCTGAAATCACAAAACAATTAGCTGCTGCATGGAATGTATTACCGGTTGGCGAAAAACAGGTTTGTTTCTTCCTCAATTCTCTGCAAACTATTAATCAATATGCCTGAAGTGTATAGATAAAATTTGTATTCCAGCAATATTTGGATGCTGCAGAAAAAGATAAGGAGAGATACAGTAAAGAATTTGAAGAATATAAAAAAACTGATGCTTACAAAACTTTTCTACAAAAAAAAGCAGCTAAAAAGAAGAAAGATCAAAAGAAAGACCAAAAAAAAGACAAAAAATTTGATACTGATGTGGATTCAGTAAAAACTAAGAACAAAAAGAAGAAGGTAGGTTCTAATTCAATGAGAATTTTATGTTAAATTAAACAAACAAAACCTTATTATTCATTTTTCGAATAAAACCTCATAAAAATGTTTTAATGCAGGAGTCAAAAAAGAAAAAAGAAAAAGTAGATGATGGTACATTTGAAATACCAATCTTTACACAAGAATTTTTGGAGCATAATAAACGTAGGCAAAAGTCCTCAACTTATTATTATGATTATGATTATTATTATTATAAAATCAATTTATTTTTAAAACTTATATTCCTTTTAGAACAAGAAGCAGATCTCAGAGAATTACGAAAAACAACGGCTGATTTTGAATCACAAAATTCTGTTTTAGAATTACACATAGAAAGATTAAAAACTGCAATTGAAAGATTAGAAGTTGACACTAATGAGCGAAAAGACTATAATGAAATTTTACAAGCCCATCTGGATATGTTAAGAAATAACTTTTTAAGTTGTTTTGCACATATGCCACTTCCAGGTATGTATCAAGCAACTTGTTTCAGATATCATGAAAGTCTTGTTGAAACATAATTATTCAATTCACCGATTTTCGTTGCAGATATGCGTGATATTTTGACTGCTGATAACATCGATCTATACGTAGAAAAGCTTAACTCTTTGTTGGAAACGCGTACAAACCTACCACTTTGTAATGCTGTCATTAGCGCAGCTTCACAGTTGGATTTTTCTAAATGACAAAAGTCTTCCAAAACTGTTCCAAAATCGAAGCGTCGACGTAAATCTCACAGTAAATGATTTTGTCGATTTTGGAGCAGTTTATCGAAAATTTGTAATAAAAAATCAAATTTATTTAAAGAAATTTTCTTTTAACATTTCAGTCTCATGTGTTATTTTTAGATTGCAATCGGTCGAGACTTCGTTTTGTATTATTGAATGAAAACCTGTTTAATAATACATGTGTATATTATTAAAAATGTAAAAATGTATAGTTTATAGTGAAAAAATGTATACAACCTTAAAGAGGCAGCATTTGGACGCATATTTTTTTCGCATTCTAAAACTATTTTTTCAATGCGTACAGATAAAAAGTTAAAAAGTTCTAAATTGTACCGGTGAATAAACTGTACATAATCAAAACTACTTGTAGAATTTGTTTGAATGTATCTATTAACAACATTCCAAACTATTTTATTAAATTTTTCCCTATAAGAAAATAATGATAAATATGTATTAAGAAATGTACAAAACCTGTTATTCATAATACTTGAAAAATAATGTATTATTATATTTCAATAAATTTTCATTGAATATACCTTAAATTTAAATCTTCTATAAAGTAAGGATTAGAACTTAGATATTTAACAAAATCAAGTGTATCTTTTTTGTGAGGATGATCTTGTTGTACTCTCATGTAGCAGTTGTGAATAGATTGTACACAAATAGTAATAATTGCATCAACTGTATCTTTACTGTAAATTTTTCCTTTTACCAGGATGGATTTAAGTAGGCTCATTACCTGAAAATAGATACTTTTAGATACTAATTTTGGTGTACTTATTTATTAATCTTACCAATTGGCAGTGCTTATGAGTAGCTCTATCTTTTGAAATTATTATAAAATTGCAGTTCAAAATATCTAATAATGATTTAATGAAATTACAATTTACATCTTTAAAACATTTTAATAAAGTGTCTGACACTTTGAGTGTATTCTCATCTTTTGTTATTAGAAGAGGAAGGTATCTATCAAAAAGATCTCTGAGAAGCGTTTGTAACGTTATGTCAGATTTGATATTTAGATTTTCAAATCCTAAAATAATCATTGAAAATATACGTCTTGCAAGATTCATTAGGTAAGCAGACTGTTCTGTTGGTAGAGCTATTTTATTGATGAGCATTCTCAATGAGTTATTTGGTTGATTCTGTAATGAGCAAGATTGAATGTTAAGATGTGTATCAATTTAGGTAAGTATTAGTATTTTATTTACCTTGACGTATAAAATTGGGGAACAACAAAGAAGAATTGTTCCTAAACATTGATATATCCAAAAAGATAATTTATCATCTTTACTTTCTTCACTGATTAATTGTAGAGCCCATTTTTCAATATTGTGGATAAATGATTTACATAAACTATCATAAGGCTGACACATTTGATCAGACTAAAATGCAATTAAATTAAATACTTTTTTTGCTAAAAATTCAAATATATGATTTCATTATTACTACCTCAAAAGAGTTTCTTTTTTTAGAAATGACCATAAAAAATAAAACAATTGGTTCATCACAATTTAAAAATTCTATTTTGTCTTGGCTGGAAAATATTTCATTAAGCTCTGGTAAGCCAATGATGAAGTTTTTCAAAAAATTTGTTTCATCATTAATTTCAACATTCAAAATATTACACTTCACCCATGACTTGAAAAGAAAACTTCAATCATTATTAATGTGTTATGTTTTTGAATTAATGAAAAATTACCTGTATGCAAATAATATTAAAATTACTAATGTCGCTTTTTAAATTTTCCAAAGCAGTGGTATTCTGTAAAATTGAAGCCAAATACAGCCTGGTTATCCTGTAATGATCAACATACCGTTGTAAATTATTAACTACTCATTGTATGCTAAGAATTACCTTATGTCCTTAATTATAACAGAGGTAGTGAAATGCTGAAATAATGTCACATGTGAATGTCTGTATTTTTTAGCTGTAACTGGATCACGGCAAGCCTCAATGGTAAAAGCTACAGCCAATTTGGTAGAATTAACATAAAAATCTGTTGACAAATCGCAAATAGTAACTGTTTGACGTATTCGACTAGCCACATGACTCCATAAAGCATTAAGCATAGCTGTGCAACCTGAATTAAAAATTTTAAAAAAATTCGTATTACATTGATCTTTCAAAAGCGTTAAATATAATTTTTACCAATTGGATTTGTTGTATGCAGTTCGTTACATTTCTGAAATACTTTGAGTAATGTACTCGTTAAAACTCCAACTTTATTAGGTGCTGAATCTTTTAAATAACGATCAATCCAACCATCCAATAATAAATGTTCATGTCGTCCAAAATCTTCACTTTTTATTAAAATGATTCTTAAAATATCAATGAACCACATCAACATAGAGTGAGAAAATTCATCAGATCTGCAACTTATAGCGTTCACCTGAAAATTGTATGAATTTGATTTGTTGATTCAAATTCCATTTTATGAAAAAAATGTTTAATATTACTGTTTCGGTATAACTTTCTGCAATATCTTTCAGAGACAGATTTTTTTCGTGGTATAAAATTAATACAACAAGACGACTTTTCCAAGTCAATAAACATTTTTTACCACCAGTTGAATCTGCCCATTCAAGCACTGGTGGTAATAAGCTCAACAAAGTTGAACACTAAGAAATAAAAATTATTAGCAATATAAGGACATACATAACTATTCACATTATAAAAACTTACCACATTACTTGTGTCTGCAGTAATTGCTAAAGTTATAAACAATGATATATAATTGTATAATCCGCATTCTGAAAAATCTTGGATTTTATTTTGAGAAAATCTAGAGTAGATTCGTCCTTTAATTTGATTCCAAAATTTTAAATCATTTTGATCGTAATATTTCTGTAGGAATGATCCTGTTATATTTAAAATGATAAATTATAATAATATTTCACAGTTAAAAATTATAATCAAAACAAAAGCAATACCTAAAAATTTTAGAAATAAACCAAAACTTGATTCAGCAGTAATATCGACATCTTTTTTTAATCTATCTCTTGAATGATTCAAAATATCCATAGGAGTTTTCCTAAAGTAATTTTTATTTTAATTGATTGAAGAATTTTAAATGTATGAATAAATATATTTACTTTTCACTAGAGGTAGACCATGGCCCTCTTGTTTGCAAAAGAAAAGGTTTGTCAAGTCTTTTATGAAAACATTCCCACAGCAATGATATTATTTGAGTTTTAGGCTTCCACCAATTGAAACTCAGTTCATGTAAAAGTGGAATTATACCACATAATTCCTCATCTACTTCATCTCGTCCACCATCTTTTCCTCCTTTAATGATGAATACTTTTACTACTTTTTCACATTGATCAAAACTTGATTCCATTTGTAAATCTTTAAACTGAACAATTGTTTCAATTTTAAAAAGGTATACAAAATTTTACTTTTTTTATACTTACTCTGTTAGATGGACCATTACAATAATTTCCACTTTCACTATATCCATATAGCATTGTTAAATGATATATTAACCATATGGAAAATAATTCTGGTTGTTTACAATCTTTTAACTGAATATTTATACTTAATGAATTACTTTCTACAGTAGATTCATTTGGAAAAAGTTGATTAAGAAAGAGTTTTACATAAATCCAAAATATCTGTAGGGAAAACTTATAATTCAAATAGAATAGTTACATGAGTTATTTTTATCAAATTCACGTACCTTGCTATTAACATTGGCATGTAACTGATCAGTCAAAATTTGAATCATAATCCATAATTCTCTAACACACGTGCAACTGTATGGAGTTCTAAACTGATAATCTTTGGCTTCAATCTTACCAAAAGTTTTTTATTAGTATTGATTTAATTTAAAGAAACATTAATGTAAATAATTTATACATACAGTAGCAAAAATTTTCATAGCAATATACATTAAATCTCCAATAGCTGAGAAAATTGCATTTTCTAAGTTGTCTATATTATTATCTACGTACTTACAAAAACTGTGTTTAGTGTATACCAGTGTCAACAACAACCATTGCAAATCTAAATGAACATGATATAGATGATATTCTGGAGTGTTACTCTGCAAATTATTGTTATTGTTAAAGAAACATCTATTTTAAATTTTCAACTTTTCTTTAAATAAATACATTTGAGGCTACGTAGAGAAATGTGGAGTCTTGGATGTTATGTAGTTGTTTCAAAAATCTGCGTATAGTTTTAATCAACTCATCAAAATCTTTTTCTGCATCATCTGCTATATCTGTCAGATCAAGACTATCTTCTTTCAAACTATAAGTAACATAAGTCAAGTGGATAACTCACAGTCTTTTTCTAATAAAGCAAAACTAAGAGTTTATGAGTTTACCTGAGTAAAATAGTTCGCAAATGAAATACAAACTCACTTATCATTGTTCTTGTTGTAGCGTAATCAATTTCTCTATCATTCATCATTTCTTGGCCAAAAATTGCAGGTTTTTCATGCCTAGTCAGTAATTTTAATTTGGATCTATAAACACATGATCAATTTGAATAGTCATAACTTAAAATTTTAAATTCAATTATTTGGTTTTAACTTACTCCATGCATCGTGTAAAATGTTTAATATTTAGTAAAACATTTATACCAGTTAATTCACAATTAAAAATTTTTATGGTACTTGATTCCAAAGTAATTTTTTTTCCATGCAGTAAGTAATCAAGATCCTTTTGAAGCAGAAAGCTCATTGCATTCAACTGCCAATCATAGATGTTAATTTTACCATTGCAAATGAACATTCCTTTGGCCATTGCATAAATGTTTTCTATTTATTTTTCTATCGATAAGGTGCCCTGGTTGACCAGGAATCGGGATACGTTTTAAAGGTGTTTTACTATTACTTCCCGCTCAAAACCGTAGACTGGACTCTCTGCCTGGGCTGGCGACCGAGCGGTACTTCAGCGCATTCTATAGGCTGAAAATTGCAAAAAGCCTGTCACGACTTGCGATACTCTAAGTAACGTAAGTAAAATAGGCAATGGACTGTGGAACGGTAGATAAATATGCCACTTGCAAGCGGCACGCACTGATTTGTCTCAACACCAATCAGCACCTTTATAAACTATTGATACTCTAGTTTTTAATTCCGTCTGTTCGATTACGCATTTTTTAGCGCATGCAATAAACTATGATTTATTTATTTCGAACCTCCGACTTGTGTATTTTTTACCTTTAGTTTAGTAGTACCACATCTACGCTTGTATATGTCCATATAAAGCCCATTGGAAAATGACCAGTTTATAGAACAAAAATATCTTGGAATTCATTTAGAAGCATCTCCAACTTTATAGCATTTTTTCCATATTTTCATGAGATTGAAAGATCTTTTCCGAAAAATTCTGAAAAAATTTAGAGAAATTTTAAGACTCTTATACATTATAAAAAATTTTTTCTTAAACAGAATGATTTTTTTGTAGATCGAAAATATGTTTAGTTTTTTATCAAAATGTTACTCTGCATCAACCATTTAATTAAAAAGTTGTTCGAAAAATTTGCAAAAATTCCTTAAGATAATTCTACACCCAATCATCCTTGATAATATTAAACATGAGTTTTTCACTCTAACGCTTGGAAAAAAATGAAAAAAAATTTGATTTTCAGTGAAATTTTAAATAAAAAACACTATAATGTGTGATAATATAAGTGAGAAATTTCACACGCTAATCAAATGTGAAAAAGTAAAGCGCTTTGCCTGGGGTCATTAACACCTCATTTTTAGTTTTTTAATTACCGTGAAAGCTTTTATATTTACATTTACACGCTTCCATGTTCGAATGAATTTCGATGTAATAATTCCACGGAATATCCATTGGTGAATTTACTTTCCCGATATTTTTCGTATTTATCGAGATAACCATAAAAAAGGGTAACTCGCCCCTACTGCAAAAACGTGCCACTTTTCGCCTTGCAGACCAAGATTTTCGTAATGTACGCCCCAAAAAATATTATGTACACTGTAAAATTTCTAGTGCGTTTTATGTGAACTAGGGCTATGCGAGTACCCAATTTTTCGAGTTTTACTCGACTGGAGCCGGGAAAATTCGAGTACTGAAATTTTTCTGAGTACTCGAGTTTGTTCAGGTACTCGATGGGCAAAAGTATAATACATTACATATGACACTCGCGGCGAGTATCATACTTATCAGCATGTACACACAAACAGGAGAGGTCTAGAGATTGTTAATTAATCATTTATTCACTTATAACTCAAATACATGGCGAGTACTCGGAAAAACTCAAGTGCTCGAAAAAACTTGAGTACTCGAAAAATCGAGTAGTCGACTCGAACTCGACGAGTCGAGTTTTTTCGAGTACTCGCACAGCCCTAATATGGATCCACAACCATAGGCGGGGAACTCTGACCGCATCATGGTACATTCGGTCTTCGGCAGTACCCACCAACCAAACAAAAGCCCACAAGCCGATATTATTTCTTTTTATTACAGATTATACTGAGAGCATAGAGGCACTTCAGAACCGTTCAGTTTCCAATTAAGTAGCGAATAAAAACTCCCCAGACAAGAAGTTGTCTAATTCAGTCAGGTTTCAGAATTTGGAAACTATGCCGGGCTCGGTCGTTGATTTTATGCAATGTTGTTGCCTAATTATTTTACTACACACTTTGTCTACATACAAAGTTTAAAATAAAAAGTAAAAGAGAAAAAAGTGAAATGGTCTATTTTTAAATTTGTAAAAAAGAAAACATTATCGTGATTAAAAAGATTATTTATATTATTTTCATCGTTTATAGATGTAATTGTGAGCAAAATAAGTAAATTAACGAAAAATAAAAAGATCAACACGATCGCGAGACTTTAAAATTTTATATCGTGAACAGATTAAATAGTATATTTTGCACCTAGGGAGTGAAAAATATACTATTAAATTGGTGATGTAGCGATGATTCGCCGTCTTACTAGAAACCTTATCAGCGATAAGGCGTGCAATCTCAAGCCCCGCCCGTTAACCAATGAGCTCTCGGTGCTCAAAGGAGAATTTCAAAGGAAAATGGTGAAACTCTGCGAGTTGATCAGTTAGTCTGAAACTTCAGAGATATCGTGACAGCAACGCGTCTCCTCGAAAGAAATGTTGAAACAGAAAAAAATGGCAGAAAAATATTTTTCATCTCTTTAACTTTTTAATTCAAGACAATGCAAATGAATGAATCTGTTGATTAGAAATTTTTGATTAGTCACATTGATTATACTTGTTGTTTATTAATATATCAATTATCAATGATTCAAAATAATAAATTTATCGTACTCGGAAAAAACCAAGTTGGGCCCCTGATGCTTATTACACGGCTTTATGTACGAGTATAAAGCTTGTGACGCTCGGGCGACGAGTTCGCATATGCGAATAGCGATACGACCTTGCACAAAGATGGTAAATTCACACGCACAGGTGACTACATGCGCACTATATATATGCATATCATATATGGTTGATTCTCCCGAAATCTGCTTTTTCGGGTATGGAAAACGAAAAAATGGTGAAAATTTTTTTGTCATATTGAACGGCGCGAACTAGTTTACCCTTTTTTAAATCATAAAATATGAATAATTATTGAATCTGGGGCTTTGAGATTTCGTTTTACGAAAACTATGTCCGATTTTATGCTTAAAATCGACTATTTTCGGTTACGGAGGTGACACACACGGAGGTGACAAATCGCTGCTTTGATCAACTATGTAAGAAAAATAAGAAACGCACAAAATTTTCCGCACAACCCGAAATTTGGTCATGAAAAACGAGTCTTTTGACGGGGCGAGCGGTTAAAAAGAATGATCATAGCTCGAGATATTCATGTCCACGGAGGTGACCGTTTTTTTGACACACGTGAATTTTTCAATAGAATAATTATCGCAGCATCGATAAAATGTAAAA